CCCCCCCCCCCCCCCCCCCCCCCCCCCCCCCCCCCCCCCCCCCCCCCCCACAAAAGAAGACGAGGAAATCTATCCAATGACATACCAAACTGCTTGAGGTACTCAATTGCACGGAGACAGGCCTGTCGATAGGCTACCGTTGCATCCAGAAAGTGCTGCTTGCCATTCTCGTCGACGGAGAAGCCCTCAAACGTCAGGTATCGGCCAGGGCCGAAATTAGGGGCTACATCGCCGGGCCGGAACACGGGGCTCTTGATGGCTCGCGATTGGACGCCGTTCTTGATGAGGTCGAACTTGATGGTGATGGTTCCTGCGATCTCAATCGCACCGCAGAAGCTAATCTCGCCATCGCCCTGGCTAAAATGGAGATCGCCAACTGAGAACTTTGCGCCTGGGACGTGTACTGGAAGGTACGTCGTCGATCCTCTCGAGATGTTGTTGATGTCCACTTGTAAGATTTGTTAGAAACCCGCTACACATACTGTTCACTCAGTGACATACCGTTTCCTCCGTGCTCTGGCCGTCCGGGAATGGTCCTGGCTCCTTCACGAGCAATCTTCGCTTTGAGATCTCCAGTGGCTTGGCCGGCGTGCGCATTCACCGCAAGTGGTGGTTGAGCAACTACTTTCTCGGGATGACTATGGACGCATGTTGAGATGAGATCAGCTTCGCGGCGGTTCCATTCGGCCAAAACCTCGTGCGACGGGGCACACCCAAGGATCCCGGGGTGAATCAGGCCCGCGAACCGCACTCCGGGAATGTGTCTGCTGGTGCAATATATGCCGTCAAAGTCCCAGATCGCCTTGGCAGCCTTTGGGTAATGCTCGTCCAGAAACCCACCGCCATTCTTGCGATCAAAGATGCCTGTAAATCCCCATGGCGAGTCCTCAAACGGCTGGACATCGGTAATGTTTACAACCAGCAAGTCGCCTGGCTCGGCGCCCTTGATTTCGAATGGGCCAGTCAAGTAGTGAATCTTGGTCAGATCCACGGTGCGTACATCCTCAGCACTGTCGTTATTCCCGATCTGGCCGCCGGTCCAGTCGACACACTCGATTTTGACAGTCTCTCCAGGCTCGATGCTGCCAATTGTCGGAACTACAAAGGCAATTGATTAGTCCCAATAGTCCCGGGGCGGGCAGCCAAGACTCACCATCGGGATGCCATCGATTATGCAATCCCGGTTGCTCTGCAGCTGGGATGTCAAGGGAGACGGTTTGTGCGGTTCGAATCTTGCCGGGCATGGTGTTTTCAGCTATCCTGCAACACTTGAGAAGAACGGAATGATCCCAGTATTGGATGCAACCTGTAGCAGATATATGTGCAGAGCTCTGGGGAATCCTGCATTGCAACACACTTCAGCTGTAGGCAAGAACCGGCCGTTTATAGCCGGGTGGCTGAATGGATGTGTGTGCATGCGTGACGATCATCGAGCTTCCGAGGAAGCATGTACGAGTAGGCGTCGTCTCTACGAACCATCACGGAACAGATTCCCTATATCCGTCCCCTGCCATGATAAGTGATCACCCCGCATCTTGGACATTACATATCGGCCTTCCTCTTGATAATAGATAGCGAATATCAGGCTTCCTCTCGGATGTCCATCGGGATGTTGGTCGTATTACATACGCTGATGTAGTTTAATGGCTCTTATCGGGTACCAAGAGACGAGATGGAGGGTGCCGTGATAGCCCTTTTCGGATCTCCGGTACTCGTACAGAAACTTGGTGCTGTTCCTTATGCCAATCACAAAAGCTTCTCCGCATCTTAAATCGCGGGGAAGGATAAAGTCATGGTGGTGAAGGTGGCTGTTGGCCGTTGTTCGCGAGAGTATGTCACGGCCACATCGACACTGTAGAGAGGGGTTACCGTTGGCAGTGTTGGAGGAATAAGAGACGAGATAAGGACAGTGTTTCTACAGTGCGTCGTCAGAAGCTGCCAGATTGGGAGGCCATGCTATCGCGGTTTACTTGAAGCCGCCGTGGCCGCATCTTGCCGCATCCAAGGGATTGATCTGATAGCAGATAAGAATAGAAATGACACGAGCAAAGTACGATATGAAATCCTTTGATATCTCGAAATCAGCAACAACAGCTGCCAGCTAATAAGTCGGCCTCTCGAAAAGAGCGATGAAGGAAGAGTCGTCTGAAACCATCATGTTCAAGGGCCTCCACGGAGGTACGCGCACGCTACAGTACGAGCATGGCGCCGGAGATTTGGTTTGAGCCGCCCCTGGCCTAAGACGAGACAAGACCTTCAGGTATGGCTTGACGTGCTGATCACGGTAGGGCTTTGATGAAGGAAAATCTCAAAGGGATGCGGCGATTGCATCTTGTCACAGCTCGCAGCTCTACAGGCTAGCAACTCTCTTACTGGGACATCTTTTGGCATCACCGTCAATCTCTCGTGTTCGACGATACAGCGGTCATCTCAAGCTAATTGTCGCCTCTTCTACAGGGAATCTCCGGCTGGTTTAGCGGGCGCTTAGTCGAAGGAACATTGGACGCGTCCGACTGGCCCTCAACCCCCGATCCCCACCAAGCCGAGGCGGGTGCCACAACTCCCAAACAGCCAGTGTAACATTACCAACCCTAGCGAAACAATGCGGCCACTCAAGCTGGGAAATTCAATGGAAACCCCATGAATTCCTGCATGGCTCAGTGAGCAGGGCATTGCGCTGGGGGCTCTTATTTGTACTTTCCAGAGCAGCAACCCCTTGTCAACCCCCTTGATGCCTCACCAACGATGCCTGGAAACTCACCTGCAACGACCAGGGCGAGTTGACAGCGTCTTGGCAGAGTGGCTGGCTCTGTCAATGCTGTCGCGGCATTGCAATAGTGGCCTGACTTGTTGCTGGGGGATAGCTGGATCTGTATCGAAGGGGGATCTGAGAAGCGGTTAGCGAGACTGTTCGTTTCACGCCGTGACCGACCGTGCTTCTCGGGGGCGTGTCTTTCTTTTCATCTCTTTAATATCCTCTTTTGCTTTTTGTTTCCTCGTTTCCTGTCATTGGGTTGAACGATTGTAGGCGACGACGTAATAAACGGGTGTTGAAGGACTTCTATTCTATACCACCGCTGGACGGGACCATCTTTAATAATAATCTTTTCTCTATTTTTCTCCATCTCGAATCTTTTCTCACCGACAGGAGCGTCTACTCAAAAATACATCCAAAACTCCATTCAAAATGCTGGCCAAATTCAACCTCGCGGCATCTCTCCTCGCCGCCACCGCCACCGCCCTCGCCCAGGTCCCTCACGCAGCCTCCGTCCTCCGAACCGACGATGTCCTCTCGACGCCATACGCCTCGCTCCTCGGCTTCGGCGACGACACCATGGCCGTAGCCCGCGGTCTGGACGAGCGAGCCACGGGAAACTCGAGTATCCCGTCTGACGTTAAGCTCTTGCCCGACGGATCGCTGGACTTTACTGCTTGGAATAACCTCACAAACGCGGCTTGTCAGGCGCGCCTTGCCTCGCTCACACGGACTTCGAATCCCTCGGGAGACTGCATCTGCTACAATTTGCCCATGCTAGACGTCACCACGGGCATGTTCGAGGCGGATCTCCGGCTGTATCGCGTTTCTGATCCGAGAGATGACTTCGTTGGCGTGCCACCCAGCGAAATCCAGGTCGGTGTTGTATACAAGGGGGCCAGCGTGACTCCCATGAAGCCAGTGACTTCAGGGTCAAGCTCCAGCCCGCCTGTCAACATTACCAAGAGAGACAGCGGCTCCAACGTCCCGACTCTGCTGCAGTCATACATGCTGGTCGGCCAAATCGACAAGGACCAGATGAAGAACAACCTGTCAATGTAAGTTTTTTAATCCCCCTCGTATACAATATTTCTTTACGCCATGTATCTAACAAGGCAACCCAGTGCCGATCTCGAAGCTCTCGTCATGCCCACCCTCACTCTCTCCGCAGTCACCTCCACCGGCGCCCGCATCAGCTCCAACGTCTCCCTCAACGAAGCCGTCTTCATCGTCGGCGTCTTCTCCAAGGACGTCATCCTGTCCGACTTTGCCGCCGCCCAACAGGCCGTCTCGCTGCAGCAAGCCGGTCTCAAAAACGGCACCGTTGCCTTTGTCCTGCCGGGCGTCAACCTCATGATCTTCCCCACCGGCCTCGTTATCACCGGAACCTGGCTCCTCATTGGACTGGCCGTGTACGGATTCGGCACGTATGAGAGAATCCAGCATGTTACGGCTTATAAGCGAAGAGCGATGCATGCTTCCAGGGATAACGCTGCCTACCGCACTCTTTAGAAAGATGGACGAATTGCTGGAAGTAAGGATGAGCAGGGATTGGATAAGTCGAGCTTTGAAGAAATGATTGGTTATTATGGGTGAGATGGTTTATGATTCCCCAAGCATATTTTGCTGCCCCTTTCATTATTTCACATATGTACACATACACTATAGCAAAACATTTCTTTGATACTCACACTGTTATATAACCGAATCAAAACAGGCGAAGGCGCAACTCAAAATTTGACACACACATATATATATAAAGTATACGTGATATCTAAGAAAGTAATAAAGTTCTATCTAATGCTACTTAGAATTCGAAAGAGCATCTTCAAAGTCAATCTTGTAGGGGTATATCCAGCAGCAGCTGTTCATTCGCCATGTAACCCAAAACATAAAGAGATAAAGGAGAGAAGAAGAAAAGACCATGAACCCGTCAACGTGCATCTTGCGCACATCTATCATATCTCTTTACTCCATAAAAACTGCAAATCTATAGCAAGTAGATGAAAAAGTGTCAAAAGGGGGCAAGGGGAGGTAAGAAGGAAAAAGAAAACAAATGAAACATCATATCCCAATTGTCTCACGACATGCAACGCGCCTTAAACACCGGCTCCAATCGTATCAGTCCCATAAATCCTCAAAAATACCAATTCCCATCAAAAAGTCATCTCAAATCTTGCCATGAGGGTAGGAAGAAAAGCCACCTCATGCCGTCGGCGTGACCTTGCGGAATCGGCCTTTGGCCCATAGAAGACCTTCGGTAAATACCACATATACACCGGTAATGACCCAGAAGCTGAGAATGACTCCCAAGCCACCTGCCAGCCGAGCATCGACAACGCTGCGAGTGACTGTTTCTCGGACCGCATTATTCATCATGAGCCAGCCATAAACAGGCACCAGCTGTTGAGCTGTAGTTGCCACCGCGGGGGTTGGCTGAGGCGCCTTGCTTTGCTCCAACTCACGCTGGGCAATGGTGTCGGCCATGCGCCAGGCAACCTTGTTGTTGATCTTTTCCCACGTGGCTTCACATGCAGCGGCACGAGCGTCCTTGGCCATGGTGAATCGTAGCTGGTGGTCCTCAGCGAGCTCGACGGCCTTGGCAACGAATCCGTCCAAGTCATCGGGCGGAATTAGGTAGCCCGTCTGCTCATGGGCGATAATGTCTGATGGGCCACCTTCGTCACGAGCCACTACAGGGACACCGCTGGCCATGGATTCCAAGACAACCAGGCCAAAGGTTTCTGTGACCGAGCAGTGCAAAAACACATCGCCACTGGCATAGTAAGTAGCAAGATCCTCTCCAACCTTGAAGCCGGCGAAAGTGACGGTACCCTTTTCTCTTAGAGGGTCAAATAGTTCTTGAACCTCCTTTTCGACGTCGGGGTTTCGGTTTCCTCCCACAATGACCATTTTGAACGGCAGGTCCCTAGCATCCAGTTCCTTGGCAACCTTGGCGAGGAAGTCGAAGCCCTTTTCACCGGCAATTCGAGAAACCGTGACGAAGATGACTTCTCCGTTTGGCGCAATCTCCTTTCTCAGTGCTTCACTCCTGCGACTCGGGTTGAACATGGTGGTGTTGACTCCTCTGGTCAAGACCTCGAGTTTGCTGGGTTGGACTTTCTGGCCTTCCAAATAACGTCTGACGAATCTTGAGGGGTAAAAGATGGTCTTGATGGACGAGTGTCTGAAAAGGTAGCTTTGCACGGCGTCAAAGGCAAAGACTGCTGCGTGGCTGAGGGGCGCGGGGAAGAGAATGGAACAGTAGCCAGCCAAATCCGTCTGGAAGTTGCAGATTATGGGAATCTGCTTTTCCTTGGGCTGCTGCCTCAGCTGCAGCATGACTTGAAAGCCCAGACTAGCCGGGGATGCGAGGTAGATTAGATCGGGAGGCGCATCATTGCCAAAGGTACGAGAATAGAGGGTTGAATTGCGAACGGGATATACGATTGATAGCTCAGGGTTAAATGGCAAGGGATAACCAGTAACGCGGACCTCGGGCTGCTTGTCCGCAGGAGAGAGACTAGGAGACGGAGGAGGTGAAAAGGTGTTGTGGTTGGTGTGGTTATGAGGAGCGACAACAGCGACCTGGACACCGTGATCGCGCAAGTGGTTGACCAGCATCAGAGTTGTCCGGCTCACACCGTTGACCGGACCAAATGATTCCGTGCACAGCAGAATTCGCCTGCCCTTGAGGGCGGCCGGGAACTCGGACAGATCATGCTCGGGATACTGCCCCGATCCAAGCAGCGATGTTGACGCCATGGCGGCCAAAGGAGAGAGGCGTGCTGGCTCAGCGTTGAGGGACAGGATATAGGATGAAGTGAAGAGATGCTACGAGGGATAACACAACACACGGCCGACGGCCACAGAGCGACTGTGCTTGCTTTTTGTCCTTTTGGACGGTGCAACGAGATGCCCAACGACGTCCGAACAAGGCAGTCCCACGTGGATCAAGCGGCTATGTTGCGCATGACGGGAGTGGCTTTGAGACAAGGAAAGCTGCAATAGGAACAACTGTAAGTGGGCACGAGGAACGTGCTCTGGACGCAGTTCGTCGAGAAAGAGTGACTAGGTAAATAACGGGGGGAGAAAGAGGCATATTCTCGTGTAATACCTGCCCAGATCTGTCCATGGTATGGCCGACCATCATGTGGCGAGGTAAGCGCCGGATAGATCCAAGTCAGTCAGGGCCTTGTACTTTGCCTTGATAGCCTTTTACCGGCTTTTCTTATAGACACAAATATGAGTAATTCTGTACACAACTTTCAGCTCTGTATCTGGGCATCAGTGTTGGTGCTAAATGCTGGTGGTTGCCCAGAGACGAATCGAGATCAAGAGTGTTATCAGCTGTGTTGCCCTCTTTGCCTCTCCGCCAATCTCGCCCAAAGATACATGTACGCACTTACAGCCACAATCTTGATCACTCGCACAACACCATTTTCCCCTCCAAGGCTGGCCCTGCCATCTTCACTGAACCTTGCCCATTCTGTCTCGCTCCGGGTCAAGCAAAAGACAAGCTTCGAGCGGCATATTTGCGAGATCTACGGAACCCAGATGGACAAATCAGCGGCCGCAGCGCAACCACATTCCTAGCGCTGACCAATAGCAGTACGGCATCCGCCCGGTGTGTCGACATTGTAAAAGCTGCGAATCGGCGCCTTGAGGACGACCCTCGTGCGTCATCTGGTTGGACATGAGCGACTTGAAGTAGCAGAAGAATAAAGACTGTCGGCTTTTTGTTGAGCGTGTATTGTAAAAAGTCATCCAAGCCGGGGTCACGTGTGATGTGCTTGTCGAGTGACTGGCGTCTTGTGACAGAGGCTAGCCATGGAGTGCAGCATGTACGATTCGCGTGGACTAGGGTCCGATTTATTCTCGTTTTTTGTTGTTCTTTGGCGTTGGTCGGCGGAGATGATATCGAGTGGTGGTGGGTGTAGATGATCAAGAGCGGTTTTAATATTGGTAACGAGGGTCTCGCCGTATGGGGCAATGCCTCACTCTAACTCAAGACTCCTATGGGGTGCAGCATGCTAAGCCTCCAATCCACTTATATATTGCTTGTATTAGTGGCACGTTTTATATAGTGAATATGGGAAGAGATTGTTCATTTTAATGGCTCGACGTCCTGTAATAAGCATCAAGGTACTAACATGCTTCTCTGTATGATGGTCGGGCATGAAGAGGCGGGGCTCCCTCTGTATTCTCAACAACTTGATAAGTTCCGAATAGGTACGTATCTAACAAAATACTTTATAAAACATTACTGAAATCACGCCAAGGCGCTGTGTATAAGTGATAGAAACAGTGGCCTAGTAATGAGAATAATGCACTGGACTTATGAGCTTGAATCTTCCAGAACTAAGCGTCGTGGACTCTCTACTTACCTGGTGATAATAGAGCATGAGTGTTGCAGATGCTCGAGAAATTGGAATGGAGCGGTACCCATTCTGGTAAAGTCACAATCCTGTCTAAATTCTTTACCCACCGCCGCTGTTTTCCTGAGAGCTTTTGGGCATCTCTGACGTATGTGCTTTTGAGTCGGCCTATGACGGTGTATACTGCTGGTTGGGATTAAGATTCAAGACCTGAATAAATAGGAGAGTATATGTTTAACCTACTACGGAGTACATCCGCTAATAGTCGGGTCAGACGAACGTGAAGCCCAAACAATTGGCAATCCCCCTGATCGTAATCGGGCTCCGGAAGCAGAACGGTTATTTCGCCATCTTGAATAGAGTCGGGGGCTCCCATTAGAGAAGAAAATCTCTTGTCCAGTATATAAAGCGCCCACCACGCACGCCGATGCCTGTGCAACTCCTTCGCAGTGAGCGAAGCCCCGGTCAATTCACGGTGAAATCCTTGAGATAGTGCAATTCGGAGAGCTTGACCAATCTGCCATGGTCAGTAGACGGGCTCAAAAGTACAGCAGGAATGCATCACCTACATAGTTATACGCTGCGTTTCGATGATCGATCGACTGTAGGTATAGCGACAAGCAACATAGAATCTCGACAGAGAGAATACTTTCAGTGTAATAACCGTGTACGTCAGGAAGGAGCTCTATGGCTCTGAGCACGTAATCGCACCCCGTAGGTTTTTTATCTGAAGAACCTGGCATAAACAGAGCCTTGCCAAGCGCCATTATTAGCAGATACTGTATGAACCACAGCCCGCTAGACCGAGGAGGTTCAACCCAGGGCCCTGTGGCATAAAAGTCATTCAATCGCTGCCTAAAAACGTCCTCATCATATAAGTGATACATGGGCCCTAGATAGAATTTGACAGTGTCGGCAAGGTACAGCGAATAACTAAGAGACGGGAGTCGATCTATGGTGAGTGGTGTAGGAGGCGTAGTTTGAGAAGTTGACGGCTAATCTAGGACAAAGGCGCCTCCGTCCGAAGTCACAGGCAGTTGCGGCGATGCTTGATCTTTGACACAATGCTGTAAAATTGACATGGCTTGTTGAATGTATGCCCAGGTCGATGAAGGTCCAAGGAAACCTACGGAGATATCAGACTATGCACCTCACTGATTCAAAAAACTTCATCACTCACGTCTCCTCCCTTCAGTGTCTTCTATTACCTTTGAAGGGGTTGTAGCCAGTGGATTGCAGATTTGGCTGCATCATCGATTCCGGCGGTCTCAGCGTCTGAGGTGTTGCCCCCGGCTTCAGTGTCATCCTCGCCTAGTAAGTAGTCAAAACACACCAATTCCACTGTTTAGATTACGTTCATATACTGACCTTGTATTCCATCGTCTCCGCGAGGATAACCGCGAATGCGCCGGCGTTTACTTATATGGCTAGGACTAGTATGGGGAAGATGGCTTGAAGAACGTTCAAGTTCATTAAGAAACCTACGCGAGTTTTATTATACACTGTAAGAGACTGACTGAGCATCATGCTCATGGTATTCAAGTATTCATAAGAAGGAACTTGCCTTTCCGATACAACTACTTTCTTGTCTTCGGGGTCAAAGGCACATTCGACAGAACGACTTGAGCAGTTTTGACAAGGGAGAGAACCGGAGCACTTGACTTTTCGTTCGCGACAGCGTATGCACCTGCATAAGATCCTTATCAGCTGTTTTGTGCGTATTACTGACGCGAGCCTCTGCTAACGCTGTAATAGATCTTTTGCCTCGGGCCAGCGTGACTAGAAGTTGATCGCCCGAATCATCATCACGATGTGATCTGTGCGGGATCATGGGCTTGGCCTGTCGGATAGTGAACCGTCGAGAATATTGTTCCTCGCATCATACGAATACGCGGGGGATAATGAGGGAGGAATTCTCCAAGATGTAGTGCAACTACCATTCGGATAGCCGGCCCGATGGTCCGATCTAGTACTCGGATGCCGAAGCCGAAGGCCCTCCCCATACTGTGTAAGTTCCGACGAGCTGATGTATAGGAGCAGCACGAAATTTTGAATTGAGATTGATCTGACATCATATTCAGCTACTGCACAACAAAACTGAATCAATCGTTCTCGAATCTCAACATGGCTGCGGTGATGGCCAATGCATTCTTGAAGCAAACCGCCGCTGGCCGGCTGTGCAAGGTATGTACGAGCAGCGGCGCTATGCTCCGACATATTACAAATATTTGGTGTTAAAGATAATCCAAGGCATTCGGCATTCGGCTGGTAACCAATCCGCAAATTGTGCAGCTTGCGCGAAATGCTGGCTTTGACTGTCTCTTTATCGACCTAGAGCACTCGACCATCTCCATTGATGATTCGAGCAGGCTCTGCATCGCTGGGCTGAACACCGGCATCACTCCACTCGTGAGAGTGCCTCATCAATGCGGCAATGGATTTATACAGCGTGTACAAGACGGAGGAGCAATGGGCATAATCTTTCCTCATATCCATGATAAAGGTAACATATCCAGCTTGGGCATTCTAAAAGGACCCGAGGTTCCGACATTCCACACGGAAGAATACTATCAAATTTATTTTGTATCATGAACTTACTTTTCCGATAGGAGATGCTCAAGCCGCAGTTTCAATAACAAAATATCCTCCCCAGGGTAAAAGGTCCATGACGGGGCAGCTGCCACTATTTTCCCTACATCCGACACCGATCCCCGTTGTAGTTGAGAAAACCAATTCGGAGGGCTCCACCGTCATTCTCATGATAGAAACTCTTGAGAGCATAAAAAATATCGACGAAATCGCGGGAGCCGAGGGTGTCGATTTGCTGTTGATAGGAGCCAATGACCTGTCGATTGAGCTGGGTGTCCCAGGTCAATTTGATAGCCAGGTTTTTAGACGAGCGTTGGAAACAGTGAGCGGCGCATGCAAAAGACACAACAAAGTCATGGGTTTGGCTGGTATTTACGACAACTCTGTGTTTCAGAAGTGGGCAGTAGATGTTCTGGGGGTGCGATTCATCCTGGGACAGCAAGACTCGGGAATTCTTGCTAGGCATGCTAAAGAATGCTTAGAAACTCTGCAAGCTCTAGGTCCCAAATAAAGCATTTGTATCTACTTTGGCTACAACGGTAGCATAAGTACCACGCATATTCAACAAGTGAAGTTAGGGAAAATGCCGGACTGCTGATAAAGTACACACAATCTGCTTAGCACCTTTATTGGGATGTAGTGACTAGCTCCATATCATGTCCTTACAATTACCTACGATACTAGAGCCCAACTACTGCTAGTCTTATTATGTTCGGACAGTGTTTAGGCTCGGGACGGCATCCCGAGCCATATACTAATGGATAAACCACGAGTTAAACAAGAGGAGTCGCGCACTTACAAGAACTCTTTCTATCTCCTTTGACAATTCCATGCCCAATTGTTCAAAGAAATCCTGGACTTGATGGACCTCGAAAGAAAAATGGCTAATAAACAATCTATCAAACTCGCCCATGTGCAGAGCACCCACGATGGAGAGGTCAGAGAAGTTGAGTCTGAAGCAGGCGGGGGGTTGAGGAAAAATCTGGAAAGCCGCCACATAACTATGATAGCTCTGGGCGGTGCTCTTGGAACAGGGCTCCTTATTGGAACGTGAGTAATAGCTGTAATCTTTTCATTACCAAAGTTCCATCATATTTGACTAATAATATGCAGTGGATCTGCACTTGTCAAAGCTACTTCCGCAGGCGTACTCATCGACTACTCCATCGTCGGATGTGTGGTATTCCTAGTCATGTCTGCTTTGGGAGAGATGGTGTCATACATGCCGCTACCTCGTGAGCCTTTCAAGTTTCGATCATTATCGGTATAATCTTCTGACGAGAAAAGACGGTTTCGGGGGGTTTGCCACTCGTTTTGTTGACCCTCTGCCAGCGCTGCGGCCTCGCCGTTTGTTGTGGCAATTCGACTAGCGAAGATTCGTGGTATTGACCACGTTATAAATGGCTGCTTGATTGTGTTTGTATTTTCTGCTTCAACTTCAGGTACGATATGTACACGCCAATCCCTTCTATTGCAGTTTACTAAGTCGTGAAACAGACCTCTACATTGCCACTAGAACCTTGCATGCCGTTGCAGTTGATAACAAGGCTCCCCAAATCTTCAAAGAACGTCGAACCAAGGCGTGCCACTTTATGCACTTGGCTTTTGCGCCCTATTCCGCACCTTGGGCTATTTGAGTGTTGGCGAAGGGTCGAAAGTCGTGTTTGGCTATCTTACTAACGTGGTGACAGTGTTTGGTGAGTTGGCTCTAGACGGACGATTATTTTCTTCCACTGACACTTTGATTCAATAGCGCTTCTAACATGGATTTCGATACTGGTCACACATATATTCTTCCGAAGAGCTTGTAAAGTCCAACAAATACCACGCGACAGGATACCCTACACGGCACCGTTGGGCACGTATGGATCTTTCGCAGCTCTGTGCTTTTTGGTGATTCTCATATTGACCAAGGGCTTCCAAGTGTTTATTGGCGGATTTGACCACAAAAGCTTTATAGTGCAGTATATTGGTATCCCGGTATACTTGATTTGCATATTTGGCTACAAAGTGGTGTACAAGACAAAACGAGCCAGAAGCTCTCAGGCAGACTTGATCACTGGAGTCCCAACGGAGACTCTTGCCGAAGAGAGAAGCCGAGTTGAAGCGGAGAAGGCACAGTCACGTATGGGAGAGAAGGGATCAAAGGGATCAATCTTTTACTCCAAGGTGCTGTCATGGCTTTTCTAGGATATTTACTGTCACATGTAGTAAGAGATGTTTGAGGCTAGTTTGTAGTCGCCAACATTCATTATAATTGTCAAATCAAGGCTAAACATGATCCGATACCAATTTTCTGATGCATATATCGAATTATTTGTCACAACTGACACTACTTTTCGATCGGTCAAGGCGGATAATCCCTCATTCACATGGTATACACGCAAGTAGGCAAGGCAGACTCAATTTTACTGCTAGATTTATATAATCATAGGCAAAGGGAAGTAAAATAAATCTCCTTGCCACACTTGTATTTTGACCAGGATGCCCTTCGCGTCTTTCCACAACTCCAGTGCCTCGCCCGATACATTGTCCCGGTAATTTAGCTCCTTCTACATTCCTTCATTCTCCTGTTTACTTACGCATCGAGGAGGCGAACGACATAATCAATTGCTCTCGCAACGCTTTCTATATTGGACTTGTTAAGGCCAGAAATATTGATACGGCCGTTGGGTGGAAGGTAAATATGAAACTGCTGTATTAAGACCGAGCACTGTCGCGGCGATAGTGTGAGGAACCTATTGACTGTTAGTATATATAAGACCGAAGTTGTCCGGCTAGGTAAGCTACGAGAACAAGCCACATTCTTCAGGAATGTGTCCCCAATGCCCAGGCGTCTTCAATGTCGAATTAGTGGATATGCATAGTTGATCTGACGACTGCCATCTGCTGCCTAGCTTGAGAAATTTACTCAGTAAATCATACAACTGTTGCCGCAGTTCGTACAGCCGATGCATCATGGCAGACAACTCCGTAGCCCTTGAAAAGACGGTTAGCCTTTGCACGCATAAAGGTCAGGTCGCGGCGAAGAGAGTAGTTGCTAACCACATCTGTTTTAGATAGGCCGATCGTTGGATAATGTTTACCAGGCGGGAACCATAGGCTGGAGAAGAAGAAAACTCCCACCGTATGAGGCATCGTAGGCGATCATGCGTTGCGCTTGCTGCCTCCGCAGTCCCGCATACGATGTGAAGAGCACCACACCGCTCACCGTACAAGCCAAAGTTTTTCGAAAAGGACTGGCAAACCATCATGCTGAAGCCCAACCTGGCAAACAGTCGTACAGCGAATGAGTCCTCATCAAGTCCTCTTCCGAGTCCCTGATAGGCCGAATCGAAAAGCGGAATGTGGTCACCGGCCCGAAGCGCCATTGCTAACTCATGCCACTGCTCCGGTGATGGATCTGCGCCAGTTGGATTGTGACAACAGCTTTGAAAACTGAATACACTGTTGCGAGGGGCCGAAGTGATGGCCGCACGGATGGATGGGAAATCAAGAGTGCGATCAACTTCATCGTAATGCGGGTACTCTACAGTTGGCACTCCTACCAGGTCGAGCATTGGTTTGTAATTGCCCCAGGATGGTGTGCCGATACATACCTTGGCTGCGGTACGATGCACTTGGCCAAATGAAGTACGGCAAGATGATTTGCCCCAGTGCCGGAGACGGTTTGTACTGAGGCGACCTGCGCATTGTTGTCAGCTTGTTAACCATGCACGAGTCACATAATTGAAGCTGACGTGATTAGACGCAAGACGTGAGCAGTCTTGACCGAAGATGAGCTTAGGTGCGTGCTGTAAAAACTCTGGGTTTCCAGTGGTAACCTCGTACTATATTCATCTTTATTAGATCCAAAGATAATAATAAAAGATGGAACCATCTTACATCATGGCCCAGGCTCTGTTTCGAGAGCTCAACTTTGGCTTGATTCAATCCCATTAGAAGTCAGACTTTGTGCTATTATGATGATGGACTTGCCTGCTTGATGCAATCCATTTATTGATACATGCCTGCCTCGTTTCGATAAATACCAACACCGAGATCAGCTTTTTGATCACATTCATCGCCGTCGGCCTGTTTTTTCAGCGTATACATTGGGTCTGGAGAGCCAGCCTCGATGCCTTCCAGCATTGTGCTGATCCGTGAGTTGCCCATCGCAACACCGCAATAAAGGAATAAAAACAGATGTAAGCAAATAAAAAAGGTTCTATTTAAAAGGGTTTTTCAAGAATCAAGCCTCTACATTTACGTTGGCTTTTAACTAGATATTTCCTTTTGACTCTCTCTGAATGTTAATATGCGTTTCGGGATACGGGGCCGAGACGGATTATGTTTCAACGCTAGTCAGGGCGACTCGGAACTCTAGTCCGAACCCAGCTTGAACTATTGCTTGCCCTGTCCTTACAAATCGGTCATTACGCTTGGCATCAGTACCACTAAAATGCATTTTTGACAGCTACAAGACACACCTTTGAACTGGCTCGACCGAGGCCAAATACTACACCCGAAACCTACAAGTAGCCTGCCTAGCCGCTATAAGATTCACTTGACCTGGCCACCCTCGTCTTGGCTAGGATTCATTTCGTCACATGATAACTTGTCTTGATTCTCCTATCTAGTGTGAGGAAGCATTCCTATTTTATATCAGGAAACTGGGCTCTTCCAGGATTGAATCCTAGTTAAATATCCTGTGGTACTGTGTATCAAATCACCGTGTATACAAGTTTGACATTACTCCACCTTTAATTTCTATTTATTGATTCAACTAGTTGAAAATTCCTCCTTGTTCCTTTGCTTAACTTAATACATATAAGGGACGTTTATTATCAATGAAATGGCTTTATTAGCATAATCGTCTCGGGTATGGACAGCCCCTCTCGAAGACGGATAATCGGTCACGAGAGTGAAGCTACATATTACATGGATACTTATTGAACCACAGAGATCAACAGAGCGATGTCAAGCAGTAATTCTGTTTATTTATTTACACCATTTAGCTATGTACTTGTTTTGTGAATGCACAAGAGTACTTTCACCCATGTCATTTTCTCTCCCTTGATGGATGAATTCACTGAGTGGCGCAAAATGCTTGAACAGCAGGCAGAACCACATCTATGAATCATATATATAAGCATTTGACACATGAAAAGTTTTCATCGGTTCTACGGCCGCAAGGAGACGGAATACATACTGATGGCCTCATCAGCACCACAGGCGGCAACAACGCAGTTAATGGAGGCGCTCTCCACATTGGCGAAGTTTGCGTCTGAGCAAGCGCATGCATAGTCGGCAGCAGCACAAGTAGTAGCACTTGCAATTGCGTTCTGAATGCAAGGTTGAGCACATGCGGGAATATCATCGATGGTTTGACCGTAGACGGCGGCGGCAAAGGCAGCAAAGGCGAGAGTGAACTTCATCTTGAAGAGTCGAAACCGAGAGATTGTTTAAGCAGGGAAGGGCTTTGTTCGAAGAGTTGATGAGAGAGGTTGTTTCTTTCTTGAGTTCTGGCTTGGAAAGAAACAAAGAAAACGTACGGGCCGGAAACCCTCGACTTTATAGTCTTTGATGGACCAGACAGCCGAGGAAGCGAGCTCTCTGGCCATAAGCATGTGCTCTTTCTTTGGCAGCAAGGACTCTCATTGGAACTGTATTACCCCCCTCACATGTTTTGAATTGCAACTCTCCCCGCATTCTTAATTAGCATTAGGTACACACATGCACCCCAGACGGACATGATCACTGAAGTGGTAAGACTGGCGGAGGATCATTCTATTTTGATCCTTGGAGTGGTATTGTGCCTTCTGAAGAGGCGAGGCCCGCCTCCTATGTGTAACGGATTTACGTAGGTTGTTTGCCATGAAATCACACGACGATCCGTATACAGGCTAGATGGCCAATTTGCCCGTCGGCTCGTCGGGGTTGAAGGCCGATGCCCCCGGGCGAGAGGAATGGGAGCACTGAAATATGATGGGGACTGAGCTTGCGCTATTGATGAATGAAGTCGGTTATAAATACAATTTGTAGTCTTCTAATGTTGATGAATTGTCATGAGGTGCTGTGATGAGTCCATGGCAAGTGAGAGAACTTCAGCCAAGGCGGTTTGAGGCTACGGGTTGATTGCTGTCAAAATCTGCCATGGATTGCGGAGAAGCGCCAAGTAAGCTAAATTCGGCAGTTGGAGCAAGGGATAGAGATGTCAGGCACGTGAAAATAGGATCAGATTATACATGAATATTACTACAACTTGTAGCCTCCAAGCAGCCCAATGTCGACCCCGCTCCCGTAACGATTACGACCTTCCCGATCGATGCCAATAACATATGCATCATGGAGATGACATCACAAAGTCTGATCAGGCTGCTACAAAGAAGAATCGTGGATGGCGAAGATGCGGGGTGATGAATGCCTTTGGAGCTGAAACCGGGGAGAGTTCAGCTCTGTCTGCATAAGTGAATTCGTCCGACTGGTTGCCATGTCTAAATCACTTCGTACCATAAGCTGCCTGTCACTACATCTTTGAGAAAGCATATCGAAAGTTTGCTAAAATAATAAGAATAGTAAACCACGATGCAGACATTGATTGTCTGGGTCGAGCTTCTTCTTGTTTTAGGCATTGTAATTGAGGCGGATCAATATGCCCTCAGGAGGACGGAGTACTAAGAGCTGAGGAAGACGTGTACATAGGTAGCAACACGTGATCCCCTGTAGTGAATCAATGCTCTTTACCTCTATCTGTTTGCTGTGATGACTTTGTCTTTTTTCTTTTTAGTCGGATAGCCTCAATTGATCGCATGAGACTTCTCATCGTCACACAAAGTTGAGTTATCGGTTATACGAAGAAGAATTACACACGGCCAAAGGCATAAACTTGCACAGCGACAAGCATTCTTGTGTGGCATTTACTAGAAAGTAAGCATCCCTGGTCTCTCTATCCAATTCGTCTGGATTTGCATGGCAACACAAAGTACAGGTTAAGAGACTCTACGTTACCAGAGCACTCCGACCGACGGCCGGAGTTTAAGGACCCTGCTTGTGGTCTGTTGGCCATAGCGCACCAATGGCCGTGTTCCTAGAGATCAAGCGAGACGCGATCCTCGCTTCTTACCGTGCCGTGCCATGAATGCTCAGCCGACATGTACACGTATAGCCTCTACGGGACACTGGAAGCCATTATTGGGATGGACCTTTCTTTCTTCTTACCGGCCTCGTGAAATGCCATTCTAGAGCTTCGTAGAGAAGCATCAACAGCGTCCAAGCAGCAACTCGTATCCCATATGGGATATTGGTGGCCGACGACGTAATCTCTGACCCTGGCCAGCGCCAAGCCAAATTTCGATGGCAAGGTTGAAATCTCCTTGCGTGAGCGGCATGAAACTGGGAACCGCTCTCATGCAACTCCTTTTTACATGCGTACGGAGGATTATCGTGTCAGCTCCGCCCTTGTCAACGCAAGATGATCCAGCCCGAGAATCGTGTCATCCCAGTCCGGAAAATCTCGTGTCGCGTGAGCGCCGTAGCGGCAATGCTAGCGGTAATAAGGCGCGTTCGTCTTCCCGTACTGTAGACATGCAAGTCTTCAAGGCGCACGGTCGTTCCACTGGATGGCGTAACTGGACGGGGATTTGGGGATTCAGCAGGGGCCGTCACGATGGTGTGGATAATATCGGACGGGGCGGGTATGTACTCCATAGAGCTTGGGATTAGTCGTTTGGAGTGCAGTAGAAACCGAAGAAAGTGTCCGGATTTTTGTCCAGTCCATCGTGCATGTGGCTGATACAGTACGAGTACGAAGGAAGATGAAGAGTGCCGTGTTCATGCTTGCCACTTCATTCGTCGGCTGGTATCAAGACTGGGAAGCTCCATGTATCCCTTCATTGCCTGTCCTATGATGATGATTCGGATACCCAACTTGAATGCCTGTGAACAACATGGTCAGAGTTTCGACGCCTGTTTAGAAGCTGTAGCAGCTGTTGACCGACGACAACACTGCACGAGCCACATTAAGCCACAGAACTGGTCCGTTGTCCAGGTGCCTGGCCTATTTTAGTTCGGTTTGCAGTACGTGAGTTGTTCGACCCTGTTTCTGAAGCGTTCGCTGTCGGCGTGGTGCAAAACTTGGTCGCCTGTGGTCAGCTCTGGCGCTTCATCAGCAGTGGCATGTGCTCTCATCATGCCCCTTTGCCTCAGCTAGGTAGATGCGCATGCTGGCTGGCATCCGTCACACATCTCGTCACACCTCATTTTGCAGGCCTGTCATGTTAGCGTCCGCGAAATCACGACCCCTCCATGGGCCGAAAACGCGCAACCCTGAAAGCGGCGACGCAGGAACCACGTGTGTATTTGCAGTGCTTGGCCGGGATTCGTATTGGCTGGCGGGAATTTATCGAGGACCCCCCTCGATCGCGTAACCAAACGGCATGGCACTGTGTAAGAGAGAGAAGAAGAAGAAGAAAAGAAGAAGAAGAAAAGAATACGTCGAGAAGACCCGAAATAGCCGTTCCGAGACGGGTTTGTAATGTGCAAGCAGGATGATGCAGCATCTGATAGCACTTGTGGCCCATGGACAAGGAGATGAACGGGACGGGGATCGTTTATCAAAGTTGCATGTTGCAGGTCTTGGCAGTAACTCACCGCTTTGTTGTATTTTTGGAGGCTCTCTCTGGTGTCTGTCTGTCTGTCTGTTCCTGTCTGCTGCGTGTCTCGCGTGGCGTCAGGCACCGGGTTGGCTGGGTACGTACGGGTTCTTGTTCTTACCAGTGATCCGTCCTGATTCTCATCGACTGTCATGTACCGACAAGTATCGACTTCTTCTCCTGATCAGACACGAGGGCTTCAATCTATTGCTGTACTCGTACTGGGTTATTGCCCCTCCATCCACTTCCTAGCGCGTGCCTGAAAGATCCGGACACGGCGGGGCAGGATTTGCACCTGCTGGACGCTCTCGGCCAAGTACGGAGTACGCAGCGGCGCCTTGTAATCTGCAGCGGACGAGAGTAGCAGCGACCGCCGATAGTTACATGTAGGTAGAGGCTGCGTAAGACGCTATACGCTAGAGCCCACCACTAATAAGCAACGGGAGAATTAGAGGATAGGGGTCAATACTGCCAATCCATACTACGACTTCAGTGGTAGGGTCTGGTGTCAATACATGTATTCAAGTCTCAACAGCATCACCAGTGACAGTCACTTGATGCATCAACGACCTGAATAATCACTCTCTGACTCAACTTTAACTCGAGTACCCAAGTCAATTGTCTGTTACCAAAGTACATCATTCGTCACATCATCCAAAAACCCGCGCTAAGCACCCCCAGGACCCTCCAAGGCTGCTTCCAGATAGCAGAATGGGCTGTTGACCAAAAAAGGCCTAGACATGCGTGCATTTCCCGCGCTGCTGATTAAACGCAAATCCTCGTAGCCCTTTTCGCTCTTCTGCCAACTAACTCGACCTGACCTTAGTATCCCCAACTCCTTTCTTTTTGCCTGTGCCTGTGCCAGCATTACCTCTTCGTTTATATCTCGCAGACGGGCTCGATCCATATACCCTCATTCCAGGATCCCCATCCCCTCGTTGAAGCCACCACCCGCATTTGCATTTGCTCGGATACATACGTCGGTCAACTCTCTCTCTGGCCCGATCCACCCCGTAACCATGGCCTCAGTTATCGACGCGGTCAAGACTCTCAGCCTCAATGGCTCCGCAAAGGAGGTCAACGGCGACAAGATTGCCATTCGCAACATCTGCTGCGTTGGCGCTGGCTATGTCGGTATGTCACCCCTGCGTCTCGTTTATTTGTCGACCGACTCCGCTGTCGACAGTTAACCGGGCCTCGAACCGAACCGAACTGAACTGAACTGGACTGACACCTGAACAGGTGGCCCTACCGCCGCGGTCATTGCTTTCCAGAACCCTCACATCAAGGTCACCGTGGTCGACCGAGACGTGACCCGTATCCGCCGATGGAACTCGCGCCATCCCCCCATCTACGAGCCCGGCCTGCACGACATTGTCCGCATTGCCCGTGATGGCGGCCGCGAGACCGACATCTCTGGCCAGTCCTCCGAGGGAATCGCCTCCGAGAAGGGCGAGACCAAGGTTGCTCGCCGAGAGGGCAACCTCTTCTTCAGCACCGACGTCGCCGGCCACATTGCCGAGGCCGACATTGTCCTCGTGGCCGTCAACACCCCCACCAAGGAGCGCGGTGTCGGTGCCGGCAGCGCCACAGACATGACTGCTTTCGAGGCCGTCACCGGCTTCGTGGCCCAGTATGCGCGCGAGGGCGCCATCATTGTCGAGAAGAGCACTGTTCCCTGCCGAACTGCTCAGCTCGTCGCAGACACTGTAAGTAGCGGCCAACACCCAATCGTCACCCGGAAAATGCCCAAGCATCATTCTGACCTCCATTCTCCGTAGCTCGCCATGCACCGCCCCGGTGTCCACTTCGAGATCCTGTCCAACCCCGAGTTTTTGGCCGCCGGTACCGCCGTCAACGATTTGCTCTACCCCGATAGAATCCTCATCGGCTCCGCTCCCACTCCCTCCGGCAAGCGGGCTGCCGAGGCTCTGCTCGAGGTCTACGCCGCCTGGGTTCCTCGCGAGCGTATCCTGACGACCAACGTGTGGTCCTCTGAGCTTGCCAAGCTGGTTGCCAACTCCATGCTGGCTCAGCGAATTTCCAGCATCAACTCCATCTCTGCCGTCTGCGAGCAGACTGGCGCCGATGTTGACGAGGTCGCCCGTGCCATCGGTGTCGATCCCCGTATCGGCAACAAGTTCTTGATGGCCGGTATCGGTTTCGGCGGCAGCTGCTTCAAGAAGGACGTTCTCAACCTCGTCTACCTGGCCGACACCATGGGCCTGCCCGAAGTTGGCGAGTACTGGAGACAGGTCGTCAAGATGAACGAGTACGCTCGTGATCGATTCACCAACCGCGTGATTAAATGCCTCAACAACACCCTTGTCGGCAAAAAGGTCACCATCCTCGGCTACGCCTTCAAGAAGAACACCTCAGATACTCGTGAGGCTCCTGCTCTGGAGATGATCAAGACGCTCCTGGAGGAGCGGCCCCGCGAGATTGCCGTCTTCGACCCTTGCTGCAACCCGTTCGTCGTCAAGAACGAGATCAAGGCCCTTCTCGGACCCGAAATCACAGCCAGCGTCCACGTCTACGGCAATGCCTACGACGCCTGCAAGGACAGCACAGCGGTCGTCATCGCTACCGAGTTCGACGAGTTCCGCAACCAGCCCATCCCCGTGGCCGCTCCCAAGCCCGTAGACCAGCCCGAGCCCAAGATGCTTGGCCGCAAGCCCAACCCCAAGGCGGACCCCAGACCGTTCAAGGAATCGGCCCCCACGGAGAACGATCTCTTGGCGCTGCACAAGCACCTGGTGCAGCGCGACGGCCAGACGTCCCAGGATCCTCTGGACCGATTCAACGTCGAGCCCGACTGCGACGAGAGCTGCCCCGACTGCATCCAGGCCAAGGAGAGCAAGGAGACGGGCTTCGCCACGGGCATGGGCAGCGCCGAAGAGTACAAGCCCAAGGAGCGACTGGACTGGGTGCGCATTGCCGAGACCATGGCCAAGCCCCGATGGGTGTTTGACGGCCGTGGCGTCATTGACTCTCGCGAGATGATCAAGCTGGGCGTTCGCGTCGAGAGTGTCGGTCGCCAGCACCGCTTCTAGGTGCGTGATATAATGTCGGTGGTTTTTCTTCTTTGTTAAAGGGCGGCCGCGATACGACCTTTTACTCCTTTTTTGAGGCTGTGCATCGGTAATGCAGGTGGGCCTGGAACAAAACTACCTTATTGTTTTAATGAAACCTTTGGATGACATTGTACGGCGGCGGATGTGAGACATTCTGCATCACTTGGGAAGAATCTGTTTCGGCAGTTGGTGGCTGGGAAGAGAAAAGAAAAGAGCGGTCACCCAGGGGCTGGTGGCCTCGACGACCTCTAGATTAAATTGGATCAAGCAATCTAGAAACAAATACCTGATACAATATTTTTAATTTTGAATCATCAGTGAAGATGCGAGTCCCGTGGTAAAGAATAAATGGTTGTAAAATCTATGAACAAGGACTGACTATGCTTGCCAAGGGGTATCCGAAACGATTTTCCAGAGACTTTCACATGTCTTTCGCATCATTTTACTGACATGGAGTTGCACTCTACCGATGAGTCACCTTAACGTCTCCTGCACCTTGCGCTACTTGGTCTATGGGTAAGCATCTAGAGTTAAATATCGTCAGACGTTGCTTTTATCGGGGAGTTGCGTCACTCTTTCTGCCTCCACGGACGGGACGCCTCGGTCAGGCGGGATCGAGAAGCCGGCGTAGATGTAGGTGAGCACGACAATGTACTCTGGGAGCAGCGCCATCAACCCAAAGGCCACGACATTGCCCTCTATGGGGTTGAAGGGCGAGGTGGCGCTGTCTTGGAGAGCGACTTCCAGGAGGCCAAAGACGGTGCGAATGATGAGGAACGGGGATGCGAGGAGGCCGCCGCGTAGGACCTGAAGGGGTAACATTGTCAGCATCTCTTGTTTAATGAGTGTAAGTTTGAGAGAGGTGGGATGTGACATACAGTTTGGCTACTAGGCAGGAGTGTGTGTTTCTTGCGCCAGAAAAAGGCCATCATGGAGATGAGCACCGCGAGCATGACGGCAAAGACAATGTATCCGACGAGAGTAAGCGTGCGGCTCGTGTCCATCGCGGACGGCGTGCCGATGGAGCTGACGCCGCCGCCGGCGGAGAGGAGGCCGATGGCGACGAAGATGCAGAGACGCATGATGACGCCGATTTTGTTGGCGCGGGGGTTGGAGCCGTAGTTGTCGATGAGGCTGTTGCAATACTGGATGAGTCTTTTTATCCTTGGATGAAGGAAGGGGTTGATGGGCGGTGTGTAGACTTACACGATGCGGACGTAGCCGAGCGTGGCTATGATGAGAGGCACGACGCCGACGTTGAGGAGGATGATGGCTGCGACGTAGAGGCCGATGCTGGGCTTTTGCTCGAGGGCGATGATGACGGGGCCGCCGGCGAGACGCACTGTAAGTGAATCAAGTTAGATTTGTTGATGGATGATTTTTAACAGTGGAATTGTAGAGGCATACTTAGACTAAAGGGAATCATGGGCCACCAGGCGAGGCGTGGCCGGATTCTGCCGTTGCGCTTCATGAGCCAGATGGCGGTTGGGACGATGGGTACGTAGAAGATGATTTGGGCGATGCCCAGGGATTCGTGAGAGTTGAGCATGTTTGGGGGTTGCTCACGTCTGTCCTGGTGAGGTTGTCACTTGTTGGAATGGAGAGACTGATTATCCACAACCACAACTCATTGAGTAAGACAGAGGCATCACGACTTTTTAAATAAGCTACTGGCCATTAAAGATCCCATCGCAACACAGCCGCCAACGTGCATGTAAAACACCCAATCCAAAACCTTTCCCATCTCAAAAGGCAGCCCCCAGGGCCAACAATGCCCCGAGATTATCCTCCTAGAGCTTGCCGGGTTCCGGGGCCGACGAATCACATCGCCGCGGCTCTGCTCAGCTGAGGGCGAATACACGTAAACTTGGCCATCAGCTCGTGGCATGATGCTTCAAAGGGGATAAACCCGCCCCTCCTCGTTCAACCTTATCTTCCTCGGTGAAATGGGATGGGCTTTTCTGGCTTGTGTTTAGCGGGTTTGATGATCTTCACGTAGCTGTTTGGGCTTGATGCTTATTGGTGTTCCTTGATGGCTCGTTTTCTTTCGTGGTATAAAGCCGTTTTGGGGTTAATGCTGGACCGGTTTGTTTCTAGTGTGAAGGGATGATTGGTTGGAGGCGAGATTGTGTTAGTGGTGGATAGTACTCGTAAGAATCGAGGGTTGAGCTACACGAGAGATACGACACAATGAGACATGGCAACTGGAAGAGAATACTAATAGTAGGATTTTGTACATTAGTCCCCTTTGTATTTTGCACCATGTGCTTTGAGACAATCTTCGCTTCCCCCGAGACTCTTGATTCATGTGCAAGTTGACGCAGGCCCTCGTCATGTTCATTTCGTGCCATCTTGCCGCTTTGGGGTTGGTCAAGTGCCTGAGCCACGTTTGACGCACCCGACATGGCTTGGTGCCACATGGCTTGGATCATGTTAGGCTGCCGCGAGTTGTAGCCTCTTTTTCCGTTCCCTTCTTCTTCCATTCTTTTTCTCTTTTGGGAGTTAACCGTTAGCCAGAGAGGCCGCCAAGATGTGGTAAAGATTGGAAGGTTGACGGTGGCTCAATGAGGCTGTGGATGCGGTTTTACGTCATGGTGTAGGGAGTTGTGCTACCGTACGTGTTGGAAGGGAGGCTGAATCTTGTAAGTGGAACTGCGGACACACAGAGATTCAATTAGAGGCTGTAAAGGATAAAGCCTACTAGAACAATATAAGAGACATACAAGCCTCATGCAATCTCGGAAATGGTTGACATTGGCGACGGGGATAACGGTAGATGGTAACAGAGACATGGCATGACAGGATCAAGATGTATGCTTCGTTCCAGATCTGAGAGATTTGGTCCTTATTGGTTACTAGTGTCTCATTATTACATTCTCAACTTAATTCAGCCTACATACTCTATCCACTTAGTTGTCAACATTCACCACCAAAGTTGGAGACAAGGCAAACGCAAAATCCAGCTCATCAATATAAGCAGTAGCCGCGTCCTTTGGCGACGCCTTTTGGCCCATGAAGCTCCTCATCGACCGGGAGGACACGACGTAGTCCCGGAATTGGACTTCACGCTCCGGCCAAGAAGCAGAGATTTGCTCTTGACAGCGCCGGATGTCTTCACGGACCTCGCTGAGAAATATCTGCCTTGTTTCCTCCAAGTTGTTGCACTCTTTGTCATACTCGCAGTTTCGTATATGATCGTCGGATCTGGTTCGGACGGCAAGGCATTTTTGATCGGAAAGGATGCACATTTTGAGCAATCGGATGTCGGCCTGCCAGACGTTAGTTATCATAAGAATAAACGTGTAACGTTAGGAGGATCACGTACCTCAGTCAGGGTAGTGTCGTGGACGAGGACAACAGTATCAAACGCGTACAGCATCTGATCATGGTAATACTGGAACGCCCTCACATCCTGGGTCCCCGCACCGGGAATGTCGTAGAGCACAATCTCCGGGTGGTTGGGTATCTCGTGGCGAGTTATGCCCATCGTCACTTGATTAGAGCCCACGCGGGCAGCACCTTCGTCATTTCCGCCTTTATTGCAAATGGCATTGATGAGTGATGATTTTCCGACATTGACGTTGCCGGCGAAGACAATATTCTGTTTGCCTTTGTCATAACCCACCGTATCCTGAGCGCTGAGTATAAGCTCTTTTGTAATTGCTGGCTGGTCTGTATCATAACCCCTGGCATGAATTAGTTCAATATGTACAATGAACATGGTCAGAAGATAAACACGTCTTACAGCTCTTGTAGTAGTGCTATTCGTCTTTGCTCACTTTCTCGCTCTCTTTCCTGCGACTCCCTCAGCCTCTGCTGGGCTTGGCGAGCTCTCCTTTGAGGACGTGCGACTATCTCTTCATAGCCCTTCCAGAGACCAGCCACTGCGCCTGGGATAAGAGGAACCCATGCCATATTTTTTTGATGATACAAAACGGATGGTTGTTGTTGAGAAGACTGGCCCCTCTTGATGGACAAGGAGTAGACGGCACAAGGGGGGTCATTTATAACCCGCGAACCAAGCCGTATGAGAAGTATTCGAGTCAAATAACTAGCTACCTGACTCTCTTGAGAGCGGGGTAATACATGATGCATTACTGAATGACCGCTCTTTGCTTGTTGCGTTTTCCCTTGCATGAAGCCACATTCAGCCTCGCCGGGCAACTGACAAGTTCACCGAAAGTGGTGCTGATTCGTCCGTTACAGCAGGATGATCTTAGCACTTGAGGTGAAGTGTATAAACAAAAGTCAGCCAAGACTTATTCTTCTTTTAGTAGCTGTACTTGATATCATATGATTCAATAGTGTGTCCAGTAGCTTTTGCTAGCCATTCGGGCGTGCGGCTGTCATCCTTATTTGCGATGGTTGTGCTTTCGACCACTGCAGACACAGCCAATCATCACGAGCTCATGATTCATCACTACGCCAATTCATGTTAAATAGCTAATGTAATTGATTAATCCCTTCTTTTTCTGCCTGGCAATTACAAACTATACACCGAGAATCGCCATCTCGTACGCAGCGACGTGCGATTGCCGAAAACGGATAAAAGTCTCCACGATCTTGTTTCGCATTGCGTTTCGCGCTGTCACGGCTGTGCCCGCCTCGCAGAAGCACCGCAGCTAGATTGTTTCAGAGCCCGGTCAAGGAGCCACGGGTCGAACCTTGATGTTCGTTGGAGTTGACAGCTGCCAAGCGGCATCGCACATCTCTTCTGGGGGATTCAATGTCTGTGCATTGCTGAGTACCGACGGCCAGATCGGCCGTGCTCAATCAGGGATTAATACATCAAAGAGCTTTATCTGCGAAAAAGATTCTTCATTCTTCATCGCCCTTTATTGCAGAGTGTATAGTCCGTATGCCGGCTGACGTACTGATTCAATGCTTTACAGGAGAAGGCGGACGTGTCATGTTAATTCTCCTCGGTCGAGGGTGGCCACAGAACCCCTTTGCCACGTTTCAGCAATAAAGCCTCCTGCCAAACTGACTAGCCGTGATATTCTACGGAGCGTGTACATCCCTTATCTATCTTCTGCATATTACATGTAGTATCCAACGCCGTGTTGATGCGAAACTCTGGGATGAGCCATGCAAAGTCTTCTTTCTCTAAGACTCCGTAAACTTACACCAGCCTGCCATCTCTTTCCCTTCCTCTCTATTCCATTTACGAAACATACCCGACTACAATCAACATTTCTGTATAAACTCCCAGCCTTTCACATACTACAGCCGACATTTCGGAGTCGGGTAGGCAGTGAGCGGCTGCTCTGACACGCCATGAAAACCTGCCGTCCGATCCTCTTCGTCCTATTCGCCATCGCAGCTGGAGAAGCCCTCCCCCCTGATGCAGTTCCTGTCATGTGTGCCGCCATCTGCGGGCCAATAGTCGAGCTGAGTTCGATGTGCAGCCCAAAGAGGTCATTAGAAGGTGTTGAAAGCCATCATTCGGATCGAAGAGCGCGCCTCAGACAGGCCAGAAGGCAAAACGAGAATCCATTCGACGAAACAGATCGAATCGAGAAGCGCTTCTCGGTCATCGTTCCAGCACCGACGACTTTTCCTCCTGATTTGCTAGCTGGACAGTATCCGCCAGCCTCGCCCCCGGTGCCAGAGATCTCAACGCCATTGTCACAATCACCAGCGCCTGTACCTCCACAATATTACTCTCCTCCAACTCATCCAACTACACCTAATTACCTGCCTCCACCAACTCCTCAACCAGCTCTTCAATCCCCCACATCATCTTCAGCATGGAATATTCAGCCACCCTCGAGTCTCTTCACGACTAGGACAGCAACGAGTGCATCTACAACTTCTAAGCATCAAACATCAATACGTCCGACCATGATAGGCTTGAGTGTGGACGATGGTGATTTGACTGGTGGGTGGGGAGAGACGGAAAACGCAGAAGAGAAATGTGTGTGTTCAAACACCAGCTTTAATGTGGCAGAGATTGCTGGATTGTGCGCGAGCTGCATAAGTATGAAGGCGGATACACAAAATAGTGAGTGTCATCGTCCGTCCCTCGGTCGTTTCTCTTTTCAGGACTGATAACGTGTTTTAGATATGGATGTCATCATGTCTGTATGCCAATTCTCTCCACAGCATTATAGTCCAGATAAGGACAGCTTGGTCAGCAACATCTGGGTCAAGGCTACCAGACCGACAGCTACAAGCAGGTCAAATGGAGCTTCTCGATCGACTGGACTTGTAAAATTGGTATCGGTATTCAGTGCAGCGAGCTTCGCCATCGCGGCATTAATGATGTTATGACATGACTTTATCACTCGGTGGAATGGCTTTGCGTACGGTTTCTGTAATATGCTTCCTCGATGGCGGATGGAAGTATGAGTGCAAGGAATGATAATGAAGGCCCTCGGTAGTAGCGAAGTCCAGATGAAAGTACCTAGGCATAATAGAGGAAAGTAGATGCGATGGTATGAGATGCGTGGACGGGATAATACTCAGCAATACCCTTCTAAATGTTTACCGCCGTAATTCACCGGCCCGGACTCTCACCCGTTCCAGACGCTCTCCGTAAAAGGGCAATCCATGGATCCTTTTGATACGGCCGAACTCGCCACAGTTGTGGCACCGTCTTCGGCAGGTCGTTGGCCGGGCGAGGGAGAGCCGCCATTAAGAAAGAGGAGGCGGCGTTGGAGGTGGTGATAGTGGTGGTGGCTGGGGCCGGCCCGCTCCGGGCAGTGTCGTTTGACGTGCCCTGGCTCATGACAAACGTAGCACCGCTTCTCGGTGGTGGTGGTAGTGGTGTTGGTGGCTATTGCCACGGTGGTGGTGGCGGCGGGAGTGGGAGCAGCCGGAAGTGCTGCTGCTTGCTGTTGCTATTGCTGTTGCTGCTGGTTCTCCAACGCAGCAAGACGACGCCTGATATGACCATCCGTGATCGCCCTCTCGTTTCTCTTCGTCCACCTCTGCGGCTTGTATGCTTCGGATTAATGTTTGTGGTCGTCTTCTCTATCTCGGAGTTGTGCACTGCTAATAGAACAAAGTACCTACCTGTACCCAGCGATGGTAGACGTGAATTGAGATGCTAGATTAAAGCAGGGATACTAGAAGAAAACAGTAATAGTAAAAAAAAGTAACGAGAGTAAGAGAAAGTAGCAGTAAATAACCATAAAAAATAAAATCGTTGTAGTAGATGGAAGAATGAGGTTAGATGAGAGTAGCGATAGTAGATAAAGTGGTGATAGTAACAGAAGGTCATTCCATTTCCTCTGTATCCAACTAGTAGGGACAATATTTGAGCCCCATGGACAAAGTAATTGCTGGGGTTCAGACGGTCAACTGGATGCGAGATACTACACATAATGAAGTCTTTCCAGCTGTACCTAGTAGGTAAAGTGGTATTATCCGTTGTTCTGGGCAACAGAAGTACTATTTTCAACTTGAGTTAAAATGCCGAAAGGGTAATTAGCAGACTTCTCAAGGTGCTTATAGTGTGGGTTGTTTTTGTCTTAAATGACGATAAAAATCAGCTGGGTGTATTTTTGCTTACGAGTAATTTGATTGTGCGTATGTGCGAGCGTGAGAGCAACGTTGTTCATGTTGCCTGGCATTTCCACAATCACAAGTCAGTCCTGCAGGCGCCTCCATGGCCCATAAAAGTTGACTTGAATGTATGGGCAAACAGTTGAACAGAGCAATGTTGTTCTTGGTGTTGCTTAGCAATTGCACAATCACAGGGTCATTATCGTACTGACAATAGAGATAACTTGTTCTAGGGGATTATCAGATTTGTCACCTGCGGGGACAACAGGCCGGGCTCTCTTATTGGTATCCCCTTTGCCGGCCTGTACGGTGGAGGTCGCAGCTTGACGGAGCTCAGTTCCTTTCGGCCTGTATCTTCTGGGAGGTTTAGAAACACAGAAACAACGCCTCTTCCAGTCTTGTTCTGCACAAGTCGGAAGATCGTGGTGGTGGCAGAGGTCATCGGGCTGGCGCCTATCTGCTCCATGCTTCTGATCAAATGCAAGTCCATCAACGCACTGCATTGTAACCTTGAGCTTGTTGCATCATCGCAGATGGCTGCCAGGATCAGAAGACGACTAACCTCCTCTCTCTTCCTGTAGAGGCCTAACGATCGTGGTGCTGATCTGTGGCGGATCTTGAGCTAGTACGGCGGCAGCGATCATTGTTGCTGCAGCAATTTGACCACAGCACCACATTCAGCTACAATATGTCAGCTATTAGCAAGATCCGGCAGGACCTTGGTGGAAATACATGTATGCGGACAAACGCTAGTTTGAGTCGGCGTTACATTGCCCTTGGGCTGGATGGCATCGTGATGAGCGCGACCATTGCGGCTCCGGGGCTGGCACCATCATGGGATGCTCTCAAGCGATTGGCGTTTCTGGCTCCACCCCGAGGCTGAGACTCAGACAGTGAGCAGAGACGGTGAGATGGAACAAGGAACACAAAATTGGGGGTGCCTGTTCATGGGATGGCTCGATGTGCAGTACTCGTACTTACTATGAGTCACGAGGAATCCCACGCGATCATTGCCGGCAAGGCGGACTCCGTACATGCTGTTTACTCCCGATAACTTGTCTCGTTTCATTATTTCCAGGTTTTTCAGTAGCTCGCTAACTGATATCTTGGAAGCTTCTTGTCCTCATCAATGAGAATATCCATAGGAGTCTCTACGGCATTCCAAGTGGTATAGAAAAAGATATCAGCCTTGTGATCCCAAGACAGTAAGTTGTACAGCTCAAGGACCGTGACGTGAAGCCCTGGCAGAATTTAGATTATCGAGACTATTGTCATGTTCAAGAATTGTTTCGCACCGCCATCCATCTCTCTGGTCCAAATCTTTCCAACAATCTTTCCAAGTGAAGGGGGAGGGGGGCAATGCGGTCAATGGCCCACATTCCCAAGGACTGTGTCCAGCCGAAGAACCGATGGTGAATGTCGCAAATCCAACGAGAGTATGTCAGATTCCTCTATATGAAGATGATGTGATGCCTGATTGTTGTTTAGCCGGCCCCTTTGCCAAAGATTGTCCCGACGGAGGCGGCAGAGCTTGTTGTAACTGCGGCCAAGAAGGCCACATTCCCAAGGATTATGATCAGGCCAAGAACATGAACAATATTGTCTGTGCAAGAGCTGATCACATCTCCCCCAGCTCCCCGACTTGGTCTCATCTAAATTTACTGTGGCTATAGCGACGTAACGTCATCATATTCATTTTTTGTCAGGGAAATGATATCAGAACGGAAACTTCTGTTCAACGACTCGTATTGTCGCGACCTTAAGAGCCAGGTCGTGACAACATGCAAGACGAGCTATCGAAATGTGGCTCAGCTCCACGGGAGGTTGTTCTCCGAGGTGCCTAGAGACGCACATTCATCACGCCTCCATGCAGTGGCCTGATTTTCAGTTGATAAAATCATCGTCATCGATCTCTAATTTCTCTTCTCGCCCTTGGCAGAAGCGATGGCCACCATTCTTGCTCTCTTTTCTTCTCTCCTTCTCAACGACTTGAGCTAACGATTGACGCAAATCTGGAAGTCTTTTTATCACAAAGAATAGAGGCCAGGTATGCGAGTATCCAAAATAGCCCTCACATCAAGTCGAAAGGGATTGCATATTGGATGCCCAGCGATTAGGTACATGCTTCTCGATGCAACAGACGGCAGCAGCACCATTGGTGCGCTTCTCAATGCAACAGAAGGTCTTTTAATAGCACGGTAGGTGGTTTATCTTAGGGTTCTACTCCAGGAAACAATACTACCAGCGGAGGAACTCCTGCAGATACGACGGCAGGTGGATTGCTCAATGACCTGATTGGAGGATCCGGTACAACCAATAACTCCACAAGTTTGACAGAAATTACGCAACTGTTAGCAACTCTACTGAAGATTTGCTTCGCGGATTGCTTGGAGCGCCTGAAACCCCCGAAAGCTTTACAACGAATAGCAGCACTAGCTCAGCTAGGGGCACTGATCTTATCGGTGCCCTTATAAATTCAATAGCCGAACTTGTTAACTCAACCGGCGGTAGCTTTCTCGGAGCGTTACTCGGAGGCGATGGAACACCTGATAACTCCACTCCTACGGCAGGAGTTATTGGGAATCTGGGATCCGGGGCCACTGACAGTAGCACCACGGGTAGCCTGCTTGGTGGGCTGATTGGAACTCCAGATAACACACTGGGGGCATCCTAGGAGAACTGGAAAACCTGACCAACAGCACGACTGGTGATTAACTCTGTTCCGGAACCACCGATAACGGCACGGGTTTATTGGGAGGATTACTTGTTAACTCTACCTTTAGCAATTCGACCGGTCCCCTAGGGGGCGTGACAAACTCAACTGGCGGTATTCTATCAGGACTCCTGGGATCAGCGGAGAGCAATAACTCATCGACATACGGTGGCTTAAATAGCACTTCGAGCGGCCTCCTCCTCAATGGGCTTCTCGGCGGTCTTGGCTCTACAACGAATAGCAGCACTAACAGCACTTTACCGACTCCAACAACTGGCAGCACTATAGGCAACGATATTCTTGGAGCTCAATCAATTCCACAGTTGTTCTCTTGAACCGGTGTGGATGTAGGTGAGAACGCTAATATATAGAGCCTTAAGCTGAACACGCGGCCTTTGCACACTCAAGTTGATGGTTCTCCAATGCTTTCATCTTCCAAAAATCATTGCTAGAAACTATCATTTCTATTGACGCGTCACCCGGACAGTTGTCAGTTAGGCTCCATGGTTATTGAGGCCCCAATAAGCCCCCCCTTCCTTGCCTGACACCAGGGATTCACGTATACATTACCACATCTTGACACTGTAAACGCACCAGGAGCTCTGCCAATTGGTATAGTATCCAAATAAGATCTACATCATTGCTGGTAACTGTGAGTCGCCTTGACCTCGGCGTGTACAGTTCACACATGCTAGAAGAATATCGAAATGGGAGTAGATACTAGAAAAAATAGATGTGGTAGCAGATATTAGAGGAATTTAGAAACAGTAGCAGATGCTACAAGAATACGAAAATGGTGTAAGTTAGTAGAAGAATATAGAAATAGTAGCATCTATAGAAGAATATTAAAAGTGGTAGCAAATACTAGGGGAATATAGTTGTATTGTTATTGATAGTCTCTTTGTTACGAACGAACTTCCAGAGGGCGATTCAACGGGGCGCTGGGCCCGCACCACCATAGTATTGACATATTACAACTAATTTTTTGCCCCCCGCGGGCAAAGCTGTTTTGGGCCACATGGCCCGGGCAGTGTTTCTTCAGGTGACCGGGTTGGTCACAATCGTGACATCGCTTTTGGCCGGCGACGGCGGCGGGACGACGGGCGACGGCCAGCTCCGTCGTGGTGGTGGTGGTGGTGGTAGGGGCGGGAGCGGGAGCGGCCACGGGCTCGGCCAAATCAGCCTCTACCGAGGGAGGAGGAGTCGAGGAGGCCTGCCATTGTTGCTGTTGCTGCAGCTGGTTCTTGAGGCCTCGGACCTCACGCTGAAGCTCCTCGATGAGCTGTTGCTGTTGCTTCTGCTGCTTCTGCTGCTGCTCCACGTAATGATCGATGGCACTCTATACAGCATCGAAATCTATAGACTGTAACGTTAGTCGTTAAAACTAAAGTGTAGGCGTAATGGAAGCATAAGGTAGTACAACTTACTGGCGTCGACACTGGAGGAGTCGTGGGCGGAAAGACATTGCCAAAGCACCTCTTGGGTGCCCGGGAGGCGGCGACGGCGATAAACTGGTCGACGTTTTCTATCGACGCAAGGAGAGGAGGAAGACGCACGACGACGGGTGTTGGACCTCAACACTCGGCCCGAGACAGAGGAGGCAGACATTGTGTGTGTGTGTGTGTGTGTGTGTGTGTGTGTGTGTGTGTGTGTATGCGTCTCTGTCTGGGTAAGAAGGGGGAAGAGGAGGAGGACGAGAAACTCGACGGGGGATGTCCTACGCGTCGACATACAGCGTTCCCAAAAGGCAAGGAACGGCCTGCTCCCGCCTACAACTTGTGGTCCGCATTTCTCTATATGGGCAGAAGACGAAGACGAGGATGGACGGGATAGCCAATGTCAAACGGGTCGAGAGAAGCTTTGAAAGCTTCGGCAGCATCTTGGAATACGACTGGGCATCTCGGCAGACTACAGACTGGAGTATTATCGCCAAAAACACGCCAAAGGAGTGCTCTGGAGAGCTCGTACGGGGCCTTTCAGGAGACCTGGAGCTCGCAGAAACCACGAAGTGTCCTGGTTGGGGACGAGTCCTGCTCTGGCGGAAAGTGACCAAACATGTCGAGGTTCATCAGCCACAGCTCCGAAAAGGTCATACACCGAGTAAGTATTTCATCCAGTGCATGTCCGTTGAAATACGAGGTCTTGGCAGCGTAAAAATCATTGGCGATGCTGAAATAAATATCCTTGGATCCCCTAATCACGACAAAATATACAGGTCGTACTTTGGGGTGACAGTTCGGGCATATTGGTAAGTGTAGGGCACGCCCCTCCCTGAAAGGAGCGCCTAGGCCGCTGTAACTTCCAGTACCTACCTGAGGTAGGTGCCTGTATCGATACAAGGTGCTTGGAGAATTGATTGTAGGCTGCCTGCTTATGAATTAAACATCCATTGGATCCAATGGATTAATCATGGTACGACTCTTTCTCCTTCGCTAGTAGCAACAGGGTGAACAAAAATCATTGGCAAAGAAGCCGGCACACTGTTGTTTCTCGAACCTTACTGGTTGACAGAGCAGGCCAAACCATGCAGAGTGCTTGAATGAATGCTATTGAATAAATGGATCCCATTAATTAACCCAAATGCTCCAAGAGATAAGTCGACATCGGAAAAGGGGGGCGTAAACGGGCTTACCAGGTGGGCTTATGGGCTCTTCACGAGCGCAGACTCCGGAAAACCTTTATTGCCGTGCTCTGTGATGCAAATCTGGACCACTTGTTGAATAGAACGAATAGAGGTTACTTAGGTAGACAAGTATCCAAACAGTCCTGCCATCAGTCGAAATGGACTGGATATTAGACGTCCAGCTACCTACCTTACTACGGTATTTACCATAGTACATAGATAGTACCTACTTACCTAACATTGTTCGCATTCCCATCCTCTTCCCCTTTCCTCCCCTTCTGTTACTCCTTCTTCTATTTCCTCCTTCTCTCTTCTGCAAGCCGAAGCATGATTGCCGTATGCTCCCCTCTTCCAACCAGATGACAGGATCGAGGTCCCTGTGTGCGGTTCGCTCTTGCGGCTCTCACAGGGCTTGCTGATACTCTCGGACAGACAGACGAATGTCTCCGATCCGATTAAAATGGCTCCATCATACCCAAGTAGCATAGGAAGACATATCAGCCTCGTGATCCCAAGTGAGTAAATTCTACACCAGCTCCAAGACTAGAGAGTCAGAAGCTCTATTATTACACTTTATGTTATCCACGGTGTAGACTTAGTTTGTAGTCATAGTGATGATGATCGGCGTTGCTACCTATTGCGTAGCACTTGTAAATGGATACTTGCTGCTAAAGTTGCTAATACAGGCCTGGAGCTGCTGGTAGCAGACTGAGCAACCGTAGAAGAAGGGATGACAGTTGAGATAGGGGCGATGCAATGGATAGACTCTTATCTCACCAACATACTCGCAGCCCAAGCTAGCGACGGGGCTTTGGCTGCTGTTGGTGGCGGAATGGGAACCTGAGTTGATCTGGCAATCTGCCGGATTTCCACCATGGGCTTTCTACGGCGTCTCCTTAGTTGCTGTCTCAACCATGCCAAATTCACTACCACAATCCAAAACCTATTATCCACCATGGTAATACGCACGGTGGACTACATGGGCGGTGCTGGCTCATGCGTGGACGAGAGAAGATTGGCTACCGATGCTCTCGTGGCTCTGCAGAGGTAGTCTTAGGGAACCCTAGAGCGCAATCTCATGACTATGCGTATTCCATTCGACACCGAAAAGTTTCAAGGGTGCTTTTGGCGTGTTGTGGCGTGCTACTACTGCGGGTCAGGCTTCTTCTACGATGGAGGTAGGTTATGATGGCCTTTTGTTGCCATAGTCACAGTAAATTTAGGTATGAGATCAAGTTGAGCATTTGGGAGGGCTCGACCACCTCTTTCAAGTTCATTGCTGCCAGAAGATTCCACGCAGCTGTTTGTCGCTAGTGTTATCGAGAGCCTCTTTCGCGGCTGATAAAATATGTAGCTCTGACATCTATCATGTCTACCTTGCCGTGCTAAGCTATTAGGCTGCATTGTCCTATGGTTCCCCAATTTACCCTGGGATGTCACCACATCTGTAACTGACTGCCAGCTAAATCAGCCCAAATTAAGGGCAGCTATAACTTGAATAAAAAAGCAACGGCTTGTCAAGTCAGATCTTGCACGGGACTACTAGTAATGGCATCAGACTACCAGTCATCTCCGCCGCCAGCTGCCTCACCGTAGCCGTCGTTAGCCTGGGGTGGCTGCTCTTCGGCTTCGTCGCCATATTCATGGCCTTCAAAGGCGGGCCAAGAAGGCTGCTTTTCATCTTCTCCTCGCCGCCATACGCATGGCTTTCGAAGGCGGGCTGCGGTGGCTGCTCTTCAGCCTCGCCGTCATATGCATTGCTTTCGACGGCATCCGATTCCTCTAGAGGCATCTTGCACCGGACCTTGGTATGTCCAAATTGCTCACAGTTGGAGCACTAGACTGGTTTCGTGACTATTGCGGCAAACAACGCTGTCCATAGTCTTGGGCTTTCGCTTGGCCACAGCTCTAAGTTACGAGGGCTCCTCTTAGTTCCACGTCTGTTTACCCCTGGATTCGTAGCGTCCAAAGAAGCAGCCGAGGCTTGGCTAAGCGGAGTGCGAAGCTGGCCATTGATTGGCAGTGATGAGCATAGCCTTGCGTCCATGCTAAACTTTATACCTGACAGCCCGCTGCCATCACATTAGAGCCAACAAGATTCGACACCTGAGGCTTGAATGAAGATGGCGACAACTTTACCCTCGTAGAACAATGTTAAGTCGGAGAATTGCCCAGAGGATAGCAGCGTGTATCGTCTCTACAAACATAGGTAATCCAGGACGAGTGTGAGAAAGTGATGGGACAGCTTTGTTGCAAATCATCCCATGGCTTTGGAACCAGCATGGAAATCCTCGTTAGTCACAATAAGTATTCCATTTCATAAGAGCGAGCCCGGCTGTTGGCGAGATGCGCATAGTAAACGGCAGAGTGGAGCGACACTGACGATAAACCACCTTCTGCAGGTCATCTGCAAGAATGTCGCTGCCCTCAATGTTGCCATCTTGATCGATTTCTTCCGCTTCACCAGAAATGTCACGATGGGTTCCAGCGAGAGCAAGCAGTTTGCTTCCCATGCGCAGACGTAATCTCTAGAGGCCCTTTACTTCCAGCCGATGGCTTGCGGATCAGCGGCTAATCATTCTTCACAGCCTAATGGCACTGGCGAGGGAGCTGACTTCGATGCATGCTGGAACACGATAAAAGAAGCGTTGCGCAGTAGTGGTAGTGGTGGTGGTGCCCGTGACATACAGCAGCGAGTAAGAGAGTATGCGTCGAGCTACGATGAGATGATGCCAGACGATAGCAGCGACGAATTTTGCGGTGAATAATACACTTTGTCGTAATTAACTCAAAGCGAAAGGAGCTATCTATTCGAATTAGACGCCGGCGCTAAGTGATTGAGCTGGAGAACCAACAACAGAAGTGATCAAAATTGTCGAGGGGTCTCGATTCCGCGCTCTGATTCCGATTGCCTCAAAGTACATAGGGGTCAGGCAGTTGTCAAGTGTATTCCAAGGTCCTTCTAGGCACTCACCGAGCCATCTTCTCTCTGCAAGCTGACAGCTGGCCGTCACTTTCGCTTGACTTTTTCTCTACACCGGCCACGTGATTACTCTACGCACAAGATTAATTTCCTTCCCTTGCCTCTCTCCCTTTGATTCTTTCTTCTGTCGAGGATCTCACCATCACACGCCCGGTTCTGTGACTCTCCAATAGATTCTTCTGTAAGCGCTTGAAGCCATCACCGCCCCCTCCTCTCTTCAAATCGTTGCTCACATGCTCCACAGATGTGTGAAATCTCGCGAGGCTTTAAAAGCGACCTTCGCCCTCAGTACCATCCAGAGGTCCGTTGAGTCTTATCCCATCTCTCTCTTCGAGAACACCAACAATGTCTGGTAAGCATATTCATTCAGTCTTTATGCTTTGTCTCCATCACCTTCTTGCTCTCTTGCTCTCTTGTTTTCTTGATCACGTTTATTCGTTTCCCCAGCTAATATATTAAATATAGACACCGTACCAACGTTCTCCCTGGAGGAGTTAAATGCTCTCTCCCCAGAGCGTAAGCCTCATAATTCCTACAATCCCTTAATACTTAGGTCATCACTAACAGTCCTATAGAAAAAGATGCTGCCATGTACAACGCCATCAAGGCGTTGACGGAGGAAGTCGCCGGACTCCGGCGTCGGGTTGCCGAGCTGGAGAGGCACCAGCACCAGTACCAGTACCAGTACCAGCAGCAACAGCAACAGCAACAGCAAGCAGCAGCACTTCCGGCTGCTTCCCCTCCCGCCGCCACCGGCACCACCGCCGAAAAGCGGTGTTATGTTTGCCATGAGCCAGGGCACGTCAAACGACAATGCCCCGAGCGGGCCAACCGGGCCGACCAACCCACGCCGGTCCCCAATTTTCAAGGGGCGAATGTTAAAATTTTTAACATTTATAAGGGGAAGGGGAAGGATCATGGGCGGGCGCTCTGAGGGATGTTGATAAAAATTGGCGGAGTCATTAGAGTCTACAAAGGGACTTATGCTTCTAAGACTCTCTAATAATCTCGCGAAAAAAGGCATTAGCCTTGCTCTCGACGCACATGTTACCAGCATCTGTTTTTGCACAGGCCGACAAACCCCGGATCAGGTCATGGCCAACTTCCTGTCAGAGCCCGATCGGCGGGCTTGACGTTCGCGTCACGAGCGCAGAAAATGACCTTAGCCTGGTATGCCAGCGGAAAACAACTGGCCCAAAGACGGCGTGCTTGATGTCAACTTGGACTACTCCATAAGGTAAGACATAGAGTTGGCATACGCGTCAGTAAAGATCTTGATCAATGTATGTAAGATGATACGAGGAAATATCAGCGTTGAACAATGCATCCGAAACGATCCTTGAAAAGAGCTGCCCAAGCTAGCGGCAGCTGAGACCGCGCTGGTCTATTACGGCGGTGATATATCGGTGGACTTGGGGATCTGCTTCTCCGTATGCGGCATATAATGTCAATGATGTTAGAACTTTTGCAGGAACCTGGCTTTAGGCCTCCATTGATTTGATCGTAGCTGTGGATGGTAATGTCACCTGCGGAAATGTCGAATTCCTCGAGTTACTCTCTCTACAAGTTTACAAGTCACGATAAGAAAGAAGATATAAATGCCCAAAGAAATCAGATAATTATTAGTATATAGAAAAAAAAAAGAAAAAAAAAGAAGAAGAAACAAAAAAAAGCAAAGGAAAAAAGCAAACAAACAAACAAACAAACAAACAAACAGAAAACCCCAACAAAAAAACAAAAAAAAGTAATGAGAATAGCGCAATCGGCTTGGGAAGTACCAGTGATCATGTTCTTAATGAAATCACGGTGGTCGGGAGCGTCTGTGAATTGCATGTTGCATATTAGCACTTGCTCACGTTTGCGGTATGAAGGTGATGAATGAGACATACTAATGACGGTGACGTAGTACTTGGGAGTCTCGAACTTTCAGAGGGCAGTGTCAATGGGGCTGGGAGCCCTCCTCATTACCATAGTAATGATAACTAATTTTTTGCCCACCCCGGGCAAAGTACATGTTTGGGCCAAAATTGGCCGGAAAAGGGGGGGCCGGGCCGGCCCAGTTCTGAGGACAATGCCTCTTTATGTGACATGGTTGGTCACAACCGTAACACCGCTTTTGGGCGGTGACGGCGGCGGCGGCCGGGGCCGGGGCCGGGACGAGGGCCACCTCGGTGTTGGTGGCGGCGGGAGCGGGAGCGGGAGCAGCCGGAAGTGCTGCTGCTTGCTGTTGCTGTTGCTGTTGCTGTTGCTGTTGCTGTTGCTGTTGCTGTTGCTGTTGCTGTTGCTGGTTCTCTACCAGAGCAAGACGACGCCGAAGGTCGGCATTCTCACGCCCGAGCACGGCCACTCTCTCCGTTAACGCCATAATAGCGTTATATATTATAAAAAGTTTTTCTATAGGAATATTAATAATAATTTATATTTTAAGGGAATTATAAAACTTATACTCCTCCGACAGGGTATTTAACGCTTCTACAGAGAGTATTAATATATTTTCTATATATAAAATATATTAGCTAAAGATATAAATATACGTAATTAAGAGAGTAAGAGAATAGAAGAGAGTAGGGGATTAGGAAAGTAGAAAAATAGGAAAGCAGAAGAATAAAGGACTAAGATGGCAGAAGACTAGGAGACTGAGTAGATATGCTTACCGGATATGGTTGGTGTTCTCGAAGAGGGAGACGAGGTAAGACTTGACAGACTCCTGGAGGGCATCGATGGCAGAAGGCTGGAAGCGGAGGTCGCTTTTGAAGTCTTGGGCAATATCGCGAATCTATGGAACATGTCAGCAACGGATTGATATAGAAGAGAGGGCGGTGGTGGCTTCGTGTTCTTACCAGACGCTGGAAGGATAGCTTTCGGATCAGGAGCTCAGTCGACTTCTGGTATCGTCGAATCTCACGGAGAGTGACGGTATCGGGCTTATAGCGGTGAGATTCTTTGACTGCAGAACATATTAGCGAAGATCGGTAGGTGGTGATGACTTCATGTCTGTGCTTACCAAGAATCTCTCGGAGAGTGACGGTACCAGGCTTGTAGCGGTGAGATTCTGAAGAGAAGAAAGAGGGAAAAAGAAACGAAAGAGAGGCAAGGGAACGGAATTGATCTTGTGCACACAGCAATCACGTGGCCGATGTAGAGAAAGTGAAGCGAAAGTGACGGCCAGCTGGCAGCCAGTAGAAAGGTGACAACTCTTTGAGCGCCTGGGGCTGCATTGGATTTAATTTCATAGGTGGCTGATGGAGGAGAGCACCACGCCAAAGAAGCGGCTGCGAGGTCTGGTATTTAGCATCCTAGCTATCACGTAAAGCTCAAGTGACGGAACAGGACAGGGTGCAAAAAGGAGGACATCTGGAATTTATAACACTTTCATCATCTAGTACTATCACGACACTTATCTTGGCAACATATATTCGTTTTCTTGAGCAACTGCTATTACGACAACTGTCTATAAAGTTCTTCACTGTGACTGCTCGTAATCATGCATACATAGATAGTCTGTAAGGCTTCACAATAGAGGCGGAGTGCAGAAGAAAAGACGTATATAGAAGAAAAAACTACCCAAAACTAACTGCAAGTCCTACACAGGACATGATGCTGAGTACATGTAAGACGTACGCCTCAATTACTATTCCTGGAGTGAAAACTGAAAATACTGCCCTCTTCGTATGATGGTCCCTTTTATATCTTTAACCTCATCTCTTCTGGCATCCTTGCTAATGCCCAATAATCCAAGTCCTCCCCGAACAGAACTACACTAGATGAGCCTTCATTTTCTAAACAACGTCGACCCTGTCCCCAGCAATCCGCCTAAAAGCCCTGATCCTGTGCCTGTCGGTCCTGTGCCAGTTGATCCAGTACCAGTCGACCCGGTCCCTAGCAGTCCGCCTAAAAGCCCTGATCCCGTGCCTGTCGAGCCAGTTCCGGTTGATGTGGTATTGGTTCCTCCAGTGCCTCCACCCAAGAGGCTACCTAAAAGCGCCGTGGAGTTGGTACCAGTAGTTGTGGCATTGGTCAAGCCAGTATTTGTTGTAGAGCCACTACCCAATAAGCCACCCAGGAGTCCCCCTGTTGAGTTTGTCGTCGTGGTGTTTGTCGCTCCGGTACCCGTTGATCCTGTTCCACCAGAGAGCAGACTTCCTAACAAAGCGTCGCCCGTCGTATTTACGAGATTCCCCACGGCGCCAGTAGTAGAATTGAGAAGGCTACCAGTCGAATTCACAATGCTGCCAAGAGTATTGCCTGTCGTGTTCAAAATAGAAATTGTCGAGTTTATAATAGCACCAAGAATATCGATGCCAACAGTCGTTGGGGTCGAATTAGTGCCGCCAGTGCTGTTAGTGCTGCCATTCGTTACGGAGCCGTTTCCGCCGCCGAGGAGGCCACTGAGGAGGCCGCCAGTCCCAGTGCCGCCAGTCAGGCCATTTCCTGTTGTGCCATTTCCTGTTGTGCCATTTCCACCTCCTGATCCTGTGGTATTATCGATAGTGCCTCCAATAGTTGCGGTTAGATTGAGACCCCCTACACCCGCCGTTGTGTTTTCAGGAGTCCCAGATCCTAATAATCCTCCCAGGGGATTGCCACCAGTTGTTGTGTTCAAAACGCCCCCCGTGTTCAACAACCCAGTGCCTGTGGAGTTGTCAGGAGTTCCTCCAAGAAGCCCCCCTAATAAACCAGTGGCGTCCGTCGTGTTTGTTAGATTCGCAATTACTCCTCCAAGGTCGGTGTTATTCAATAGTCCCCCTATTACAGTACCAAGAGTACTATTCAATAGACCTTCTACTTCTGCTCCTAATCCACCTGTCGTTGTGTTCTCAGGAGTCCCAATCAAGCCTCCCAAAATATCGCCTCCAGTTGTTATGTTCAAGGCACCTCCCGTATTCAACAAACCACCAGTCGCTGTGGAGTTGTCCGGAGTTCCCAACCCTTCTAATAATCCTGTTGTTGTATTCAAGAGGTTGCCGGTGCTATTTGTCAGGTTTCCAATGGCTCCTCCTAGGGTGTCATTTCCAAGTAGGCCAGTGTTGTTTGTTTCGGGCGTTGAAGTTCCCAACAAGCCACCCAAAAGATCCGTTCCGTTTGCTCCGCCGAGTAATCCCGTGCTGTTTGCTAGGTCTCCAATAACTCCTCCAAGGGAACCTGTGGAATTGTCGGGGGATCCCCCGAGCAAACCGCCCAGAATATCCGTTCCGTTCAAATTTCCTATGGTAGAATTCAGGAGACCTTCCGTGCTATTAATAAGTCCTCCTATCCCTCCGAGATCTGTACTATTGAGCAAGCCACTCACAGCACCACCGAGGTCTGTGCCATTTTGGAGCCCTCCAGTGCCAAGATCGGTTCCGTTGAGAAGGCCCCCTGTGTCACCCAGGGTAGAGGTCCCATTGAGTACTCCAGAGAGATCTATGCCACCGAGAGTTGAGTTTAAGAGCCCCGTGGTTTCATTAATCAAGTTTCCAAGGTCGGTGAGACCCGTTGTGCCATTGAGTACTCCAGAAAGATCGCCCCCCAGAGTTGAGTTCAAGAGCCCAGTGCCAAGGTTGGTGCCGTTGTTACCAAGAAGATCTCCGATGGTTCCATTATTAATGAGGCCCCCAAGTGTAGAATTTGAGAGCCCCGTTGTGCCATTGAGTACTCCAGAAAGATCACCCCCCAGAGTTGAGTTAAGGAGCCCAGTACCTAGATCGGTTCCGTTTAATAGACCCCCTAGACCCCCTAGATCTGTTCCATTGGTTATTCCCCCCAGAAGATCTCCAATCGTTGAGTTGGTGAGGCCCCCAAGCGTACTGTTCAAGAGACCCCCTATACCAGTAGTGTTACCGAGCTCTCCGATGGTGCTATTTATGAGCCCCGTCGTCCCATTGAGTATTCCAGAAAGATCCGGGCCCCCGAGAGTTGAGTTAAGGAGCGTGCCGTTAAGACCTCCAATAGCACCCAGGTCAGTGCTATTTAACAGACCTCCAATGCCTAGATCAGTTCCGTTACCAAGAGAGGTTCCATTACCGAGAAGACCCCCTAACAGATCACCAGACGTCCCATTAGTTACAGTTCCATTGCCTAGAAGGCCTCCCAATAGAGAAGTCCCATCGGTTACGGTTCCGTTGCCAAGAGAAGTCCCATTTCCGAGGAGACCTCCGATTAACCCGGGATCAATGCCCGTCCCATTGCCACCAGACGTTTCATTGCCGAGAAGGCCTCCCAACAGAGAAGTATCATTACTTGCAGTTCCGTTTCCTCCCAGAAGACCCCCGAGCAACCCGGGGTCAATGCCCGTCCCGTTGCCAAGAGAGGGTTCATTTCCGAGGAGACCTCCGATTAACCCGGGATCAATGCCCGTCCCATTGCCACCAGACGTTCCATTGCCGAGAAGGCCTCCCAAAAGGCCACCAGTAGTCTCATTAGTTGCAGTTCCGTTGCCTCCTAGCAAGCCCCCAAGCAAGCCAGGGTCAACGCCCGTTCCATTACCGAGAAGTCCTCCCAAAAGGCCACCAGTAGTCTCATTAGTTGCAGTTCCATTGCCGAGAAGTCCTCCCAAAAGGCCACCAGTAGTCTCATTAGTTGCAGTTCCGTTGCCTCCTAGAAGACCCCCGAGCAGGCCAGGGTCAACGCCCGTTCCGTTTCCAGGAGAGGTTCCATTACCAAGGAGTCCGCCACCCAGCAGACCCGTTCCGTTGCCTGTAGTCCCGTTGCCTCCCAGTAGGCCGCCGAGCAGACCGCCCAGAATGCCATTGAGGATACCATCCGTCAGGCCACCCGTAAGCGTGAATCCTGAACCAATATCAATACTTATATCCGGAATACCATCAGAGTTCAGATCGATTCCGCCCAATGCGGAAATAAAAGTGTCTGGAAGGCTATCGCCGGTGAGATCGATTCCATCTCGACCGTTTGCGAATGTAATAAAGATGTCTGAGATATTGTCGTTGTTTAGATCGATACCACCCTGGGCATCAATAATTGTTTCTCCTTTACCATCACCGTTGAGATCAACCGGAATGCCTATGAGAGACAGAAGGTCGAGTGAAAGCAGGCCACTCGTGTTTCCTGTGGTTCCGTTACCTGTAGTCCCATTCCCTCCCAGAAGGCCGCCGAGAAGACTGCTGAGGAGGTTTGCAAGGTTGTCGAGAATGCCAGTTGTTAGACCTCCTGTAGAGACGAATCCGTTGCCAATGTCGATGGAAATGTCAGGAATACCATCTCCCGAGAGATCGACGCCCCCATTGGCCAAGACAAACGTAATCGGAAGCCCGGCGGCAGTCAAATCAATGCTATCAACGCCGTCCACAAGCTTGATGAACACATCAGCAACGGCGTCCGAATTCAAATCGATTCCTCCAGTGTTATCGATGATTGTATCTCCTTTGAGATCCCCGTTTAAATCAACGGCACGTCCGATGAGAGAAGGAAGGTCTAGTGAAAGGAAATTACTGGTGGTATTTCCTGTGGTGCCATTGCCGAGCAAGCCGCCAGGATTGCTAAGTATATTTCCAAGACTGTTGATGATGCTGCTTGTCAAGCCGCCAGTGGGTGTAAACCCTGAGCCAATGTCAATTGAAATGTCAGGTAGGGAATCCATGTTTAGGTCAATACTTCCGTCTGCTAAGATTGAAGTAATTGGAAGTCCGCCCCCAGTTATACTATCAACTCCGTTGGCAACGGTGATGAAAATATCAGGAATGGCGTCCGAATTCAAGTCGATTCCGCCGCCAGGAGTAACTATCACATCTCCCTTGCCATCGCCGGTCAGGTCAACGGGCCGTCCGATCAGGGCGGGGAGATCGAGTCCAAGAAAGCTGCCCGTAGTGTTTCCCGCGGTTGTGTTTCCATTAAGAAGATTTCCAAGGCCACTGAGAATGGCAGTTGTTAAACCACTAGAAGGCGTGAATCCTTGGCCAATATCGATGGCAATATCAGGAATACCATCATTAGAAAGATCAACGCCTCCGTTGCCGAACACAAGGCTAACTGGAAGTCCCGCGCCAGAAAGATCAACACTATCAATACCGTTGACAAGACTGATAAAAATATCAGCAATGGCGTCCGAATTCAAATCGATGCCGCCGTTTGCATCAATTACCGTGTCTCCCTGGCCGTCACCATTTAGGTCAACCGCATGATTGATTAAGCCGGACAGATCGAGTGACAGGAAGCCCCCGTTACCAGCGCTGCCGGTGTTGTTTCCAGTGGTTGTGTTTCCAAGAGTTCCGTTACCAAGACCGCCTAAGCCGAGCAGCGTACCCAGCAAACCGGTATTATTAGCAGTTCCATTGCCGAACAACAAGCTTCCAAGGCCTGTGTTGTTTGCAGCAAGGCCGAGAGTCTCGTTGAGACCTTGCGAGAGAAGGCCACTGAGCGCGTCACCGAGGGCTGTGTTATTGCCAGTTGCATTGAGCGGTGGAAGCAGCTGGCCGAGGATGCCGCCCGCAAGAAGTTGACCAATCAGGCCCGGGTTGGCTGCAGTTCCGTTACCTCCTAGAAGCGAGCCAAGGTTGGCGTCGATAGTTCCGTTGAGTCCAAGGAGAGATGATAGGAGGCCGGTGCTATTGGCCGTTCCATCGCCAAAGAGAACAGACCCGAGGCCGGTCGTATTTGGTACGAGTCCAAGGGTTTCACCGAGAGCCTGTGTGAGAACCCCAGTAAGAATATCACCAGGAAGGTTTGTAGCATTGCCAGTTCCATTGCCAAGGAGAGCATCGGCGAGACTGCCAAGGATACCGCCAGGTACATTACCTCCAGGCAAAAGACTTCCTAGGCCTGTGGTATTCGTGCCATTGAGTCCGATGGCCTCGTTAAGAGCCTGTGAAAGAATGGCATTAATAGCGTCGCCAATGGCAGTATCATTCACAGCTCCATTGATCCCAAGCAATTCTCCGAGGAGTCCTGTATTGTTCACGGTCCCATTGCCCAAGAGTAGTTGCCCAAGCCCTGTATCGTTACTAGCAAGACCGAGGACTTCACTGAGAGCGCTCGAAAGCACGGCGCCAATAGAGTCACCGAGGACGTTGGTAAAGTTGCCGGTTCCATTATCACCCAGAACCTGGCCAATAAGAGCGCCGAGTCCCGTGTTGTTTCCAGCGCCATTAAGTCCAAGAGCCTCAGAAAGTCCCTGTGCAAGAATAGCACTAACCGCATTGCCGATATCCGTGTTACTGACAGCGCCGTTAATGCCTAGAATTTCTCCCAACAGACCAGTATTATTCGCCGTGCCATCACCAAGAAGTAGTTGCCCAAGTCCAGTGGCGTTGGTAGTGAGTCCAAGAGCTTCGCCAAGAGCCTGTGAAAGAATTACGCCTAAGGCGTCTGTAGGAAGGGTAGCGTTAAGGGTCTGTGAGAGAATTGCAGTAACAGCATTGCCAATATCCGCGTTACTGACAGCTCCATTAATACCCAGGATTTCTCCCAAAAGGCCGGTGTTATTCGCAGTACCATCGCCAAGCAGGAGTTGCCCAAGCCCAGTAACATTCGTGGTAAGTCCAAGAACTTCACTGAGAGCCTGTGACAGAGCTCCGCCTAAAACATCAGTAGGGACAGGGACGTTGCTTGCGGTTCCATTGACTCCTAGAGCGTCTCTCAGAGCCTGCGAGAGAATTGCAGTAACTGCATCACCAACGACGCTACTATTGACGGCTCCGTTGATCCCCAAGATTTCCCCCAAGAGCCCGGTATTGTTTGCAGTGCCGTTGCCGATGAGAAGCTGGCCGAGTCCAGTGACGTTTGTAGTCAGTCCAAGAACTTCACTAAGAGCCTGTGAAAGAGCCCCGCCTAATACGTCGCTGGGGACGGGGACATTGCTTGCAGTTTCATTGACTCCAAGGGCTTCACTTAGGGTTTGTGACAGAATCGCAGTAACAACGTCGCCAATGACGCTACTATTGACGGCTCCGTTGATTCCTAGAATTTCCCCTAGGAACCCGGTATTATTCGCTGTGCCGTTGCCAATGAGAAACTGGCCAAGTCCGGTATTGTTTGTAGTAAATCCAAAAACTTCCTTCAGGGCCTGGGAAAGGATTTCAGATAAGGCGTCACTGACGGGAGTGCTTGGTGACGTGGCATCGACCAAAATGGTCAGATCAATCTTGCCGTCTGAATCGAGATCTATGTCCCCCGTAGGAAGCACAAAAGTATCTGCAATTCCATCTGAATTACTGTCAACTCCGCCTCCCGGCAAGATGGTAATGTCGGGATTTCCATCTCCTCTATGGATCGTCCCATAAAGGCCAACAGTGGTGTCAGGCTTTTGATCCCCGTTGAGGTCAACGCCAGCCCCAGTAAGAAGGTGTCCGTTGAGAGTAAGCACAGGAATATTACCAATAGCCGTGCCATTGGTGTCATTGCCACGGCCAAGGTTGACTATGTTGCCGAGCGCGCCGCTGACAGCATTCTGGATAGCGTCGACCAGCCCAAGAACAACCAAGTCCGGTTTTGAATCCCCGTCGATATCGATACTCCCATCAATATTAATCATAGTATCAGCCTTCCCATCAAGATTAGTGTCAACTCCCCCATTTGCCTTCAGGAAGAGGTCAGACACTCCATCAAAGGTTCTATCGATTCCCCCGTCCAACTTGACGGTGGTATCTGGCAAGCCATCAAAGTCGAGATCAACTCCTAAGCCTGGGAATATATAGCCAGCAGGGCTTTCGGTGAGTGTCACTGGGAGGTTGGCTCCAAAGGTTTGCAAAATGGTGATGTCTGGCTTGCCATCTCCGTCGACATCTAGTCTGCCTTGATCATCAACCTTGACATCAGTTTCAGGGATACCATCCAGATCCAAATCGACGCTGCCATCAAGATTCACAACAATATTTGGTTTGAGGTCTCCATCAGTATCGACTTCTCCTCCAGGGCCTATGGTAGTATCAGCCTTGCCGTCAAAGTCTAGATCAACGCCCATGCCAGGGAGAATAGAAAATCCTGTAGTGGCATTGCTACCAGATCCTACAGGCCCAGTGACCGTAGTTCCACTTGTAATAGGTCGAATGATGTGTCGCAAAAGGTAAATGTCGGGTCTACCTTCTCCCGTGAGGTCGATTCCTCCATCTACTCTGACTTTCCCGTCCGGTATTCCGTCAAGATCCAGATCCACGCCGCCGTCAGGGAACACAATAATGTCTGGTTTATTGTCTCTATTCACGTCGATTCCGCCATCGAGACCCACGTAGACGTCGGCTTGACCATCCGCATTTAAATCTACCCCCATCCCAGGGAGAGGCAGAAATACGGGGGGAGTGACAGGCCCTGTGGTCCCATTTCCCACAGCATTAGATACTAGTGGAATAGTTCTCAGAACAGTGATATCGGGGATTCCCTCGCCGGTGGTATCAATGCCTCCGTCGGCGCGGACAACACCGTCAATGATGCCATCCAGATTTAAATCGACGTTGCCGGCGAGGTCCACAATGAGGTCAGGCTGGCCGTCCTCGTTTTTGTCGATTCCGCCACCGAAAGCAATGTAAGTATCAGCCTTGAGATCACCGTCAAGATCTACGCCAGCCCCTGGAATCGTAAAGGGGATATCGCCGAAAATCACGTTGCCGGGGTTGCCAGTACCAAGGGTGATGGGTGCCGTTCCATTACCCGGATGGACAGTAACGTTAAGTTTGAGAGTCAAATCGGTGTCACCGTCGCCGTCAAGATCCACATTGCCGAGGTGGTCGACGGAAACGAGTCCGTTGCCACCGCTGAGTCCAATAGTAAGGCCGCCAAGGAAGATATCAGGTAAACCATCCAAATCGAGATCGATTCCGCCCCCCGGAAGAATCGTCGTGTCAGGCTTTCCATCCCCATTTACATCCACTAGGCCGTTAAGCCCAATTACGAGTGATCTGCCATCGTTGAGGAGAACACCACCGGTAGAGCTCACGACAGCATCAGCTACGCCATCGGCGTCAGTATCAAGCGGCGAACCAACGATCGAGGTAGTTGTCAAGATTGGATCTCCATCTGCTTGAGCGTATAGAATCTGGAAGTCGGGCTTGTGGTCACCGTCGATGTCCACATTGCCTTGGAGATCGACCATGGCGTCAGGAATGGAATCCCCATTAACATCCACGGTGCCATCTGCCTTGACAAATACGCGATGCCCGTTCAGGTCGATGGAACCATCGGGTCCAATAAACAAATCAGGTAGACCATCGAAATTTGTATCTACCGGGGTGCCAGGGCCCAAGTCAACAATCCGGAGGTCAAAGCGAGGCATGGTGTGGATTGGACCGTTGCCGACAGTAATGTCAGGCTTGCCATCTGCGTTTACATCAACTGAGTCAACGGCAGCTCCTGGCAGAAAGGTTCCAAGGGGAGCACCAATTTCGGCGGTTGCACCTGTCAGGTTTCCAAAACTGTCATTGTCAATACCTGGCCTTTTACTGCCTTTGGTATTCTCGCTTGGCTTGGTGCTGCTACCTGATCTTCCGTCGCCCTCGAAAGAGCCTGGACTATCCAGTATAATGTCCGGTAGCCCATCGCCATCAATAGGAATACTCTCGTGAGGGGGGATCCGGGTATCGGGCTTGCCATCTTCGTTGGGAACCGGAGCACTGCCAGCTAAGAGAGTGACATCTCCACGGTTGCCAGCATCGACATCAATAGACCAGTCAGGGTCAACCAGTCGATGAGGCTTACCATCTCTGTCTGTGTCAGCCCCGATGAGACGGTCATGAGGCAGATCTTCCAGTCTGCCTTCATTGCCGATAATCACAATGGGCACCGCGCTAGGCCAAGGCTTTCCGCGGTAGTCAGTAGGGAGAACCGTTCGAGATTCAGCTTTTGATCTGTAATCATATCCATGAGCGGTAACCGTCTTGAGATGGTCGGTAAAGCCGTGTGTGCCGATGACAACTGTGTGGGGATCTTCCGGGCGCCTGGCCGGAATCGTGAATCTAGGGTCGTCGGGGCCAGCCCGTTCGCACGTATAAGTCGTTGGATCTGGTTTCCGGGGACTCTTGGACTTGGTGGGTTCATATATAATAGCAGTCCCCTTGCAGCCGTGACAGTTGGGATGAATAGTTGAGACATATGGCTTGTCGTAGTCGTATGCAGTTGACGTGATTGTAACATAGGGATCTTCGGTAGGTTCATAATGAAAGACAGTTCCTAGGCAGACCGGACAGTCGGGATGTTTAGTTGAGGTAGCGTGCTCCGATTGGCATGTTGGCAGCGTAAGCGTCACATATGACGGCTTCTCTTCGACTGTCTTGAATGCAGGCTTTGGATCGCAGGCATTGACGCACGAACCGAGGTCGAGGTAGGTTGTAACGACAACCTCGACGGTAACAACATCATCGTCGTGGGCCCTCACAGGGGCGGAAAGGAGTGAACCTAGGACGGCTGCTTTGGCCGCCCAGGATAATGAACCGTTTGCGCGACGGCCGGCCATCTTTGAGAGGCAGTCGCAGCGCAATAACGGTGTTTAGAAGCACAGTCAAATGCTAAACGTGGGCAAAAAGGAGTGTAAGTGGTCACCAGTTCACAAACGGACTAGAGATCGGCCGTCATTGGTATAATATATCAATTGGGGGCATAGAAAGGGTTAGAGGATTGCTCATCGCATTTCAGCATCAGACTGAAAAATTCCGAGGAATGCTCTTGTTGTTGGCTCTTGAAATGGCAGAATAGCAAAGGACGGCCACCCGAACATTCGTGATTGTGAGGGCATATCGCTCGACAACCAACTGAGTCAGACAGTTGCGCTGCATTCCAGAGTTTGCAACTTCAGCAAGTAGTCTCGACCCTCCCCCAAGAGCTCGGTCGCTGTTGTGACGAAAAAGGCTGGGTAAGATCTTGTGTGCTTTACGCGGCGACAGAGCCATTCCATTGCCCGTAAACCGTGTTCGCGTCTTGAGGTTGATATAACTATTACCCACCCGCAACGTACCCTGGTGTGGTACGTGGAGATGAACTGCTGGCGTATTGCTCGACATACAGAGTAATCTGAAAGTGAGCTTTAGCATCCTGGCCAAGAACAATATGTCTGAGAGGAATGGAATCGACAAACAGCACATTGGTACCCCTTTGCTCGTGAGAATTGGTGGAGAGATTCTCCTTGATAGTCCATCAATTGCACCATCCCATGCTCATATTAGCACAAGCCGAGCTGAAATAAGTTTGTCCCGACTCCGGTTGGTAGCCCAGCAGCAGCATATCGACAGATGGGACAATGGATGCCAGCCCACGGCAATGGCCGGGCAACAGGACATTGTGCTCGAGATGCCCCTCGGTCCCCATGGTAATACTAAATTGAACTCGATGCCTCTGAGACACTGTTGCCGGGTGCGGTTGATCAGGGACAGCGCGTGAGACACGTTGGTGGATGGTGTGCCCAACGGTTCCAGGGAGGAGAGAGCACAAGGATCGACAGGCAGAATCTGGAAGAAGCGGTATTCATAAAAAGAGATTGTAGAGCGTCTAGTCCATTGAATGCCAAGTGTGAATGTGGCTAGAAGTTGTGGTTACTAGTTGAGCGAGGCGACGTGAAGATCTCTCGCTCATCTTTATCATTCGCTGCCACAACACCAATCCATACTGCTCCGTATAGCTTCGAGTTTATCCTTTTAGTGCATTTCTCTGCTTCTATTTCAATTCTCTTTAGCTTCTCACTCCAGGCCTAGGTGCAATACTAGCTACTATCGCACACTAACGACCAACATGTTGTGTCTCCTCACGACACCAACATACCAAGAGCTGCGACGAAACGCAGGTTGTCTCCTCAGAATCACCCTTGGCGCATGTACCGGCTCAGAATCAGCCCGACCGAAAAGGGACTTTATGCTTAGTTGTGAGACAAATTGCCTGCGCTATATCACAATGGTTCGCCGAGGCTGCTCCATGTCTCTGGGCGGCTTGCTAAAGTGGTTCGCGTTTCGAATGCAGGGTTCGCGTGTAGACGCGACTAAGACGGCATCTCTTGCCTCACCGAGTAATTTTGAAGAAGAAAGTCAAGTTTTGGATTTCTTTACGTCGAAACATGATTGAGGCTCAGACAATTGTGCCATCACTCCTTCCGATGAACCAATTGTGTAGAGAATCTCAAAGTGGAAACGATATGCATGGTGGTGATGGTATAGACTAAAGAAATATGCTTGATTCTAGATCCTGAGACAAAATGAATAGCTAAAAATACAAAGACTACTGCTCTCCATAGGTGTATATCCAAGGAGCGTGAGTTGCCAGCGACATCCAACGTTGTCCGATTATGCGCCTCCAGACTTCAAATTCCTACCCCGACAATCCCATGATCCTCCTGAAACCGACATTCTCAATAACCCACGAGCCGCCCAGTTTAAATGCTCCGGGCCCCTCCAGCTGCGAATCCACTTTCCCCATGGCCAACCTGGTCAAAAAGTCTCCCAAGTGTTCTGTTGGCGAATGCATCCCCTTCATCAAGCCGATAAAGGGCGACAGCGCGGCAACACTAACCTTGTACAGCGCGCCCGGGTCCGGAATATATGGCAGAATAGCCTTGTGCTCCCTCGGATCCACGAAAGCTGGTCGCACGGAATCTGCCTGGATGCTCGTCGGCGAGGAGGCCGTCAAATTACCCAGCTCCGTCTCCGTCTCTCCTTTGACTCGAGCAAAAATGGCAGAGAAGCGGCCCGGCTTCTGCGTAGCGCCTTCACCCGATACATAGATGAAGCGGAATGGCTCTGACGGCGACGTTGTGAGCGTAGAAAAGGACTTTGCGGCGGCGAGGGTGTAGTCCTTGGTGATTTTGACATATTCTTGGGCATTGACCTTGGTCTGGCTAATGCCGAGGGCCCAGACGCACGCCCTTGCGCCTTGCAGTTGTTCCAGCACCTTTGAGTCGTACTTTTCAAAGTCCTGGTGGAGGATGACGTTGATTCGGGGATCTTTGGCGTCCTCGACCATGCGTATCGGCTTGCGGCTGAGAATGGAGATTTTGGTAATGCCCTTGGCCTTGATCATGGCGTCTAAGACGGAGCTGCCCACCAAGCCGGTGGCACCTGTCAAGATGATGTGCATTGTGATGGAGGATGTGGGTTGTGCGTATGTGGAGTTGGGTGGTTGTCGTCAAACGTAGTCGGCGCCACGTATAACTTTGTAGATGATAGAAGAGATCTGAGTCTTGTTGGACACAAAAGTACTTGGTGAAACCAGGTAGAAGGATGAATTCAGATTAAAGATGGACGATGCTGCGGGAAAGAAGCCACAAGATAAGACAAACGGCTGTCGTTATATAAGGCAGCACAAGTGCCGGGAGTGTCACCAGGCGGATTTATTAACTCCAGCCCCAAAAGGATCAACTCTCGGATATAAGTCCCGCTACGCGTATGCTGACAAGCCATTTCCCATATTGGGAGAAGCCTGGCTCGTCGGGAATCCACCAGGATGACGGAAAACTGGATCTCCGCATCTCCGCCTCTGAGGCTCGGCTCGAGTACCGCGAGATCTCTTGCAATCTCCGTGTTGGTATCCTTGCAGTGAAGAATTGGTGATCTTGGCTATGCTGCAATATCATGACATTATAGCTCGTATACACATCATCGTTTAACGATGTAAGCATATGGGTAGAATGCCATTCATCACCAAACTTATCTGACGTGATGTTTTTGAACTTGATGTCTCGTCGACTGATGCATCAACCCCGCGAATCCTACAAATCCCATCCTAATGCAAAGACAGCATCCCATCCAAATGGCAGTGGACATCTCAATCGGATAACTGATGAGCTCATCACAGTCACAACCCCCGGCAGATGCATCGCATATGGACGTTGTACACAAGATAGGATGCGCAGATGTTGCATGGTTACCTTATCTTGGCTTGATATATTCGGTGCTCCGGTTAATATGCATCGGATACAACCAGTATCCGCACAGCCATCACTCGCTAGTGGATTTCACTTGAGCTCAATAAATGATGCCCTCCCTTTGCGCACTTCACATTCCGCATAGAGGAGCCAAGTGTGAACTACAACTTATTGAATACCTGCTGCTGCGTCGCTACCAGCCATGAGCCCAAATTTTGACATTCTGACCGCCACTGCTGATGACCTCCAACGGGAGCTAAGCTCTGGCCGCATAAACAGCAAGCAGCTAGTCGAGATATATCTCTTGCAGATTGAGCGTCACAACGACTACCTCAAAGCCGTAATCAGCACATCCCCCGCGCCACTTCTATTAGAGAGAGCCGCAATTCTAGATGATGAAAGACAGAGCGGAAAACTTCGAAGTCCACTCCACGGAATCCCAATCCTCGTCAAGGATAATGTCGCAACACATCCTTCCACTGGTCTAGACACCACAGCGGGTAGCCTGGCGTTGGTTGATTCGAAGCCGAGGAGCAATGCGCCTATTGTAGACCGAGTGGGTGATTGCTGTAAACTTGAATTTATCGAGCATAAGCTAAACGAAGGCAATCAAGCTGCTAGAGGCTGGGCTCATCATTATAGGCAAGGCCAGCTTGTCGGTAAGTGACCATTCAACTGTCAGAATTAACGTACACGATAAACTAATCTTCCATTTAGGAACTCTCATGGTGGAAGTCAGTAAAAACTGTTTAACCAACATTAACTTTCAGTACAAGTGAGCCGACAACTAATGGCGCAGGGGCACAAACCTTCTCTGTGGCTGGAACAGCATAAGCGGCCAAGCTCAATCACCCTACGTCAAAGGAGGTCTTCTCATCGGTGATTCATTCTCAGGACACAGTGTAAGTGAAACAAAAGCAGTGGCCGTACCCCCCTTCCCGAAACACTGATTCACCTGCAACATTCCTTAGAACCCCGGCGGATCTTCATCTGGCTCTGCCATCGCCGTGGCAGCCGGATTCGCCCCCATCAGCATTGGGACTGAGACATTTGGCTCACTCATGTTGCCCGCGGGCCGAGCCGCCCTGTACTCACTCAAACCTGGGCGCGCGCTCATCTCCACTAGGGGCATTGTCCCCATTTCAAACTTCTCGGACCAACCGGGGCCTATGACAAAGAACACGAAGGATTTGGCGGTGCTGATGGACATTATTACCAATCCTGAAAATGTTCCGTTTGGTGGTTACGCTTCGAGGGTGACGGGCTCGTGGGAGGGCCTCAGGATTGGCACATTGGACCCGGAAAAGTGGACGTATTCTCCTGAGATTCGAAAGGTCTTGGATGAAGGAATGGAGAAACAGTTGGTGAGATTGTACCCTCGTTTCACTTTGTCAGGTTTATTCTTGGCATGCTAAGTTGACTAGAACGATCAAATTCGGGATGCATATGCAAGGATCAAGAAACACGTGTCCGTTTTCAAGGACAATGTTCCGTTGAGAACTGCAGATATTTTGACTATCAACGGTGAAGATGTATTGCTCAAGATTTTCGGTAAGTCTACTCTGCATTAGTATAAGCATAATACACGTATGACTGAAGCTCCCTGGAATAGAAAAGGACTTTAAAGAACAGTTTGAAGAGTACCTTCAACTTCTAGAAACTCCAAGAATCAAGACTTTGGGCGAACTGATTGCTTTCAACAAGGATAATGCCGATAGAGAACTTCCCCCAGGTAACCTGCAGATATTGATCAAAAAGACTCCTAAAACTGACAAGTCCTAGGCTATGAAAACCAAGACATCCTCATACGTAGCGAAAACACAAACATAACCCCCAAAGACCGTGAAACCTACGTCGCCCACCTAAAGAAACTCGGTCGCGACGAAGGCATCGACAAGATATTCGACGAATACGACATCAACATCGTCATGGCACCACTCGAGTCTCCCCTGTACTACTTCGCTGCGGCTTGCGGTACAACCCACCTCCTTCCCGCTTCATCTGGCCAAACTTGCATGGCTAATACCTTTTCCTTCAGGATATCCCGTTGCTGCCATGCCACTTGGCTATCTTGAGTACAACGGACGGCCTCACGGGCTTGCCGCGGTTGCGAAAGAGGAGGGCCTTTTGATCCAACTCCAGAGTGCCTATGAAGGAGTTTTCCCTCCACGGAAACCGCCAACTCTTCTCAATTGAAGTCGAATTCACAGTGACACTTATGACTATAGCTATCATAAAACATGCAGTTGTTAACGACCCGTGTATTTAGCGATACAAGATATCGGAAGCGGGTAGTGATAGTAGCACAAACTTGGTGAATACTGCCGCATATGTCAATGTCCATCATATTGAATGGATGGAACATAAAAGACATCTGTCCCTCACCCATGCAAAGTCGCCCTCGTCGGCAATTACAAAGTCTCATTCATAAACGGGTATATGCCAGCACAACAAGTTACCAACGACACAAGGGAAAAGCAAGATCAAGCTTGGCAAGGCTGCTATTTTCTACTCTCTCGTTACCCTCTTCTAACATTTTTGCTGTTTCTACTATATTTACTCTTGAGGAACAATTCATCTGCAAATCCCCCATTTGGAGCCTTTAAACAATAGCGGTTTCAACCGGTTAATACAGGTTTCGCTTCCATCCGCCTTCTGCCTCGAAAAGCTTACCCACTTCCTTCGCCACCTTGAGAAGATGGCGGTCACGATATCTCGCGGCCACAAGCGAGACGCCTATCGGCATGCCAGAGTGTCCTTGAAAACCCGGAATGTTGATCACCGGGGTATGCAACGCGGACCAGCCGGAGCAAAACGCCGAGTCGCCCGTCCACTCGAGCCCTTCGGGAGCTTCGTCGACGACGCTAGGGGTCAAAATAGCAGTGTATTTGCCGGCAATCTCATCAATCTTGGGCCGCAACGCAGCGATGCCATCAAAGGCCTTGAGCTGCTCACGGCGGTCGTAGCCAGCCTTTCGCTCTACATAACCGACCAGCTGCGGCGAAAGTTGGTCCTTGGCAGTGCGGTGCTCGGGAAGGAAAAAGGTCTCCCCTTCGGTCTGGAGGACGACGTTGTGCCAACGAGGCAGATTGTCAAACTCAGTCGGCAGATCGACCTCTTCTACCTCGGCGCCATGAGCACGAAGGATGTCGACAGCGCGGGCAATCGCATTGCGAGTGCCTTCTCCTGCGATTGGCCAGACAACCGTCTTGCATAGAGCAAAGCGCGCGCCTTTGATGCCGTCAAAGTCACTGGGCTCGTCGTCATGCAGCGCGAACGCATCGGCGACGAGGTCTAGGTCATCGACGCCGCGGGCGAAAATGCCAATGGTGTCCAACATCAGCGAGGAAATCTTCAGACCCTCGCGGGAAACGGCGTTCCAAGTGGGCTTGATTGAATAAACGCCATTGAAAGAGCCAGGGCGGATGGTGGACCCGCCGGTCTGGGTGCCGAGCGCGACCGGGGCTTGCAAGTCTCCAACGGCGGCTCCGGAGCCGGAAGAGGAGCCGCCTGGGGTGCGGGACGGGTTGTGCGGGTTGCGTGTCGAGGCCGGTCCGGTATACGAGGCGGCGAACTCGGCCGTTGTAGTTTTGCCTAAGTCGGGGCGTGTCAACGAGGTTGTGGCTGGAGAAAGGGAGAGACGCTTTGCAAACTAACCGAGAAACAACACGCCGGCGTGGCGGAGGAGGATAATGGATGCCGCGTCGAGCTTCGGAAAGTCGCCCTTGTAAATGGGCGAGTTGTGAGCTGTCGGCATATCTAGACACACCCTGCTCTTAGCTCTGCCAACACACACCTCCACAGGCCAGGTGCAACATGATACGACATACCCTTTGTGTAAATGACATCCTTGACGGCAACCGGCATTCCATGAAGAGGGCCTCTGTCTTGCATCGGCACTTTATCCAGAGCCCTCGCCTGCTGGAGGACGTAATCCCTATCGAGATACGCCCAGGCTCCGACGTCGGCATCACGGACATCTATGCGCCGAAGCAGTGAGCGTGCATAACCCTCAATCGTCAGCTCGCCAGCGCGAATCCTGGCGAGAGCTTGGGTTGCCGTAAGCAAGTATGCGTCGTCGCTGCCCATGTTGGCTCTCGAAGCCTTCCTGAACCTCCTGGGAATAAATGACAGTAGACAATCCAGCTTGACTGTTGGTAAGCGCACCAGGGCGTCTTCTCTAATAAGGATGTCTAGACGTCTTGGTCAGCCAATTACAGCCTACCAATCGGCTACCCATACAAGGATCCGTACCTTGACAGGCGGCTGCCGCACCTTGATTTTGTCCTGACAGCGGCTATTATTGGCTGGCCCCGAGCAGGTTTCGCCTGATGAGGCAATCTGAAAAAGAACAGCCAGCAGTGGCAAGCCGAGATGTTGGCAGAGATGAAGCAAGATTCCAAAGAATCCAAAACAAAATAACGAGCACGCGAGTCCTCGTCCTTTGTAAGCAGTCAAAGAGACTCGCCTTGGAACGATCCACACAACCTAGAGCATGGGGTGAGCAAACGACTTGTGCAGGGTTAAAAAGAGGGAATTGGATTCAGAATGGATCACGGTGTGGTTCTTGCGAACGGTGGGCTGGGCCGACCTACCGGAATACACAATAAAACCTTGGCACTATCTCTTTCGAAGGACGGTTTCCACAGAAAGATGCAGAACAAGAGCACAACGGCTATCCCGGGGCATCTTCTATATATAGGGGCCAGAGGTCAAGGATACCGGCGTGTAGGGCCATTAGGCAAATTTAGGACGCCATCGAAAAAGCTGGACTAGAAAGCAAACTGTGTAACCCGGCATGGGCACCTCGGATGTGACCCGCCACGGAACAGGCGCGAGAGACAGGAAAAAAAGCAATTCTCAAGGCCCCTTTGCGTTGCGTGTGTTGATACTCTGGTCGGTCCAGATCTCAGTCGCTCCGTCTGTCTGTGTGACAGGGCCGAACCCGGCCCCTCTTTATTTCACCTGCGATTAACCATCTGCCCATGCCATCTCATCATTACCCACCCACTCGACGAGGGCCTGCAGCATCTGCCAGCCCTGCGGCTCGTGACCCAGCTATTTGAGGCCTCGTCCACGACCAAAGAGGTAATCTGAGGCGAGGCGAGACAAGGCGAGGGGCTGGACCTAGCACACCGGAGCCGGTGAAGCAGCTGAGAGGCACAGGTCGAAGCTGTGGCGGCCGGGCTGAGCAGCAGCCGCCTCGAGAAACGGTACGGTATGGTGTTGCAGTAAGCAGCTGTCTGCCATGGCATGCCTGTAAGCAGAGTATCGGGCTGCATGGCGTCCTAGCGTGCAGCCGGTCAAGCAAGCAAGCAGCAGGGGAGCGGAAACATGTACCCAGTCGGCCATCATTGGGCTGAAATCCTGGCCTCAGATAGTGGCAGAGCTATTACAGGACAAACCAAATTGGTGGGGGAAAGGCGTTGGGCCGTGCCCAGGGGCTGCCTGGCCTGAGACACGTAACAAGACATCGAATGTGCGTGTGCGGTCATTGTACTCGTACTCGTAGGTGAGTGTCTTGTAATGAATCCTTGTCTTTGACGCCCCGAGGGCAGCCGGTCCAGGTTTATACTCGCACTCTGTCTGGTCTGCCTCGTCTCGGTCATGGTGAGCTATCGGCGAGTGGAGGAGAGGAACCCCGCCGCCGCCGTCAGCAATCATAATCGGCTGTTGACAGTCGGAAGAGTTCTTTGGAATTCTTTTCTGAAGTGGTTGGTAAGCATGTCGAGTCTGACTTGCAGCTGGACAGAGGATAGAGCAGTCTAGAAGGGAACAAGAGACGGAGTTTTGGTGAGGCCAAACAGCACTGTGCAATCAATGGAGTTCAAGGTTGAGTTGAAAATCATTACGGGATCCATAGTTTGGCACGGGCTAGTTTAGGGCAGTTTAGGGCAGCTTAGGGGATGGAAGGCGGGCAGCTAGGGCCATAGCGGCAGAACTGCTCCGTCTGTAGCTCGACCCTCTCCATCTCCATCTCTCCCTTCCGGTCCTGATGGGTCTCGACAGAGCATCAAAGCGCCTCTCCATTGCGGTAATCTGCCCTGAGCAAGGCCTGTCGTCATTTGTGACATCTCAGTTTTCACGTCTCCACGCACTGGCCGATCTTCCCGATGTCGTCTATGCAAAATGCGGTTGATTCCCACGCCTCACGGGCCTCATGCACTCAATATGCAAGCCATGAGTCCGTGGTGTCGCTTGATATATTGCCCGGACATGATCAAAACGCAAAGATAAAGATGCCAATGTATTCCGATATCGCTTTAGGTAACGGTATTGAGCGTCATAGAGACGTGCAGAAAAAGGAATTTTGGTCCACATGTACTTGGTTCAGCAAGCATCAGCTACACCTACCATCCATCAGCGCAAGGGTCGACAAGCAACGCTGATACATACGCCTTACAGCAACTCCTCCTCGGTACGGGATGTATTGAAAAGCAAGCTGTAATTTGAGACACGGGATGCTGGCCAGCCCACTACCTGTTCGGCTGTCTCTTTCACGGTGCGGCTGATCCATATCCCTGGGCCATCGTATTCACTAGCTGAGACAAGCAAAAAGCAAATCGTGGCAGGCTTCCCTGTCCCATGAAGCCGGGTCATTTCCCTTGCCTCGAAGGATCGCAAAATACCAATGGAATCTCCTTATTCCCCTTTTCTTTTCTTTTTCTTCTGCTTTACTAGTCTGCGGCTGATTCATGGTGCTTCTTAGAGAAACACTAGTTTTGTTTCCTCCTTGCTCAGAAACGTATCCAATAAGATGAGTTTCTTTTCTCAAGATTAAGAGTAGGCTGTAAGTGAGAAGAAGCAAACAAAACAAGGACAGTTCGACTCCCGTTAGCGTGAGTCTTCCTACACTTTCCGAGGTGGCTGGCCAATACCCTTGTGTGCCTGCTCTCTGTTATTGAAACTACACTCCCTGCATAGCGCCATAATGAACGGCGATATAGTGATTGGATCTAAAGTTTCCTCGTAGTACGATAGCCGCAGGGCCCTGTATAAATGAAGCTCGCCTGACCCCCTTGATACCGAACAGGGTTCATGGGACGAATCACAATAAGCAAGCCTGGAGAGGGCGCAAAGCCTAGAAGTGCCTCCTACATGATTGCATCATGGATATGTCTCCGGCATGATCAGTCTCACATTATAGCATCATACATGTAATCTCGTGGCCAATGGATATTTCACCTGGAAAAAAGGAAGAGCCTGAAATTGACTTCGACACTAGCATCGTCTATCATCCAGCTGCCACATACAAGCCTTCACCTCTTGGCCAGTAGCACACTAGTAAAGCCTCGTAGGATCGTCGTGGAACATGGGACAGATAGACCAGTAGACAAGCTTCAAAGGACGAAGCAAGAGGTTGTCCTACATTAGATGCTCGGCGGTAACGGCGGCAGTTTAAACCCAACACCGTTTATACCTTGGTTGGATCTGCACAGTCGTAAGCCGTCCATCTCTTTATCCCTAGACGGATCTGCCGTGTAACTGTATTTTCCGATTCCCGTTAGCAGCGTCATTATACCCCCGCTCAAGAGGTCCCATGATGGCTTGCATGCAGCGCATAAAGCCATGTCACCAATGGCAGGATGAATGCCTTGCCGGGGCTGGAGGACTGAGGCGGTCAGTCGTTGAATGCTTCCAAACAGCATGACATAGTTGTTAGGAATTCAACAAAAGAAGACTCACTGACCATTGGACATATTGCAATGGGGAGTGGTAATGTTCAGACCAGCACTCAATATATGTTTTTCCTAATAGCATTGGCTATAACTGACGCACAGCATCATGTACATGCATCGATTTGCTAATGCCAAGTCTACGACAAGGACAACATCACCTCACCGGATATTTACGTTGTCTCCCACATCTTTCCTAGCTCAAACCAATCTGTGCCGCCTTACTATTATCCCGTGACATGCCGGCTATGCATCTCAACCTGCCATTGTATGGTACTTTTGCGGTAGGTGGTGCCTGTTGGCGCAGTATGGATGGTAACATTGAACATTGAAGTCCTGCATATATGAGCCCCCTCCCAACGTTGCAGACACCACTATTTGGAGACTCTAGCATTCGATAACAGAAGCCAAACAATGGCAACTCATGATAACACATCAAATATAGAAATACTCCGCACATGTATCGGACTTTAGCAAGAACCAACTTCGGTCCATCATATATCGATCTCCACAAGCGCCCGATCCAGGCCGGTAAAAACCCTCAACTCGTGCATCTAGCCTCGCTAGCACCAACGCTACGGCATCCCCCAAAGCCCTGAACCACTCCAAAAAGGCCAGCTTCTCAACCAAAGGACTTAAATTCAACCGAATGCTTACGCCCACGTGATGACGCGTTCTCTCGGCGACGGTGCTGTCGATGTATCAGAGCGTGTGCTTGCGCGTTGCTCGTATTTATCCGAAGGGCGTTGGCGTGCGTGAAAGGGCGCTGTGGGATTCTTGTTGCCTAGCAGTTCATAGCAAGTAATCACTTCAAATTATTGATTAATATGGAACCCCGCTCCGGGCTTTCAGCAGCCATATAATAGGTAACTACTAGAGTTCACAATGCTCTCCTTCATGAGAATATTCTCTTGAATCCGTAGACAGACGAGCAGATCTTTGCAGTTCATCATGGTTCAAAAGATAACGCAGGAATATGCCAATCACGGCCTGTCGCTGAAATGCGACATCTACGCTCAAGACGACTACCCAAAGAGTAACCCCGTGTTTCTATACTTTCACCCAGGAGGACTTGTCGACGGGAACCGTGATGTTGTCGCGCCTTGGCTCGTACAGGTGAGAAGAAGCAAAAAGACTGAACAGGACAGTTCATAGAGCCTTTTCATTGACATGTAAAGGTGTAGGTGTGCATCCAGCGGAAATGGCCTCTCATCTCCCCGAGTTATCGTCTTCTCCCCCAAGCAGGCGGACAAGGCCTCCTAGAAGACGCCACAGCGGCATACGGATTTGCGCAGAATTGGGACACTCAATCTTCTTCCAAACGACCAGTTATCGTTGGAGGCGCCAGCGGAGGTTACTTCATGGCCACTCTCATCGCTCACCACTGCCAACCCAAACCTCGCGCCCTCTTCTCCATCCAGGGCATCAACACCTTCCACCACCCCTTCTTCAACTCATCCATCCAAACAGCCGGCGAAGAAATCCCCCATGCCTCCATGGAAAAGTACATCGCCGGCCCAATCCAAGTCGGCGAAATGCCCCTTGACGAGTCCACCTTTGTCCTGGACAAACTAACCCCCGACGGCGCAAAGAATCCATCATTCACGCCTCCTATGCCCGCCGCGAGAGCATCACCAGAGGATAACAGCTACCGAGGCATGCTCTACGACTACTATACCTTCAACAACTCCTTCCTCGGCATAGTTGGCTCCGTCGACCTCGGGTATCAATGGGCGAAACTTGCCGAGTCCAAGGACAGAGTCGCACGGTGGCCCAAGACGGTCATCTTCCACGGCAACAAGGATCCCGATGTGGAGCTCAATGTGAGCGAGGACATGCGTGACTGCTTGGGCGAAGACAAGGTCACGTTGATTGTCGCCGATGGCCAGCCTCATTTATATGAGCTGGAGAAGTTCATCGAGGATGACGCTCCTGGAATGGAGGCCGTGAGGAAGGCTATAGCTCGGTTGGATGAGATTGTGGCTTCCGTCTAATTCGACGAAATATTTCTTACATATTATTACGACCTTGATCAGTAAACTGAAAGAATGTCGAGGTGAATGTTATTCGTAAATTCTAGTCAGCTATAAGAATGGCCTCTCCAACGAGGCCTGTCCCTACCCGCTTCCAATTTTCTTCCCGCATTATGTATGCTCTGAAGATGGATGATTAACTACAATGACAAAATACATGTAAATAAGAAGAAGAGAGAGAAGAAGAAAAGGCAAAAAAAAAAAAAGACCGTTTACATCACGATCCCTTCCCACAGTTTAAAACACGACATGGCATGCTTTTATCCCACTCCACATCCATTATTCTTTCCTCCTTTTATTCAACGCCTGTCACACACCTTCTCCCCGGACCATCGATCCACACAAACTTCATTCTGCCGTCCCATGTTGGTCCACAAGTGAGATAAAAAGAAAACGAGAGTTGCCTGGTCATTACGAAAGGTGTAGTCGGAGAGGTTTAGGGTTACATGAGAAAATGATTCCAGTGTAAATGTTCATTATGAAGACGTAGCTTTCTCAAGGCAGGCTTGAAGCTGTTTATGGAGAAATCTGGTTAGTTGACATGACGAGTCGTCTCGGGTATATATAAAGGCGAAAGACGAACCTGTTGGGGCATAATACCCTGGTTGCTCAAATATCGGCACATGCTCTTGACCAGCTCGACTTGCTCCTCGGGGTTGAGGCTGGTGATGGCCGTCTCCAGGACGCTGCCAAGGGTGACTTTGTGGACCTCGATAAAGGTGTGGAAGTACATGTAGGCGAAGAAGCCCATGATGAACTGGCAGTCCATACGGTCCGTCATGCCGCCGTGTCCCGGGATGGAATCACCAAAGTCCTTAATCTTAAAGGTACGCTTGAGACCAGAGGCGAAGAAGCCGCCGAAAGGAGCGATGAGAGACGCAAAGGTGGCCAGGGCCAGGGCGTGCAGCTGCATCGGCGCCAACGTGAGAGAAAAGTTGGTGTTCGGAGGGAGGAAGAAGAACTGCGGGAGCTTGTAGGTGCGGGGGAGGAAGACGGGGTTTACGTCGCACTTGAGTCCAGTAAAGACATTGGCGCCAAGGTCCTACAGGTTGGATTGATGTGAGTATTAGACAATCGAATAAATGGGGGGAAGGGGGGTCACTTGGTTGACTTACGTTGACAGGGCAGATGAAGTACTTGGAGCGCATCAAGATGTTGACGAGCAAAAAGGAGAAGAGAATGGTCATGATCCATGCGCCAACAAATCCTTCGACAGTCTTCTTCGGCGAAAGCTTGATGAGCTGCGTGCGGCCAAAGGCAATACCACAGATGTAAGCAAAGATGTCGTTGGTGATGACTAGAGCCGCCGGAAGGAAAAACCAAATCATTCCCTCAAAGATGTTGTTCATGACAAAATGAGCCTGAACGACGATGAGATATAGAGCCATGTGAGTCCAAGCAAAGTTGGTAAACTGGAACTTGTAGTGTCCGGCCTGAAGCGAAGCGACAAAGTAGACGAATCCTGGGCTGGCGTTAGAAGAGACCATCCAGATGTTTCGTTGCGAATACTGAGGATTTACTTACCAAAGACGTAGAGCACAAAGCTGATGAAGCGGTGATGAGTAGCCAAAGGCAGAAGGACCTTGTCTACGAGCACAATATGCTTGAAGTAATAGATGACGCTCTCGCCATAGAGGAAATACATGGTGGAGGCTAAAAAGTACCAATTCAAGCTCTTGGTGGAGCGGAGCGATCTGGCACGGCTGGGCACATTGGCGATGGCAATGACTTCCTTGAAAGAAATGATTTGGACAGCGGTAACAATGGCGATCATGTAAATGTGCCCCATGAACAGCGCGCCGAAGAAGCCAGATATCATGACGAGCGTCCAAAAGGTGCGTGTCCAGAAGTTTGCCTTTTTCTTTTCATACTCGGCCTGCTTCTCGGCGGCAGTCGCGGGTTTCTGTTTGTCGCATCATGTTAATTTCCGGTTTCCCTTGGTCCTCGAAACAAGCGACAAGTAAGTGCGAAAGAGAATGGCGATTAGAGCTCACCTCTTGTACAGCCGCCAGCTTGGCTTGAGTCTGCGACCTGGTTCTTGTTGGAGACCCCTCTTCGCTCTTGTCGCTGAAGCTGGACCGGCGGCCCTCGGAGCCGCTGAGCTGGCCGTTTGCATTCTTCATCGGGGACTTGCCCCCTCTCTTTGATCTGGCCATGGCGTGTTCAGAAAGGTGAAGTGGTAGCACAGGGCGGGAGTCGCGATTCAACGGATTGCTCGGAGGAGGATCGTCGATGGTAGGAGCTTCGGCGGGCTGCGATGCGGTGCCTGAGTTAGTCCAGCGCACAGTCGCCGTCTCGGACAGCTGGTTCGCCTCACCTTTATATACTCGACATCCCCAGCAGCGGTGGAGGGCGATTTTAACGTCGAGGTGGCCTTGCCCGATGGTGATGTGGGAAATCAGAAGCTACGTGGAGCTGACGAGTTTTGGTATCCCCATTATTACCGTGGTGCTGGCGTGCGCCTGTAAATGCCTGGGGCTTGGCGCTAGCGGGCTGCTGGGATTGCTGAGGCTTTGGCTAGGCGAGAAGTTTCACTGAAACCAGCACTGGATGGATCTCAAAAACTCCCCATGAGCGGAGCTGTCCAAGAAGTGTGTCGGTAAATACATGTAATAGCAGAGAATGCGCGGAGACTTTCAAATTTTTGTCTACAATGGTAGGTATCTTGTAGTAGCTGCTACTATCTTCTTCTGCCATCTGCTACGAGCACCTTGAAGCCATCCCGTCCCTGTAGGAGTTCGCCAATGTTAGGTAATTTAATAATAAGGATGCCGCATGCTCAAATTAATGTCGGGGTCCTGCGACTCCCCGTGCGCCATGACCGCATTCGCTTGGGCTCCCCGCAAACGCATGTGACGGCCATTTAAGCAGTACCTCTTCCTACCAGGCCTCAACAACTTACCTACGATGACGTTTGCTACCTATGCATAACACGGGTATGGGAATGGAAAGTGAAAATGAAAAATGAAAGTAATCATTTTTGCAGATAATCGCAAGATGCCTCTGGAAGCGTCAAATAACTTCATTCATCGTCCTTAGAGGCAGCCTGCAATGCACAATTCCATTCGTGGCCAACTAAAAAGCCGTCTCTAAGCAGGGACGACGTCATGCGACATGATGCGTAGATCAGGGCTGAGGAGTTGCACCGCCTCTTCCGCTCACATTTGCTAAGCCTTGAACCCAGGGCATGGCGCTGCATGCCGTGCTGCGAATTATGCTCGCAATTGGCCATTCTTTTCGGTATTTAATGACGTATGCTCCGTATCAATGGAGGAAATTTCATTTCTGGTTACAGCAAATATTGCGCCCAAACTACCTAACCCAAGGTAACGCTACGGCGGAGAACCAATCTCTATCAAATAAGTCTTCAGCCACACTTTAAAGATTCAGCCACACAAGCAAGGACATCGAGAGAAAAACGTGACTTCGTGTCGCGTTGATTCGCCTGGCATGTGAATAATCGTGGGGAAGCTGGACCGCGCACCAGCTTCTGGTTCCTTTTTTGTCCCGCCATGACTGCATAAGCAAAAGCAAGCAATAGCCGTGCCAAGTCCGCCGCTGTAGCCGCCTGGAGCCATGAAGCAGATGGATTGACGATCCACGAATGATGGATCTCGACGAGTTTTCCGACGATGGCTTCGACGATCTCACCGACAATGTGCTCCAAGAGCTCGAGAATCACGCTCTCCAGTCCACCCAGGCCCGGCCTCAGCATGCCTTGACGCAGCAGTTCGACTATGCCTGGGAGCAGGAGGATGACGACCTGGACACCACCGAGGTGACCAACGATGCCGGGCTTCCTGTCGGCCGGCCCATTGTCGACAAGTCATTGCGACAGCAGCCGCAGCAGAAACAACAGCAGAGACCTCCCGTGCCCAATCCTCGATGGAACCCCGCGATCGACTCGGCCGCCGCCCGGCCCGGGGCTCCTCTTGCGGAGCGGACTCGGATGGCCAGTGTCCGGCCGTTGAACCAGCCTTTCATGAGCTCCCAGCGACTGCCAGATTCCTCGCAGAGTACCAGTCGACCTCAGACAGCACAGCTTGCCGCTCTGCCAATGGCGTCCCAAGGGCAATCGGGGACCATGGTGACGGCACTCCAGAAAAGAATTCGCGTTTTGGAAGCAGAGCTCAATGCCGCTCGTGGCGAAGCCTCCATTCTCCGTTCAAATTCAACAAAAGCGCAGCACAGCTACGACGAGCAGATTGCACGCTTACGGAAGCTGAATGCCGAGCAATTAAGCAAGCAGGAGAAGGCAATGGAGGCAGCCCTGGCAGCCGAGAAGAATGCCAATGTGGAACTTCAGTTCATGCAACGCGATATGAAGGAGGCCAACGACCGAGCTCGGAAAAAAGAGCCCAATGCCAACAACACGGCGACGCCAAAGAAGGCCGCTAAAACATGGGGCTTTGCCGACGGCTTCGATGAGATGGACATCGCCCCTAGTCCAAGCAAAGGCCAAGGGAGGAGTAAGACTGCCGGGTCTGTTGCTGCCAATATTGGAGAGCGGACGCCGAGCAAGGGGAAGCGAAAGCGCCAGATATCCGAATCGCCGATGAAGGCGCTTGATATACACACGGGCGACGCCGAGATGAGCGAAGCAAAACCCATCTTTCAGCCAACATTGCAGCAGCCTGTCATCATCGCCGCGCCCACAGTTCCTTTTGATGTATGCAATTACTCACCAACTCAAACTCCGCCCGTTTACATACTGATTTGAATTTGTTAGTTTCTGCAAGTTGTACTGGACCACGGCTTTGCCCAAGGCCAGCCCCCCACCTTTGACATACTCTCTCGCATCTCATTCCCTTCCGATCCAAGCATCTCATTCTCAACCCTCATTTTTGAAAGACTCCCTCTGATGGGAAATCCCTACCAGCCAATGCAACTCCTGGTCGATTTCGCTGAGCAAATCATCATCTTATGGACTCGGTGCTTTGAAGAGCAATTTTGGGAACCCATCAAATACCTTGTGTCGCTCATCTCCTTCACATTTCAGCTCCATACCTCGTCTGTTGCACCCCTCATCATATCCAGACTTGTGCCTGTGGCACAAACAACAATATTCACCGTGGCAGAAGGACCTTCGCGTCTTTCGGATGGCACGGCGGCCAACAATGACGAGCATGCCATTTTGGAACAGCAAATCGACACAACTCACATTCTCTCGCTGCTGTACACTGCGTCTTTGGCCTGCGCAACGATACCTACCGAGACCGAGGATGGGGCCAGATACACTTCTGCCGCATTTTGGAAACTCATTTCTCTCGACTTTACTCTTCTTCTTTTGATGCCAAAACAGAAAACGGTCGATATCATCGGAATGCTTGACTTGCTAGCCACCTCTTCGCTGCCCGATTCCATCGGCCCAATATCCGATGAAAAAGATGCGGTGTCCGTGGCGCGAGCTGTCATCGAGCGAGTATCTGCTAAGCTGATGGAACATCCCCGCGCAACGACTACCCCAGCGCAAAAACGAAGTGTGCGGCTTGCTGCTCTACGAACGCTGGTTACTTTTGCAAGACATGAATTTGGTGCCAAGCAGCTGGCATCTCACGACAACGCCATTCCGCGTCTGGTAGCTTGCTTGAGTACTTCCATCGACGAACTTTACGACCAACCAATTCCACCCAGCATTCTTCCTCCCCTTCCAGATGCCATGACATCTTCATCGCTGAGGTTCGCCGAATCTACCACCTCAGCCGAACTCCACCGCATAATCTCCCAGTGTGTGACTCTGATCCACACCTTGGCCACGGACCCTTGGACGTCCAACCTGGCTGATATCACTCGAAAACTATCGCTGTCTCATGGTGGAAGTCAACGCTACCTAATCGCACTTGGGAGGTTGACTTTTGCGGAAGAAGACCTTGTCATGGAGGCGGGAATTGAGGGAGAGGTTGTCGAAGCGGCTCACGAGCTTTTGGAAATGGCTGTGACGCCGGATGAAGGAGAGATTGTGAGTGAAGCTTTTGGGGCGTAGGTCATCATGAATTTGGCTCCTTTTAAGCATTGATTTGGGGGAGGTTCCCCTTCTTTGGAGGTACCGATGGATTGTGTACTGTAGATAAATTTTCTATACATGTCCTGGATGGGTATTTATGGCTTGGAAGCACCTCGTGTGCTTGGTGTTCTGGGTAAAGGCGGGATACTTTATGGATAGCCCTGAATTACATTTGTCGAAATGACATCGTCTTCACAAGGTAATCGATGGTTCTGGAAACATGGCCATGCTTCACGCGCGTATAGTAAGAGATGCTTATAAAAGGAGTTAGTGGTGCTAACAGATTAGGTACGCTTAACTGGAGGCTTTAGGATATAGAGTGCTGGCTTTGGACCTGCTATCATGGCTGACGAGGCTAAGTAAACAAACATGGCTTCTCATTTGCTAAAGAGAGTATCATCTACCATCTACTACCCAATATCGACGGCCTTTGGTTACCAGCCATCGTTGACTCTTCATCTTTCTCGCTATAGGTCTTCTCGACGCATTTGTGCAGTCATTATATGCACCAAGGAATTGTCTAAGAGATTACGACAAAATAAGATTCGGAGAATAATGGAGATATGTACGGAGTAGGTATGGGGTACAGTAAGCAAATGTTGACCGAACAGGAAGCATCTGCCGCCCCAGAGGTGATGGCATGAGCGTTCATGTATCAAAGACATCCGCCGGGCATCTCGCATTTTCGTCAAGGCATCTCGCCTCTCTGGCGGCAAATATCAAAATATTAAGCAGGGTGTTCCGAGGTATCACTGAGAGTTAATAAGCTTCCCCGCAAAGTTGGATCCCGTGAAGCCATCCCGAGTCAATGCTTCCAAGCCGTGGAATTGCCAGAGCTCGGCCCAAGTTATGTAAGCTGCCGGTTGCCTCGGCTCAACCCCACAAACCCCGGCCGGCGACCATCCATAAAGCTCGTGGATCCCCAGATTTGTCTGCAAGGGGCGACTTGATTGCTGCAAAGTGATACCGTCTTTACGTCGAATTGTTTTCTTAGAACTTGCGGATACAATAAATCACATCACATCACATCATGGCTGTCGAACGAATTGGCTCCATCATCAAGCACCTGGCCCCCGGGTCATCGCTGAACAACATGTAAGGAAACGGGCTCTGACGCGCTTGGGGATTGTTTCACATGCTGACAAACTATTCGTGCTGTAGCCAGTCCAAGAACGCCGACGACATCGTCATCACCTATGCCGCTCGAACACCGCTGACCAAGGCTGGCAAGGGCGGCCTCAAGGACACCAGCCTAGAGTACATGGTATATGCTCTGCTGGAGAAGGTTCGCGAGAGGAGCGGTGTTGACCCTGCTCTCGTGGAGGACATCTGCCTCGGCAACGTATGTCACGTCCCAGATCGACGAGATTTAGCCATATGTCGATTATAGTCCGCTAACAATCGTCTCTTGCAGGTGACCGATGCCCAAGCCGCCTACAAGGTCCGAACTGCCGCCCTCGCTGCCGGCTTCCCCAACACCGCCGGTGCCAGCTCCGTCAACCGCTTCTGCTCCTCCGGTCTCAAGGCCATTGCAGACATTGCCCACTCCATCTCCAATGATTCCATTGCTGTGGGCATTGCCATGGGCGCCGAGAGCATGTCGCACGGCCGCCCTACCGAGGAGTTTGACGAGGTCGTGTTGAAGAAGAGCCAGGAGGCCGACGACGCCGTTCAGCCCATGGGCTGGACCAGCGAGAACGTCAGCAAGGATTTTGGCATTGACCGAGTCACCATGGACAAGTACGCTGCGGAGAGTTTCCAGCGAGCCGAGAAGGCCCAGAAGGCCGGCCACTTCGACGACGAGATTGTTCCCATCACAACGCAGGTCAAGGACAAGAACGGCGAGCTGAAGCAGGTGACGCTGACCCAGGACGACGGCATCCGCGCCGGCACCACCGCCGAGAGCCTGGCCAAGATCCGAGCCGCTTTCCCCCAGTGGGGACCTACCACTACCGGCGGTAACGCCTCCCAGGTTACCGACGGTGCTGCCGCCGTGGTCCTGATGAAGCGATCAACCGCCATCAAGCTGGGTCTGCCCATCATGGCCAAGTACGTTGGCTCCACCGTCGCCGGCGTCGCTCCCCGCATCATGGGCATCGGCCCCAGCATCGCCATCCCCAAGCTCCTCTCCATCTACAACATCAACCTCAACGACATTGACGTCGTCGAGGTCAACGAGGCCTTTGCCTCTATGGCCGTCTACTGTCGCGACAAGCTCAGCCTGGACTGGTCCAAGATGAACCCCAAGGGAGGCGCCATCGCCCTGGGCCACCCTCTGGGAGCCACGGGAGCCCGACAGGTCGTGACCGGCCTGAGCGAGCTGCGGAGGACCAAGAAGAAGCTGTTGCTGACGAGCATGTGCATTGGTACCGGCCAGGGCATGGCTGGTCTGTTTGTCAACGAGCAGGTGTAAAAAAAAACAAGAAGCATTGGGATGGATGAGATATGGATTGTTCATAATAGGGTCATGTATAGCTAGCTACCTTACTAGATGTCTCCTTTTTTTGTGTATGTACTACCTATGAAATACTAGCGATTTACTTTTTTGGGTTTCTTTTTTAAAACGTCCTTTGCTTTTGATTTTTCGACTTGCAATGTGTGACTTGAGCGCGGATCTCGGCAATGCGGTGTCTCGGACGTGGCATTGATGGAGTGTGGCTGGAATTTCGATGTGGTGCTACCCTATAAAAGATGTACAACAACGCGGTGGATGCGTGAGGCATGTGAGCAGGATGCGAATCGACGCGCTGTTATGATACTGTTCTTTTTTCTTGAGTTTTCAATTCATATATCCTATCCATAGGTCTTTAATAGATAGGGTATTGTTGAATGTGAACAATTGTGTAAACACACACTCTCTACTAAATAATGAGGTACATGGCGCATTAGACGTTTCTTATCTCATCATTTATCTCTCAACTGACTGACACTTTGACATTTTGGCAGTTTGATAGGCACATATACTTTGACACTTGACACATTTGACATTTGACACTGGACACCCATAAAGCAACCAACACATGAAACCCTGTCCAAAAACATCACGCTCTCACCGAGACCGGCAGCAAACAATGCAGCCCGTCCCGCGACCACCTGTTCGTAGTGTCAGGTGCGCATCCTGTTAGTCAATCGCGGGCCTCTCATTGGTGTCAATTGGCCCTGGGCGGTCTGGCCCTGCACGTTGAGGCGCTGCCTCACCGCATTCGCCCCCCGAAACTTCCAGTGGAGCGGTGCCCTGTGGGGGGGCGTCTTCAGCGCTGTGTCGCACTGTTGTGCCCGCCCTATCCCCGCTGATGTCACCCGCGGCTTCGGCTTGGGAAACCGTCCATTCTGCCTGTATTGCATTGCAGCAATTTTTTTCGGTCGCCAAGACTCCATTCCATTGTACGCAACTGCGGTTCTCCCTCCTCTTCTCCCTCCCCTCGGATACTCTTTGTCATTTGGAAGCATCCCAACGTCGGCGGCTGGGAAGAAGCGACGGGAAAAGCTGCACCGCCTTGCTCGGCTTCGGCTTTTATGGAATCCTTGGGCGACGACTCGATCTTCCGCTAGTTACTGTTTCGAAGCGGTGGATTGGGAGCGCTGGCCCTCGACTGGACAGGTCGCCTCAAAACACCACGGAAAGCTCTCCAAAGCCCACGGCGTTTGCAGAGAAGCGCCTAGAAACCGAGATCCCGAATGCACGATACGATCCCGAGCTCTACGACCCCGATTGTGTGAAAAATGTCGGGCCCTCCGCCGCCGCTGAACCGCGCGGACTCGTCCAAAGACCACCGCCCTCTGCAACCGAGCACTCTTCGACAGAGCCATACTCCTCCTAGCCGTCCAGGGAGCGGTGACAGCCAGAGCAGCGATGTGTACCAGTCCATCACGGCTATTGGCGACTCGTTTGCCGGCGAATCGACGCCCTTGATACTGGACGACCAGTCAGGGCCCCGCGGCCATGGCACCTTCAACCCTCATTCTTCTTCGCCCCCCAATGGCCTCTTTGGCGGAAGCACCGACGATGAGAGCGAAACGCAGGAGAGCGGATCGAACGCTGGTTTCTTCTCGTCGGTCTCGGGGAATGATGACTGGAAGAGGTGGCTCTCAAGGAGGATGCGAACGACCAAGATGGGTCACAGTAGCGAGCTGGCTGAGCAGGCTGGGTTTCGAGATACCCCCTTCATGTGAGCTTGTTTCCTACCGGCGTCTTGCCATTATCGTCGAGACGTAATGACAACCTGGACTGACCCGTATGGACAGGTATCTGGCATACTACATTCCGTGTCTGAACTGGATCCAACAGTACAAGCTGTCATACCTCCAGGGTGACTTCATTGCAGCCGTCACCATGGCCTCGTTTTACCTCCCGATGGCGCTCTCGCTGGCGTCTAATCTGGCACACGTTCCGCCCATCTTCGGTCTCTACGGCTTCATCTTCAATCCCTTCGTATATGCGTTGCTCGGATCCTCTCCGCAAATGGTTATCGGCCCTGAGGCAGCTGGATCTCTTCTCGTGGGCACTGTGGTGAAATCGGGAGTCGATTCTGGAGGTGAAGGCTCAGAGGACAACGACATTTTGCATGCCCAGATTTGCGGTGTGGTTGGCGGTATGGCTGGCGCCATGGTCCTCATTGCGGGGCTGGCCAGATTGGGTTTCTTGGATAGCGTGTTGAGCAGGCCCTTCTTGAGAGGGTTCATCTCTGCCATTGGTTTTGTTATTGCAGTGGACCAGCTGATCCCAGAGCTTGGCCTTGCTGCCCTTGCGGAAGAGGAGGGCGTAAATCACGGAAGCAGTGTCGACAAGATTGGATTCATTTTCAGGAACGTTGGGGAGACTCACAAGCTGACCTTTGCTGTTGCGGGTGTCAGTTTCGTGATTATTATGATATTCCGGTAAGTTGGAGAGAAACAGTCTTGGTGGATGGATGGGGCCAATTAATAGCTAACGCTTTCTTTCATGGTAGCGAACTAAAGCGTCGTTTGGAGAAGAGGTTTCCTGGAGTTGCCTTCTTCCCTGATCGATTCCTCGTCGTTGTCGTTTCGGCTATCCTGTGCTGGCACCTTGACTGGGAAGACAAGGGAGTCGAGGTTCTGGGATCTGTCAAGGCCGCCTCCGGAGGCATCTTTGAATTCCGATGGCCGTTCCAGCTCGCCCATATGAAGCACATACGCTCATCCATGTCAACGTCTTTTCTCATTGCACTCCTCGGCTTTTTTGAGTCGTCGGTTGCGGCAAAGAGCCTGGGCGGTAGCTCGATCCCTGGCATCGAACTCAGTGCGAACCGAGAGATGATTGCCCTGGGAACTGCCAATCTCGTTGGCTCCATGTTCATGGCACTGCCCGCGTTTGGCGGCTATGGACGAAGCAAGGTGAACAAGACGACCGGTGCAAAGACTCCAATGAGCTCCGTGTTCCTCAGTCTGTTGTCATTGCTGTCCGTCTTGTTTCTGTTGCCATATTTTTATTTCCTGCCGGTAAGCAAACGGCCCTGCAGCCCCCATACACATTTTTATCACAATAGACTAATCAAATGCACCTGGCAGAAACCCGTTCTTTCGTCAATGATCTCCGTCGTTGCATGGTCGCTGATAGAAGAGGCTCCTCACGACATTTCATTCTTCCTAAAGATTCGGGGCTGGACCGAGCTGGGCCTCATGGCAGCCATCTTTCTCTCCACCATCTTTTACTCCCTGACCCTGGGTATGGCTCTGGGCGTAGGAATCTCCCTGCTCCTGGTTATCAAGCACAGCACTCGTCCCCGCATCCAGATCCTGGGTCGTGTACCCGGCACTAACCGATACGAGAACCCCGAATCCCTCGACTCTAGGATCGAGTTTATCGAGGGATGCCTCATCGTCAAGATTCCGGAACCCCTGACGTTTGCCAACACCGGCGAGCTCAAAGCGCGCCTTCGGAGATTGGAGTTTTACGGCACGTCGCGAGCGCACCCCGCCCTGCCGCGCATTCGCAGCCACGATTCAAACCGCAACATCATCTTCGACATCCACGGCGTGACCTCTATGGATGGATCTGGCACGCAGGTGCTCGAGGAAATCGTGCGGGAGTACCGCGAGAGGGGCGTACGGGTCTTTTTCGCCCGCGCACCGCATCACCGGGATCACCCTGTGTGGCAGCTCATGGACAAGAGCGGCATCGTCGACTTGTGCGGCGAGAGGCACTTTGTCAATGACGTCGATGCTGCACTGCGACTGACCGAATATGAGGACAGCGTGATGACGCAGTGAAGACGAAGGCCATCGCAAGGGTGGTTTGACATGAAGATTTTTCGATGAAGCTACGAGGCTATGCATATCAGCGAATTCTCTGTTTCTTCCCTTTTTTGTTCTGTTTTTCTCTCTCTCTCTCTCTATTCTTTCTTTTTTTATACCTTTGCTTTTACACAGCGGTCATGCATGTATAAACCTAGACCTTGCAGCGTGAGAGGGATTATGTATTTGATACGGTAGCAGCTATTTTTTAGAGATATCCAGGTGTTTTCTTATTGATCTCCCAGTCTAGGTATCTATCGCAGTGGAATATTTCTACTTTTATAGCCTCTCAATTTTTCCTTTCTTGTGTTTGTAATGTTTGATGTGAGGCTGCATGTGTCTATTCTTTACTCCGTACTTCTAACTGAATTGGCAAACTGCCTGTCAGAAGAACATACCCTGTATTGGAAATGGAGTCAAGTGTTGTTCTTCAGATGCTGATACTCTTTGTTTCCTCCTTCCAGATTACTTTACAGGAAAGGCCTCGAGACCTGCTCTAACATCTCTGTAGCTCCTGGGAGATGCATTTATTTTGGGCTGTGTTGACTGCAATAGCAGCTTAATTTTGGACTAGGCTGCTGGAAATATTGCATACTGATATATGGATGCATGAGTAGGCCGTGTGTAAAAGTACAAGAGACTTGTTGTTGACATGGCTGAAGTCGATTTGCTAACAGAGCTTCGTGTTGCACACATCATCATCGAAAGATTGACTACGATCATTCTCTTTCTGAAGTTCGGAAGACAGAAAGAATTCAAGTCATTGCTCGAGATAAGCATAGCCGGGGTTTTTTTTTGACGAGATGCTCAGAGGAGGCTACGATGTCAGCAATCTTGAATAGGTGTTCTCCATGATGTTTGATTCTGCATGGTGATGTTGTGTCAACACCGCTAACCGACGTGAAGAAACAATGGCACAAGAAACTCCAACCCGAAGAGCTTTGAAAATCGATAGAGACACGTAGGGTGCCATTATTTCGTGTTTCCCCCGCATGAGACGCCCGACACACAGAGAACCGCTTTGAGAAGTGTGCCGAAGACTCGTATCATCGATCTATCGGGGACATGGGCAAAAGATCTTTGATCAATATAGCAATCATGGTCATAATTGATCATGACCTCGTTGAGTTGCATCTGATTAACACGCCATTTCAAAGAATTGTCGAATAGGCGACATGAGATGCATCAGGAAGCTGGAGTCAAGGCGGTGACTGCTTTTGCCATGACAATGGATGGGCGTGAGCTACGGGTCCTGTTGGGCCGGGGATTTGGCAAAGTCCGTGGTGCCGCTGCAATGATGCGAGAAAAGTCGAGTTGGAGTCGCCGTGAATGGGGAGGACCTTTTTTTTTTCACAATGAAATCGGACGGAGGATATGTCATAGTATCGGTGGAGGAGAAGTTTTGGTTAGTGGATGTTGTTTGGTTCTTGATTATGGTTTTTCTTTTGGAATGTAGGATTAAGGAGCAGTGGTTTAGTGCTTGTAATCTCTTCTTCGTGTCTTCATCTGTGTTAGTCAATAGACCTGAGGGTCTGAAATAACAACCCGAAAACAGCCCGAAAACAACCCGATAACATTTATTGTCATGGTCGGTGTAGATATAGGTCTTGTGGATAATATTAGGCATTCGAAGATGTAAAGAAACTAATTGAAGGCAGAGATGCTGGAACAAGGTAATATGTTGGAGGGAAATCCATCAACCAAAGGATAACTGCCATAATACTCGTATTGCCACATTAGTTACGAGTACCTAATGTATTAAAGTAAGTTCTTTCTCTACACCAGACAGACACGTACCTGTTGCTGAAGTACTTGATATGAATTAGCACATCTTATTTGTGTTGGTATCCTCTGTGATTGCTGGAGATTATTACCCTTGCAGCAACCATGCAGATAAAAGGAGTCTCCATCAAGAGGGCCCCCTTGAGTGGCAACCCTAAGCTTATTGTTTTCTAGTCCAAGACATTGGGGACATTTGAACAAGAGGATCCGTATCCACACCCCCAGTATACAAGTACGAGTGGTAGTACGTATGTAGTAGGCAGAAGAGCAAGAGTAGCAGCGGTGACGGGGAAGGACGGACTTTGCGGAATACGCAGTTTGAAAACGCGATACGCAGTTCAGAGTAGTCTTACCTTGTCTGAATAAGTTAAGGTTAGTTGGTGTTGCTTTTCTGGTTATTTTGGGATAGCTGAGTGACTAGGATGAAGGGTGTGTCTGCATGAGGCATGTGAGAGCAGAGCCAAGTGTGTGTTTTGACGGGGAGGCTGTTGCCAAGTCGGACTCCAGAGCCAAGTCGGAAGTTTTTTTTTTTTTTTTTTTTTGAAAAACTTCATCAGGCTATTGAACGATGATTCCTGTACAAGTCTATGTAGCTGGATCACTTGGAGATATGAAATCGTCTTGTGATAGGCCCTTTGTGGAAACAAGGAACGTTGTAGATGGTCTGTTGAATGATGTGTGGAATCACGAGGGTTGAAAATCAGGCTCACGGCTCGAACCAGAAGTGAGAACTTGCCATCACATCATTTCCTCAGACCGGGGTAGAAGGGCGTGTTGGACAGATCCCGGAGGATAGCCATGTGTGCTGCGGAGGATTATTCGATTGTGGTAATGAGGTAGTACTAACTAAGCCTCGGCAGGACAGCCGTATGGATTTCGCGGCTGATCCAGAGCAAGCACGAAGCCGACGGTAGGTTGTCTGATGCTGATCCAACGTGTATGCTGCTGCACTACTCGTAATGGTCAGATGGATATTGGGCATGGAGACGGGCATTCCTCTCTGCTAGAAGCGTTTCCACGAAAAAGAAGCATGGATCAAGACCCTACGAGTGCTTGCCTACCACCTTCTTCGGTGGTATCTCTCCCGGCCTAGGATCCACAAGCGATACTACCGGCCACATGCATGCAAGCGCTATCTTACCTACATGCACGCCCGTCAACAAGGATTGCCAAATTGGGGGTCATGCCTGTTCCCCTCCGAGGAGTTCGAGGCATGGATCCCGTCGAAGATGCGAATAAAGTGAGCGCTTTTATTGGTATTGGCAGCCCATCCAAGCAAGCCGACGTACTTGTTCGAACACTCGTACCTCAAGTAAGAGCGGATGTCTCATTGCCGCTAGCTGCAGCGAATTTCATATCCAGGGAATTCCAAATCGAGCTACCCTTCCGGGTGTTGATTACGGATGGCGACAGCGGCCCTGGCTTTTGCGGCAACGCATTGCGACATCTTGTCGTACACACGAGGGGCTGCAGTGAGGCAAAAGATGGAGCCGCGTTTTGTGCCGCTCTTCTCCACGAAATCTTGGGGTAACTGCAATGGAGTTTTGAGAGGCGAAGCGAGTTGAGGTGAACAAGCCTCATTGACCTTGACTCGAGGCGAAAAAAGCCCACAGCTTTCGATAGGAGTTCTGGCTGCGACTTAACAATGAGTTCTGTGCCGCTGCGAAGTGGCACCTAAACGGAGCATCGGCATTAAGCGGGGAGAATGAAGGTCACCAATGCCATCGCTCCATCAGCTAGCGGCTTGCGGTAGTCGGCCGGGCTTTGCCAAGACTGATACGATGGGCCGCGGATTTGGGTGTAGAGAGGTAGAGGAATGTACTCTTCATCATCTCCGGCCGTGACCTGTCCTGCTCTTTCGGATCCGGAACCTGCTTCCCTGTACACGTAGAGGCTGTCGGCGGTGGCGAGTTGAGGCGGTGCTAGGGCATCGAACAGTTTTGGAATGTCTTCCCACGGTGGCGGAGGATGGATGAGACCGCATGGCAAGCTAAAAAGTTACGTGTATGGCTTTCCCGCCCGCGTACGAGTATTCGGGAGTCAGAAGTCTGTCTTCAACGTTGATTGTTGCGGGAAAAAGTTGCCACTGCAGAGATTTGTTTCGAGTCTCAGACAGCACATCAGTTGCATCCCAGGGTGCTGCGCGGTTTTGTTTGCCTTCACCCGAGAGCGCCTGCTCCCGCCGTTACGGAACCTCTGCTCTTGTTAGGTGGTACTCAGATATACGAGATGTACGGAGTCGGTACGATCCGTACGACCCCGTTGTTTGTCCATGAGGCTGATCATGAGTGGCTGCGCTAAACAGGGAGCGGCCACCCCTGACCTAGGCCCATACCGGTCAGCAACCAAACGGCCCCGGTCGCCGTCCTCGTTCGCAGCCAGGCGTGGTCGATACGACGGCCAAGTGAAGAGTCTCATTGGCGAGCTGCCATGTTTTGTAGCGAACTACAATAATATCCGGGGAAGTTGTGGGACTTTATGACAGGGGAGGCGTGTGGCTAATCGGCTAAGGCGGGAATTTTTTCTCCTGCTATTTGTCCGTAGGTTCTCTTTTCTCAAAGCCACAGAAAAAAAGTACCGTAGAGAACGAAGGTAGCGTATGTGGTGTCGGCTGGTCGCGCTGCTGGTGGTCGGGGTCGCAGATTGTATGTATGAATGGACAATTTCTTCTGCCGTATCTGATTAGGTGGCCAGGATTCGAGATGGGTGTCACCTCTTCACTCAAAGGGAATGGTTGTAGTGGTCGATTTTCTCTCTCTTGACGTTTCACCCGATCACGGCAGATGGCAGTTGAAGGCATTGATAAGTCTCTTGGCAACGCCATCATCGCAGATTCCCGAGCATGAAGACACAAGCAAGTTCATGGGGCCCATTTGCCCCCGCCGCTGTCTACCAATGGCAACCCTGTGTTCCTGGATTTGGTATCAGCGCCGGTGCCTTTGCCTCCAGTCTAATTCTGCTAGTTGCTCATGCGTCCTACGGTTAGCAGAGAGGACTACCGCTAGTATGCTCAAGTCGGGGACCGAAAACAGCGCTCTAGCAATGCACCCTCGCGGAGGATTTTACGAGTGGCGGCAGCACCTCTTAACGGAATTGGACATGTATGACCGGAGCCAAGACGGGAAGGGCGCCAAGCCGGCTCATGGACGATCGAGAGGCGCGATACGGTGCTTGCAGGAACTTCTGTTTCTATATTGGATGGGGTGCTTGCGCGGCAATATCGGTCAAGGTGGTGGTGACATCACTGGCTGCCTCTGAACGGGTTTGAATCTGGTCGCTTGGCCACGGCTTTGTGATAGAGTTTTGTTGTTTGCAACCATATCACCAATAGTCGGGTTGATGGTTTTCGTCCACCACCGAGTGTGGTTGTCGAGTTAATCCATCTCCATACTGCACCTGAGTTTGAATCTGTCACTGGAGGGTTCGCCACCAGAAATCGTACGGGCCCGGGGAGATAAGTTTGTATGGAGAAGCGTCGGCCTTTTTGCCACGAGAACGGAGAATGGATACAGTAGCCGCTGGACAGGGTCCCTTTGCAATTGACTCGTTTCCGGAGAGATAGGACCCGGGGGTGTTGCTTGAGACAAGGGAGCCGCCATCATGGGACGAAGAATACGCCGCTGTCAGTCTTGTTGCATTATGTAGCTGCACATGCACACTTTGGCGAGGCACAAGGTTGGGCCTATGCATCTTTCACAGCCCAGCTCCTCGGTATGCTGCGCTTAGAACTGGTGTCTCGCGCGCCTATTTGCATGTGGTAGCACTTGATTCACATGGGCTGCCCTCGTCTTTTACACCTAGACATGCACATTGTTAGTCTACAGCACTTGTACAGCATCAAGGCATCGTTCACCTCGTCCTCGTCTCGCGTGTCAAATCTGGCGGTGCCAAGCTGTCAAGAAGGCGGTTCTCCACCAAACGCTCCGGTGCGAGTCAGGCTATTTGTCCGGCTCCTCCACTCTTGAGCCTGACGCAAGATGAACTGAGATGGTGATGGTAGTACTCGTACCGTAATAGTAAATAAAGAGCAGCATTGAGTTCCCATCTCTCCACAGAGAGGCCGGGAATAGCAGCGCCCGTCATCACGTGATGAGTATCGTGCCGCATGCAGCCAATCAGGTGGCCCTTGATCTTGGACCTTCTCTAATCTACACTCCCCCCTCTCTTCTCTCTTGCATGTACAGTACATACAATATTGTGTGGTGTGTCGTGATGAAATGCGCGGTAATCTGCGTGCCTGGTTTCTTCAAGGTAAGTATCGGCTACTGTCGCTATTTCATCTGCGGAATGTACAGCATTAACTGTTAACGGTATTAATGCTACCTACTATAGTATCATCATCGCTAATACTCTCTGTGGCATGTGCCCTGCACATCAATATGGACTGCATCACAAGCCAAGAAGCCGGGGTGGCTTTATTCAGCGAACCCTCTCCAACTTTAAGCCCAAACCGTCTTGAAGCAATGGCTCGCCCCAGCTGGTGCCACCAACCATCTCAAAGCAGAAACACACACACCCTGCGCCTTGAAGCCCGTTGCAGATAATGAGCCCGGTTACCCGCCCCAAGTCCACCGTACAGAGTTGTTCGGACGCCTCTGCTGTGTTATCAGGCCCGACAAGTGCAAAAGAACCCGACTTATCCGTCCCAAAGCCTTCACAAATGCCCTGGACTAAGCCTGCGACGCCGCGCTATTTGGGCTTCTGGGATCGGCACGGGTTTCCAGAACAAACACTCCACACACGCCAGCCGGACTGGGATGGTGTCCATTACAGTGCTGGAGGGTGAAGAACTTTTGGTTTTTGCCTCCACGCACTCACTCATGCCTTGCCGTACCGGTCCCGTTCGCTGGTGATAGCCTCTCTCCCCTATCGGCAGGGCCCTTTTGTTGGTCGCGGGGGCGGAGCCTCTAGCTGGTGCCGCTGGGAGGCAATCACCGGATTGCCTCCTCTGTCGCGTGGTATCGCGAGATAGCAAAGACTTCCCCGGAATAAGCGGCCCGACTAACTTGATTCTCCGAATGGCTGAAGGATGGACAGAAGTTCTCAAACCACTGAGCTGAACTAGCATTATCTTTTGATTTCAGCCAGGGCATTGCAAATCGTCGTATTTGGCTCGTGGAGGTGGAGAAACCCCAAACCTTGCTCCGATAGAGACGCACTCGTCGTACGAAGTAGGAGGGTTGCATCGAGACACCAGGACCCCAGTCTTGTTGATAAAGACCTGTGTTCCTCCCACGTGTAACCATCCATTTTCTTTATTCCTCTCAACTCATCTCCTCGGGTCTTTACCTTTTATACCCTTCCCTCCTCCCACCGCACCTCAACTTGCGTTGTCGTTGTGTGTGTTGTCTGGCCTCTTCCTCCTTTCTCTATTGCCAGAACTAGGACACAAGTCCTTAACATCCGCCATGGCCGCCATCATGCCCACTGCGGGCCTCCAGCCCATTGGCATTGACAACGACATTATCAACAGCGCTGTTGACAAGGAGGCTGAGGAGCTCGAGAAGCCGCCCCAGATTCGCGAACGAGTCTGGGGCTTCGCCGCCCGTATCGACCCCACCGTCACCTTTGAGGAGTACCAATACTGGGCCAAGATTGAGCGAGAGGAAGAAAACCAAGCCAACCTCGAGTTCAAGGCTGAGCACGGCCCCAGAACCGTCAAGAGCGTCCTCCTGGGCCGTTTCTCAAAGGGTATCCACCACGAGAACAAGAAGAAGGCCGAGGCTGCTGCTGCTGCTGAGAACAGCGGCACTGCCTCCCCCGATGAGAAGAATGGCGTTACTACTCGCAATGCCAACCTCCCCACCGAGGCCGAGTGGAAGCAGGCTTCTCGTGCCATGAGAACTGCCAGTTGGGGTACCATGTTCTATCTCATCACCACCGATATTCTGGGTTGGTCGTCTACCCCTTTCGTCTTTGCCAGTGTCGGATTCGGCCCTGGTGTCGCCCTGTACATCGTCTTTGGTGCTGCCGCCGCTTTCTCCGGTTACATTCTGTGGAAGGTCTTCCTTGGTCTCGACTCGTCTCGCTTCCCCATGGTCTCCTTTGGTGACACCTACTTCCGCGTTTACGGACCATTTGCTCGCCACTTCATCAACGTTGCTCAAGCCATCCAGCAGTTCATGACAGTCGCCGTGTTGATTCTGGGAAGCGGCACCACCATTGCCCAGTTGTCTAGCGAGAAGATTTGCTACGTCGCCTGCCTCATCATCTTCATGGTGGTCGGCATGATTTTCGGTAGCATCCGATCTCTGCAGCGCATCGGTTGGCTCGCCAACTTGTCCGTCTGGATCAACATCGTCTCCTTCATCATCATCATGGTTGCGTGCGCCAACTACCCCATCGACTACTCTGCCGTTACCAACTCCACCCTCATCAAGTCTATTGAGCCCATCAAGCTGTTCGCCGGCCCCCCTCCTGACCAGTACCAGCAGCAAGCCACCGGCTTCGCTGGTCAGTTCAACGGTATCAACCAGATGGTGTACAGCTACGGCGGTGCTCTTCTGTTCATTGCTTTCCTCGCTGAGATGCGTCACCCTTGGGATTTCTGGAAGGGCATGCTCTGCGCCCAGACCTTTATCTGCGTCGTCTACATCTTCTTTGGTGCCTTTGTCTATGGCCACTACGGACAGTACTCTGCTTCCAACATCAACACCGTCATTCAACCTTTTAGACTCCAGACGGCCAACAACGTCTTGGGTTTGATCACGGGAGCTATTGCTTGTCGTAAGTATTATCCTTGCGTAACCAACCTTTTGAATAAATATCTAACTTGTTTCTCTCAGTCATGTACATGAATGTCGGCATGAAGACTGTCTACGTCGAAGTCTTCCAGGAGATTCTCAATCTCCCCCCGATCACCACCCGCAAGGGCCGTTGGTTGTGGTACGCCCTGGGACCCCTTTACTGGGCCCTTGCTTTCGTCGTCGGTGCCGCCGTCCCCAACCTGAACGGTATCTCCGGCATTGTCGGCGCTCTTCTCATCCTCAACTTCACCTACACCTTCCCCGCCTTCCTGTACATCGGATATCGCATCAAGGTCGACGCTGCCCTGCCTGGTGAGGGCTTCGACCCCGTCAGTGGTGTGACCACTCGCCACGACTCTGGTCTCAAGCGCTGGACCCGTGGATTCATGGTCAACTGGCACATCAACAGCATGAACATCGTCTACTTCCTGGGTGGTCTTGTCTGCTCCGGTATGGGTTCCTGGGCCGCCATTAAGGGTCTCATCGAGGTCTTTGGACCCGGAGGCACCGTCGCCACATCATTTGGATGTGCGGCACCCGTGTAAATACTTTTTTAATCTTTTGCTCGTAAATAACTCTTGAGCCTATATACCACTACATTTTCTATTCTTGAATAAAAATCAAATCAAATTAATCAACGAAATCTCCTCCAGCTGTGCTGTGTACTGTGTGACGTATAACCACAACCAAAGAAATGTGGACATTCCCATGACTCTGGTTGGCCTATCATCACAACATTGACAGTTTGATAGTTTATTTATCCCAGCAACGTGTTTCGCCTATTTGTCTGTTTTTGTAACTTGCAGCTGGGAATCTTGCAGGATCGTGGGTGGGCAGTTGGCAAGGTTCGCACTCGGTTTAGAGTCGGTTTGCAGATACGAAAAATACGAAAGGAGTTTATTCCCACGTTGTTTGGGCTGCTTTGTAAGGGGTAAGCGCTTGCGTGCTCTGAGACAAGGGTGTCCCGCCTGACATATAATGGTTCTTTGGTGGGGGGTTGAGAGCTTTTTGATTGATTGCAGGGTTGCAGTTACATGCAAGGAATTGGAACATGGGGGTTTTTTTTTTTGTTTGTTGGATGGTTTCTTGCTTGTTGAGGTTATGGATGGCTGTGAGTTGTGTGTTTTTAGTAATTACGAAATGGGATTGATGTAAGTGAGTGCCGAGTGGGCACTGCAAGGCTGTTGGTTGCATTCATTTCCCTACCTACTACGCGGACTAAAAACATCAAGTATTACCATTCAAAGAAAAGAGAATAAACTCCTGAAAAGAAAGACAATCAACCAAAAATCACCTCAACTCCGTTAAACACCCAATTTTGCCGAACCGACTCCCGCGTCCCGTGATTCGCCTGACTACCTATGCTCTTCCTCCTGCTACCGGAATCCCATGGCGTTGGTGCTAAACATTTGGTTCCAGTCGTAGACGCCCGTGTCGACAATGGTGCACCAGTCCTGGCTAAGGTCCATCTGAAAGTCAAAGTCGCTGAATGTGGTGTTGAGGAACTCGTTGGAGCTGAACTCGATGGTGTTTGCCTGCTGGGGCATGTAGTACGGATCTCCGGGGACGGTTTTGGATGGCAGCGAGGATAGTGATACGGTCGATAGTTCGCTGGAGTCTAGTAGGGAGGGTGCGGCTTGGATGCTGCTGTTGTTGATGAGGCTGGTGTCTGGTTTGTTGTTGTTGTTGTTGTTGTTGTTGTTGTTGTTGTTGTTGTTGTTGTTGGCTTGAGTGATGCGCAGACGCCCAAAGTACGGCACCACGAGCACAAAGTCTTCTTGGACGTTGTAGTTGCCGCAGCTGGCGGCGACGAGGGTCTCGAGCACCTCTGCGCTCTGTCTGGCGACGGTGCATTCCAGCAGGGCGTTTGTCTTTCGCAGCTCGCCGATGAGCCGGCTGATGAGTTGCCAGTCCTCCGAGTAGCCCGTGAGCGCCGCGGGCGATGAGTCTCCGGGCCCGGACAGGATGCCGAGGATGAGGGCGATGGTGGAGCTGAAGATGATGAAGTCCATGATCTCGCATTGGACGACTTCGGTCTTGGGCGAGCCGCGCATGCGCAGGTAGGTCCTGAGGAGGCCGCGGCAGGCGTCCATGGCGGACAGGCGGCTGTGCTCGTAGCGGCGGTCCGACTTGGCCTTGAGCATGTAAGGCAGGTGGATGTGCTTGAGGGTCGAGTAGAAGAAGATCTTGGCGCCCTCCTCGGAGTAGACGGAGTCGGTCGTGGCTCCGGCGGCGACAAGAGCGGCCCCATCGGGTGGGAGGCTGTTCTTGAGTTCTTCCATGTCTTGGTCCAGCTGCACGGTGGCCGCGTACGAGGCCTTTGCTGGGTTCTGGTTGCGCTCGACGATGCGGCCCATGATGATGCAGAGACGACGGTGGATTGACATGTTGTTGTCCAGCACTTGCGTGGGATCCTCCTTGGTGCCTCGGTCGGTGACGGCCGAAGGGAAGCCCAGCATGATGCACAGCTGTCGCTCCACCATCCACGTGTTCGCCCACAGCGTCTTGCGCTGGAAGTTTGCGCTGGGCTCGAGTCTGTCGAGGCCGACGAGGGTGGCGGCGCTGATGGCCTGGCGGATGGCAACCCAGGCGCGCTGAGGGCGGCCCATGTTGACGAGGACCTTGTGCAGCATCACGTAGCACTGCACGACGAGGACGCTCTCCTCGCCCTCGACGGCCAGCAGCACGGCGACGAAGCGGATGTAGGCGTCGATGAGGACCTGGCGCGAGATGCTGGGGGAGACGATGACGTGCTCCCAGTTGCGCGGCAGCTGCTGGATGCACAGGGTGAGGAAGAGCATGGCCGAGCAGAAGTCGACGCCGCGGCCAAAGTTGAGCACCTGGTGGAAGTAGGCCTCGGCGTCGTCGATGCTGGTGTTTTGCATGGTGACGGACTGGTCCGGCGCGAAGAAGAAGGGCGGCCAGATGGCCCAGAACTTGTGCGACTCCTCGAGGATCAGGCGCAGCGTGTCCGGGCCGGGGATGGGCGGCCTGAAGGAGCTGAGGGACTCCTTCATCAGGTACACCATGGACGGGTCCTCGGGGTCGTCGTACAGCTCGCCGTCGCCGTCGCGGATCAGGAGGGCGTCCCGGAAGAGGTGGATCAGGGGCGCGTCCACGGCGGAGACGGACTTGTCGACGAGGTCGGGCGGGCTGCTGCCGAGATCCTGATCGATGGATCCCGGCGAGAACAAGGACGACGACGGAGGGCCGGAGGGGAGCAGCGGCGGGCCGGGGTTGCCGAGGGCGGTGCCGAAGCCGTAGGGCTGGCCGTTGGGGGAGGCCCCGGCTTGCAAGAGGCCGTGGCTGCGGAGGTTCTTGATGACCTGGACGGCGCGGGCGTTGATGTCGGCGGACGCCGAAGTCGAGGCCGCCGAGGTCGAGGCAGCTCCCGAGGCGGGCGAGTCGCCGGAGGGCTCGAGGGCGTCGCAGATGCTGCCGACGAGGCCCTCGAGCTCAACCACGCGCCGGCGCAGGGCCGCGTTGTCCTCGGCCAGCCGAGCATGTGATTGCGACTGCGGCATCGTCTGCAGGCTCGTCTCCCGGTCTCGCGGCCGCGGCTGCTGGGCCCGACACGGCGTCTGATGGAGCTCGCATCCGTGGCAGACGGAGCTGTTGGTCGGGAAGACGCACCGGACCTTCCGGCGACGGCATTCGGCGCACGACTTGGTCCCCAGCCGCATCCGCCTGGCGGGCCGGTCGTCCATTGTGCGTGTTTCTGGGTTCTGGGGGGGAGTTTGTGCAGGGCCGAACAAAACGCTGCGTATTCTTCTTCGTCCGGTCTTTCGTCCACCGCTTTGATTATTATTGGGGTTGTAGGGAGGGCAACTATTGGCGTTCGTTTAGCCGGGAAGCAATCGACGCAATCCAACTCCATAAGCTCGGCTGGGATTTTGGCGTCGTTTCTTAGTAATACACTGGAAGCTGCGGGAATGATCTGATGTGATTGGCTGATGCTTGTCTTCCTTTGTCCATCATGGGGCGGACCAGTTCGGACGAAGACGCATGAGCTGGAATCCTTTGGTTTTTGAGGTTTTGCCTTTTCCATCTACGTGGTGTTTCGAACGGGTAACAGGTCATGGAGATTTCGCTCTGATTCGGCTTCCTATCGGGCTATGGATTGTAAATCCTTACCGTGGAACTGACTCAGCCAGGATATGACTATAGCTGTAGAGTGGGAGTAACCGAGCGAAGCGAGACAAGATCCTGAAGGAAGCATTACAAAGCTCATTACCGAGTAGTTTACCAATTTGACATCCTTGGTAATGAATTGGAGTAGCCGATTCCATGAGGAATCATGGTTTTTTGTGTTATAAAATGTGGTGTAGTTGCCGGTTGAGAGAAGCAGCATTCTCTAGACAGAGTCCTTCAATAGAATCAGCATTCAAAAGAGCACCCTCTAGCCTTTGTGCTTCATCATTCAACTCAGAATAACTTATAACCCCCCCTTCTATAATCGAAAACAGCCAACAATATTGACAAGATGGCTACTACTCTCGCTGCTGGGCTCCAAGAGACTGCACAAGCTGTTGGGGCGCGAATGCCCGAAGCCGTCAAGGCCGTTGTCTTTGAGGCCAAAACCAACGTCGAGAAGGAGTTTGACGTCAAATCCACGATCCAGCCTGGTGAAAAGCTGCCCGACTTCATCCTCTCCGATGCCCGCGGCAAGCCAGTCAGCAGCATCGACCTCCTAACCAAGGGCCCTCTCCTGATCCTCTTCTACCGCGGCGGCTGGTGTCCCTTTTGCAACCTCACCCTGAGGGCCTACCAGCAGCGCCTCAAGGATTTCGAGGCCCGCGGTGTGACGTTTGTTGCGATTACGCCGGAGCAGCCTGACGCCTCGCTCACCACTGCGGAAAAGAACGAGCTTGCGTTTCCGGTTCTGACGGACGATGGACTGGAGCTTGCGCGGAAGCTACACATTGTCTGGAAACAGTCGGATGATCTGGTTGAAACTTTGAACAATATTGGTGCGGAATTGGAGAAGCGTCATGGCAACGACTCGCATGACATGGTGGTTCCGACGACGATTCTGGTTGATGAGAAGGGCGTGGTGAGGAACATTTTCGCGGAGGCGGATTGGATGCAGAGACTTGAGCCGCAAGAGGCTGTCAACTGGGTGAATGCGCTGTAAATAGAACGACAGAACAGCGAAATAGTATAAACTTTAATCTTTTATTTGCCGATTGAGTGAGTGAGCGGGTTAGTAAGATAGGTAGTGAGTGAGTGAGTCTGTCAACATGTGATTGTGAGCAAGTGAGTGAGTGAGTGGATTCACAACTTCTTTTGCGTCACCGTAACGGTCGCAACGGGCGCCTTTCCGCCAGCTCTATTGGCAGAAGCCAAACCGTATCTCGCCGGAATGGAGAATTATTGCTTTTGCCGTGCATCATTGTGCAGCATCCGATACGAAGCTTGGCGCGGCGACGTGGGAATCCCGCCAAAAGCACTAACACCAACAACACCAACTCTCACCATCGTGATGCGCCATTTCCACGCATCCAACCCCCCTCATCCTTTGTACCGCCTGTTAGCGGCGATACGCTGACCCTTTGTATGCATGCCAAGCGGCTTAGATTAACCACCGTTGCATTATTGGACAATTGCCTGCTGCTGACCCCTGACTATGGGCCGCGGATTGGTTGGGCGGCCATGTCATCTTTTTATTTTTCATCCTTCCCGCGTCCACGGATCGGGCGATCCGGCGGCAAAGTTGGCGTAGCTTTGGATAGCGTTCAGCTGCGCCCTGAAGAGCTGAGAGACGTGTTTACGTTGTGCTTTCTCAGCTCAAGCCTGCTTTCTTCTTCTTCTTTTCTTTTCTTTTCTTTTCTTATCCCCCTTCTTTCGTCCTACATTGTTCCTCCTTTTCTGTCTCGTTTGCGGTTCATTCATTCTTCTCTCGCTGTCTGTCTGCGTGTCAATTCATGCTGCGTCCGCTGTCTTGCTCTTGGATCGCGTGTTTTTCTCAATTAGAGGGATAGACAAAGTTCGCTTTTGTTCAGCCTTGATGTCCAGAATTGCGCGAGAATGATATTTCCTTGATCGCTTCGCTCCAATTACCCACAAAGAAGAAGATAGAGCTGGTTGACCATCTCTCCTGACTCGCATTCAACACCGCTTCATCGCGAATCTCAAAGTTCCAGGCGATCCGACCCCACGTCAGCACCAATCTCAATCTCACAAATCCCTGCTCTTTTGCCGATAAGAGAAGAAACGAAATCGTCATGGTCAACCTTGCTCTTGGTCCCATTCTGCTGCTCGCAGGCCTCGCCAGCGCCCAATCCTCCGATAAGCGAGGCCTCGTCTTCACGCCCAATCCCGATTATCCCACCGACAACCAGATCTGGGTGCAGAGTGGCAGTGATTTAACATGGTACTACAATTACCAGTCGCAGCCATCGCCGGAATACACCTCAATTCCACAAGACCAGTTTGAGTTTGTGCCCATGATGTGGGGAGTTTCGGCCAACCTCAGTGACACGACATTCCTTACCCAAGTTCAGGCTCTCATCGACCAGGGCACAAACATTACGCATGTGCTGGGCTTCAATGAGCCAGACGGCTCGAACAGCAACGGCGGGAGCGACATTCAGCCCAAGGACGCCGCTCAGGCCTGGGTGGCTAATTTCGAGCCTCTGGGCAAGATGGGCATCAAGCTGGGGCTGCCGGCGACTACTGGCGGGCCTGACGGCTTGCCATGGCTGAAGCAGTTCCTGGCGAACTGCTCTGAGATTGTAAGCACTGGGAACCAGAAGAAGAATTGCACGTGGGATTTTTTGCCTGTGCATTGGTATGACAACTTTGCGGGAATAGCTTCGCTTATCGGAGAGAGGAGGGCCACGTGAGTCTTTGTTCCCTATTTCGATGCAGATGCAAATGCTGATGTTTGTCATGATTAGATGGCCTGATGCCGACATTTGGGTGACGGAATACGCATTTGCGAACCAAGATCTGCAGACAACGCAAGAGTTCTTCAACCAGACTCTCGATTACTTTGGCAAGCTGGATTATATCGCCCGGTACACTTACTTTGGTGCTTTCCGCTCCAAGGCGTCCAACGTTGGACCCAATGCGTCGTTTTTGAACAATGGGGGCCGGCTGACTGACATTGGGTCTTGGTATCTTGGCTTTGGCGCGACCAACATTAAGCCTACGAGTACCAATGCGGCGTCCTCGACAGGCATCGTGTCTGATTGGACTATTGCTGTGATGGGATTGATGGTGGTGTACATGAATGGATTGGTGTAGACGGTTTCGCTTTTGAAAGGGCAAGACATGATTGTGATGACAGGGAAACGAAAATGGTATGGTATCTTGCGGAGTTATTGCGGGCATTTAATGGTAATTTTATGGCACTGTTGAATTGGATCTAGAAAGGAAGCATAAGCGCATATTATATATGAAGTTGGACTGTGTTTTCTACTTAGACATGAGCAAATTGTTATTGTATTGAACCTTCAGACACTGGTAAAGGCAGCTGACATTGGCTTGAGAAAAGAAGTAGGGCAATGGGTTCACATTGACGTTAAAGAGCCAAAAGAACTATAATTGCCTGACAAGATGCTAGTTGTAAGCTAAATGTACCTAGGTATGTTTAAGTGGTGGCACGCTCGTGGTAAATGTCAAACGAGATGTGGTCGATGTTCAAGGCCGAGTTTTTGATCTTAGTGACCACAAATATTGCCGACAATACGGTAGAAGTTTGCTGATATGGAATAACTAACTAAAGAAAAGAGCATGCTAGTTCATCACCTTTTTGAAGGTGTTGTTAGCATCGGAAGAATTGGGCAAAGGCCGGAAACAATGTTGCATGGCGAGAGTAAATGAAGTTAAGAAACTTGATGAACATGGTCTACTTCGAGGTACATATATAGCCTGGTAGGCTGCAGAATCAGTGACTGGCTGTATCAAATGCTTCCATGCTGTGATAACTCATTACGCTTTAGTGAGTTACCATGCCGTCAAGGTCATCGTTATCTGAAACACGCTGTCGAATTGCAATCTTAATATTGTATCTTGATTGACATTTTGAACATCGCACAGTATTGAAGATTTACTGTGCCCCAAACACAATATGTTCCAATACTGTTTGACTAGCTTGGCTACAATGCCTCTGATATGTCAGATACGGACATGGTAACCAGGCCACAGGGAGCCTCCACGATGGAATCTTTGACTCCCAGCAGCATTAAACAGGCCAAATAATGGAAACATCGTGACAAAAGTCGTTTGTAATATAATTCTCATTTTTCAAGCAGTCATAGTTTTGATGAAGACGGCTTTTGCTCATTTGAATCACTAAACACCAATTGCCTGCGTTGAACCGATTCTTAAATGATGGATATGCAATTAATAAGCAGTACATTTAAGAGCCAAGTAAAGAAACACGGCGAAAGTAAGAGAAGATGGGCGGTTTCCCCCTTCGCTCTTCCCAAGCGCATGCTGGCACGTAGATTTCCCCCAGTTGCACAGCTCCTTCCACTCACAACCACTACAAACTCGTTTCCGAGACATCACAGAAGAAGGAATTTCCAAACAATCAACATCGTTACGCCAACCAACTGCTTCACAATGCATTAGTACTGGTACAAGAAGCAAGCGGGCTATCTCCATTATGCCGAGGGAGACAGGGGGCGACGGTTTGATTGGAAAATGCCCCCTTTGCAGATGAACAAGGTTTGTTCCAGAGCCGACTCCCCCTTGATCTGCCGCGAACATGTTAATCTAAGCTTCACTTCTAGCAGGGCCAAGTCATCATCGTGCCGGGAGAGGTTTATTGTCGCTGGCGAGGCAAAGACGGCAAACGTGGCCGTCTCTGCGAGAGTGTTTGGCACCACTTGTGCACCGTGGAAGAACAAACTACTAATTTAACCCCAGAATAATCGTTTCAGCACGTACGGATCGCTTCGTAGGCATTACCGGCATGTTCACGAAGCAGAACCGGAACCTGACACAAAAATTGGCTTCACTTATCCCTACCACCTGGAACTTACTGGTAAGGACGGCGTGAGTCTTGAAGTTTTGGCCATGGCTGAATTATTTCCTAGAGTGGTATGAATCACTTGCGCGCGGCATTCAGCCCTTTTGGGTACCCCAAAAACCTCCTAGGACCGCTCCTCTTCCGACCGTAAGCGATTTGAAGTTGATTTTCGGGGTGTTTGCATTGCAAATGCTAATTCTTGATAGAGCAAATCAGACGATAGTCCCGCAACTATTTCCGGTCAATTGCCAACTCCCGAACAGGAATCGCCATAAACAAAGTTGCGGAATTTATACGGATGCATAAAGGATGGGAGTATCTCATACAACCAAAAGACTGTACAATATGCACATCCTCTGAAGCCCTAGTCATGCACAGGTTACCGGCAATCGCCCGTTTCCTCTTCATCTCACATGTGGGGTATTCAAGCAATAGCTCTCTCGATTCCACTTGCGTTCCATACCTATATTAGATATGCCATAGCGAACGATGGTTTTGCTATACAAAGCGAGCGTGTAAAGAGGCCAAATAGTTTGGCGTATTTGGCTGTGTTGGCATCAACTCCTTTCCGCCTCGGAGGGCTGTGGATGAGCGGGCTGGCGAAGCGGTTTCTGGAAGACTGACAAGATAGGTGATAGTACATCGAGAAGAAAGAAGGGATGGGTTGTGGCCTTGAATAAGTATTTATTGTCTACGTGAACTTTTGGTAAACGACCTTTTATCTAGCCGCAGTGATTGTATGACCAGTGACATATATCTTGGACGGCCACGAGCTATTAGCATTCGCACGAAGACCATAAATATCTTGTACAGATATAACTTATAGTCCAGTGCATCAAGATCACTCAAATTAGCCTAATAGTCTGATGAATCGCCGATATTTCCTTACTTTCCGGGCCTGGAATAACAAACCCCAAACCAACTCGCCGAAAACCACCACCTCCATCATCATTCGGTATCAGCAGCAAAACCGCATATAGCATCTAGGCTGCTCATTAGCTACTTCCTGATTGGCGTCTAAAAAATAACATAGTTTGCTCTTACCACATTTTTTTCAGTCTCCATCTCAATCCAACTATAGGAATGCACAACCGAAATCAGGTTAATTTTCTGTCATCAACGAATATTAGCATCAAGACTTACAGTGTATAGTCTCTCCACCCTTTGAGAAAAAGAATATGCACTTTTGCATAATGCTCTCTATCAAAGACAGCTACGCCGATAGTTCGAGTCTGTCTGAATGTGATTTGGATCCAGTGCAGCGAACCTGAACCTTTCCTATATGACCACATCGAAGATAGTAGATCATGAAACATCTGCTCGCTGGTCCGGGTTGGTTTCCTAGGCTTGGCCACGGAAGTTCTAACCTGTGCCACATAGCCATCGACCCTCAAGACGCCGAAAGATTCGATAATCGCTCGCGTGCGGCATATTGGCTGCCAATCGTTGTCGTGAACTACCCAAAAAGATTTTGCCCCCCCTTTGGATGCCCAGGACCAATGAGGCACATCCGTCAAGTCTTCCGAAGCCTTTGCCCTATTCTCCATTGTCCAGACAAGCTGTTCTAAAATTCTTGATTCGAAGACACCGAGGCTGTACTTGTCGTTGGTCTTCTCAAGATGCGCCTGAGCTAGTCCTTTCAAGGCCTCTAGGCGGTCTTTCTTGTAGGTGAGCTTACGGCGGGAGTATTGCTCCAGTATAGTCTCCCACGAATGACTGTACTGCCCCATATCATATGGATATCTTTCACTAGACTCTAACATCTTGCATTTCCATGATATGCCATCTGGCATGTAGTGCAGAACCCTCCGTGCAAGATACCACTCCTGGAGCACCCATCCTCTTTGACACAGTGGCCCGAACTCTGGTGATTCATCCCCATGAATACGCATCGAGAGCTTCAAAGAGCCAGCCGTCTGCCCTTCTGCTAAATAATACGGAACTTCTACAGTAGTTGGGCATCTGCGTTTGGTCGAAAAGCAGCCTTCTTTTGGATTCGCGGCTCCAGAAGCAGCTATCACCAGATATGCGTTGTGATAAATTCCTGCCATTTTGGCAGACTCTTCCGTCCAATCATCCTTGTCTCCTTGTATGATGCAAAGGCTGTCAATCCAGAGATAGCGAATACCAAGCTGACGTGTCATAATGATGGCATCCTGAAAAGTCTTTGGCAGACTGTTGAATGGAATGCCATTCAGATGATCGTTGATGTTATCCCTTGTTGTGACCAGAGTTTGCGTACCTTCTGGACCCCAACAATAGCTGAGGGCGCAGAATTTCCCTCGCTGGCCGTTGGTTTCCAAGAGAGAAACAGACTCCTGATTTAGGGGTCCAATGTCCAATATTCGGGTAGGTAGTTGTGGGCCCGCAGCTTCGTTTGGAGAGGACTTGGAGAGAGTGCCTTCACAATCACCATGTTGTTGAGAACATGTCTGCATCCAAGATCTGATGAAATCGAACGCCTCCGGGCAGTTGTCGCTTGGTAAAGGCGGCTCGGTGCAAAAGTTGCCAGACAGGGCAGCAGGAGAGCCTAAACGAAGCTTTAATACTGGTCTAGACATTTATCATTCGAATAAGGAAGCATATGCCTGTGTGGTACATACCGTCATCGCTCCATGCCGCCATTTCGATGCAAGGTCGGTCTAAACCCCAAAACATCACACAGGTACATGGAGTACCGGATGTAATCTTATGGAATCTCTTGTATCCGAGGCTTATGAACTTGTATGATATTAGTTTCTGGGGACCGTCGAAGATGTAATCATATATCATTTTACACAGGCGGCAGTTCCGTGATTCCGCCCGCAGCCTGTCGACATTCAAGAAAGAATCCAGCCCAGGCCATACTTTAAGTCTCTGAGAAACAGCCTGGGCGAACCCGTGACAGTCACGACACAGATCCATATGGATGTAAATCGGATTTACTTCCAGTCAATCTTGATCATGGCAGTAAGAGTGAAGCAAGCTTCGCATGGGCTGCTCAAGGTTAAATGGCAGGATGTTATAACCTAGTAAGGCATATTCCATATCCCAAGGCATAATATCGTTAGGTACCGTTTCTGCCTGATTTACCGCTGAACAGCATCTTGGAGTGTGGCGATGCTTAATTGCTTATTGGTAGACGGGCAGGCATATTCAGTAGAGCCAATCCAACAATAACGGCACAAGGCTCGCCTTATAAGCGGGTTTCTCGCACTGTACCGATCGCTGCCTCGCCATCCTGCCCAGTTGTAGAAAAAGCAAGCGGGCGGGCGATGTACACCATATCATTATAATTATCTAGTAAATAGGTGATCTCCAGTAGAGCTTAGAACAATTTTGCCTTGCAACTGTCGCTAGAAGCAAGTCAAGGGGTCTTCAAGCTCATCAGTCTAGACGATATGGCTACAGTGTATAAATCACCAAGTGTGCATCGAAAGGCATACTACAAGGCGCATACATGGTCAAATTGGGGCAGATATTGAGACATCGCAGCAATGATGATGCCAATACCCAAACCAACAAAAAAGAACGACAAGTGTTGCCTGTGTACTCAGCGCGAAAGGTGTGGTCGCTCACTAAGATACTCGAATTCGAAAAAGATGATGCGGCCCAGATAATTACATGTATGTGAGATCCAAGGTTTACTGACTAATCTATCATCGAACGTTTACAGTCTTGGAGGGAAACCCATCCAATGACAGCTATGATTAGATCTAGGTGAGTCTACTAGATATAAGTAGATGGAATGAATGAATAATCAATCCATCCAGAGCCCATTCTTTCCTTCATCCTCCGCTTACCACGCCCAGAAAAGCACAAACTCTGCTTGCTCTATCCCGCTATCATTCATAAAGAACGACGCCTTGGCGGAACCATTCCCGACCAACCACAACCTCATAAACTCAACTCCAGCCCCCCCCTTCCCTCTTCCACAACGGTTCTTCCAGAAAGGCCCAACCAAAAATCACCTCCCTTTTCGCCACACTGTCGAAATCGCCCCCCCGGGAACGCCAAGATCCGCCCCAAAGTCAATACGGAATAGCAAAAACCGACTTGGCGACATCCCCCCTCCCCTCGGGCGGCCACGCCATTGGCTGGAGGGCGAATAAACTCGGGCTAGACAACTTTAAATAACCAACCCGCTTGATAACCAGATCTTGGCTCTCATCCGCCAAGATTCGATGGCGAGGTGTTGTCGTTGTTTCTGGCTTGTCGTTTCTTGGGAAGTGGGTATCCGGGGTGTGTTGACTGCGCCAAGGGTGGAGATGGGGTCTTGAGGCTCTTGGCTTTGTCTTGGGAGTCGGGATGATGTGATTTTCTTGTCTCGTGTCTGAAACTTGGTAGTTCGTGATGAGGCAGTTGAATGTCTGAGACAGCCTCGTGCTGAAGATGTATCACAGCAGCCTTCAGCCGTGACGCTGCGTAACGGCCAAAAGAAAAGGGTACCACCGCATATATCGCCCTGCTGGATGATCAAGTCGTACACGAAGAGGAACAACCCGTCAACACCATGCAAACCATCCTCCTCAAGCCTCCGCGCTCATCGACCCGACGCCAAGGACACTAGTTACCGGTCAGACCCGCCCTGATACAAAGCCATGACACCAAAGTTCACTCATGATGGCAAGGCTTTACGCTCGTGGCAAGCCTCTTGTCAAAAGCCAGCATCTGTCCTCCAAGTACTTATACCCACTGATTCCCCGCATATTTCAACCTAAAAGTCAGAAAGTCAGAAACTTCTATTCAAAGTTCTTCTGTCCAAATATACTTTGTTATAGTCAGAAACGCTGTTTTTTACCCATCTCTCATCTATGTACAGCCATAGTATTATCATCTCCCACTTTATTAATAAGAGCCCCACGCCCTGATGGCGGAGTTCCCCAAGCACCCATTCCTGCTCACCGTTGAAGAGACTGAGCGGGCCCTCGGAACGCATGTCGATCGAGGTTTGCTCTCGGAGCAGGTGGCTGACCTGCAGGCGAGACATGGCACGAATGAACTCGACGTCGGCGGGACTATACCGTGGTATAGCATTCTCGCAAAGCAGATTCTCAATGCCATGATTATTGTAAGATGATGTCCCCCCCTCCCTCATCGTGCTGGGTAACTAACATGATTTGTATCCAGGTTCTCGTATTTGCCATGGCTCTTAGCTTTGGTATCCAAGATTACATTGAAGGAGGTGTCCTCGCCTGTGTCATCTTCCTCAATGTCACCATAGGCTTTTGGCAGGAGTACCGTGCGGAAAAGCGCATGGACGCTCTCCGCGCCTTGTCTTCTCCCAGCGCCATGGTCCTTCGCGATGGCCACACTCAGGTCATTCCCAAGTACGTTTCCCCAATCAATCATGTATTTCAATTGGATGCTAACCAGATGAAACAGCTCCCAAGTTGTCCCCGGAGACATTATCCTCCTCAAAATGGGCGACACCGTCCCCGCAGACCTGCGCCTCTTCGAAGCCATGAACCTCGCCTGCGAGGAAGGCCAGCTCACCGGCGAGTCCATCCCGGTCGAGAAAATCACATCCAACGACATCACCGTCCACGGTTCCGAAACGGCCGCCACCTCTGAAGGTGAGGTCGGCATCGGCGACCGCATCAACATGGCCTACGCCACAACCGTCGTGCAAAAGGGCCGCGGTAGGGGCATCGTCGTCGCCACCGGTATGGCCACCGAAGTAGGTAAAATCGCTGCTTCGACATCCAAGAAGAGTCGCAAGGCCGGACGTTCGATGAACTGGCGCAAGTACGGCAAGAAGCAGCCTGTCGTTGGCTTGTCGAAGCGCATCTATGACTTTGTAGGCAAGTTTCTGGGTCTCACGGTAGGAACGCCGTTGCAGCGCAAGTTGTCGGCCCTGGCCTATCTTCTCTTTGGCTGTGCCGTGATTCTCGCCATGATTGTCTTTGGTGTCAACCACTTTAATATGCGACACGAGGTCATCATCTATGCAACCTCGTTGGGCATCGCCATCATCCCCGAATCCCTTGTTGCGTGAGTCTTTCCCTTCCGTCATCTGACATCCTTCGACTAACTCTTTTCTCCAGTGTCCTGACAATCACAATGGTCGTCGCCGTCACCGTCATGCGCAAGGCCAACGTCGTCGTCCGCGACCTCTCCGCCCTCGAAGCCCTCGGCGGCGTCACCAACATCTGCTCCGATAAGACCGGAACGCTGACCGAAGGCGCCATGATTGTGCGCCAGGCATGGATCCCTTCTTCTCACGTCTACACCGTCCACGACTCTCAGAGCCCTAGTGATCCCACAAAGGGGCGCGTCGTTTACACGCAGAGCAAAGACGAGACTCCGCAAGAGCCCGTGGAAGAGAAGAAGCGCGACTTTGACAAGGAGCGCAGTGCTGCCGTGCTCAAGTTTGATGTTCCGGATGAGAAGCTCAATATCTCGTCGTCGAAGCAGCCCCCAAGCCCGGAGCCAGAGACTAAGATGACAGATGAGTTGCGTGCGTTCCTGCTCTCTTCTGCGCTATGTAATCTTGCTACTGTGAGGTTCGATCAAGAAGAGGAAAAGTGGCAGACTACTGGCGAACCAACCGAGATTGCATTACAAGTCTTTGCTCATCGCTTCAACCACGGCAAGAAGACTCTTGAAGGAGAAGGCTGGAGGCAAGTCGCCGAGTTCCCCTTTGACAGCTCCATCAAGCGCATGTCGGTCATCTACAACGCCCCTGAAGCTGAAGGCAGTTTCATTGCCGGCTCGGATAATAGCATCGTCTTTACAAAGGGTGCCGTAGAGCGCATCCTCGACATGTGTGCCTTTGCTGGCATTGGCGAATCTCAGCAGCCCATGACAGACGAAATCAAAGAGTCCGTTCTCGGGCAGATGAATGCCCTCGCATCGCAGGGCCAACGCGTTCTTGCTGTGGCATATCGCCCATGGGAGGGAAGATTCACATCCAAACAATCTAGCTCGAGCTCTGCCGAAGAGGACGACAAACTACGCTCGACAGTCGAGCAAAACCTCGTCCTTCTCGGCCTTGCCGGCATCTACGATCCCCCGCGTAGGGAGACTAAGCCTTCTATTGCCGAGTGTTCTCAAGCTGGTATCAAAGTCCACATGCTTACTGGTGATCACCCGGAGACGGCCAAAGCCATTGCCAAAGAGGTCGGCATCATCCCTCGAAACCTCAATATCCTGCCCGAAAGCGTCGCGGCATCCGTCGTAGTCAAGGCTACAGAGTTTGACAAGATGACAGACGCCGAGATTGACGCGTTGGAGGAGCTTCCGCTGGTCATTGCACGCTGCGCTCCGGACACCAAGACCCGCATGATTGAAGCGCTTCGTCGGCGTGGAGCCTTCATGGCCATGACGGGAGACGGCGTCAACGATGCGCCGTCTCTTTCTCGAGCAGATGTCGGCATCGCCATGGGGTCGGGCTCCGACGTAGCCAAGTCCGCGGCCAAGATTGTCCTCACCGACGACAAGTTCAACTCCATCGTGGCCGCGATCCGAGAGGGCCGCCGCATGTTTGACAACATCCAAAAGTTTGTGCTGCACCTGCTCACGTCCAACGTAGGCGAAGTGATTCTCCTCGTCGCGGGCCTCGGCTTCGTCGACGACATGGGCTTCTCCGTGTTCCCCGTGTCGCCCTTGCAAATCATCTGGATCAACATGGCCACGTCGTCGTTCCCGGCGTTTGGGCTCGGCCGCGAGGCCGCGGCCCAGGAGGTGATGCGCAAGCTGCCGCAGGACAAGAAGCGAGGCGTCTTCACCAACCAGATCATCGTCGACATGATTGTCTACGGCATCCTGATGGGGGCGTGCACGCTCTGCACGTTCTGCATCATCATCTACGGGGCCAGCGGCGGGAACCTCGGTTACGACTGCAACACCAAGTTCTCCGACGCGTGCATCCCCGTGTTCCGGGCTCGAGCGGCGACGTTTGCGCTCCTGACGTGGCTCATCCTCATTTCCGCGTGGGAGTTTAAGAGTCTCCGCCGGTCCATGTTCCGTCTCAACCCCAACGACGACAGCTTCTTCCCCTTTTTCAGGGACATTTACAGCAACCGGTTTCTGTTTTGGTCCGTCATCATCGGCAGCCTGTCCGTGTTCCCCGTCGTCTACATCCCCTTCCTCAACACGCGCTTCTTCAAGCACACGGGCATCTCCTGGGAGTGGGCGCTCTCCGTGGGTTTCACGCTGGTGTTTGTGACGGGCATCGAGCTGTGGAAACTCGCCAAGCGGCGCTTCCGGCTGCTGGAAGACGGTGCCGTGCAGAGGGGCCACTGGGGCCAAGGGGGTCCGGAAGACGACGGACCAAGATTCAAGAGGACGTTTTCCATGTCGAGCTTCAAGACATGGGTATCGTTCTCGAGGAGGGAGACAGGGGACAGTGTCATGATGCGAGCGACTACTCAGCCTCGCGTAGCACATGTACCGGTACAGGTATGAGGGACATGCAGCCCGCTATCATCTCCTATCAAAGACTTGTGTGTTTAGTTATGAATCGATTGTCATGTGTCATGTGTCATGTGGCATGTTGCCTTTGTTATATAGATTTCGGTGTTACCAAAGTAGTAACAGTAGTAGATAGAAGAAGGTAGTGAGAATAACAGAATGTTAGCCAAAGGCAACAACAGCACGGTGGTCCGATATGTCTGTTCACTTATCTATGGCTAATTTAGTAGCAGCGTGAAAACCGAGTCATTCGGATAAAGCATCCGAGCATCAGAGCATACGAGACACGAAAGGATGTGTCCGGGCATCCGAAGAGGGATTTATTTTCGGCGTATAGTTTTAAGGGGTTGAAGATGCAAAATACACCCAGCAACGGCAAGGCAGCACGCACGAAGCGATCGTTTCCCTTTGTAGACTGACTGATTGATGACAATTGTCAAAGCTTACCGTAGACGCATGCGCTGTAATCGATGTGCAGGTATTCGTATAAGCCGTATCTAAGAAGTGAATAGTCAGCTGAGCGACATGCAACGCACCGTCATGTACCCCCAAAGTGTCATCTTTTGGCCGTTTGCCAGTCATGCTGAGCAACAGGGCACGTGTGGTCCAGATCCGGCAGCCTTGGGAGATAAAAAAGGCGGTAATTTATTTCAGTGGGACGATCCCTGTCCGGTGTGGGCAGAGACGCGGGGGGTGAAGCAACGGTTGGGAATCATCACTCGCGGCGATTGGTTGGCCAGGACCGGAATGAACGGGTGATCTCTCTTTGGTGCTGGTTGTGGGCAAAGACGGGGCAAAAAAAGACTCCATTTCCATCACCACCACCCCTGAGGCTATCATGGCCCGTAATCTGCAAAAATGCTATGCCAAAAAAGTAACAAAGTGTCCAACCATCGACTCCTGTCACCCACCCACACACGTCCACGCACGTCCAAATCCAAAACCTCGAGCTGCATCCTTATCCAAATCCAGACTAATACCAAAAAAAAGAGAACCCATGTATAACAAGGAAATCCGTCCAGTAGGAGTCGCATTAATCGGTCAAGTTGTAAATCTTCTGAATGTCTCCGAGAATCTTCTTCATGTCGACGCTCAAGTCGGTGATGCGGCCATCCTCAAAGTTGAAGACCCAGCCGTGAACAATGGGATATCGGTTCTCCCCGAAGGAGTGCTGGACATCGGCCGTCTTGATGACGTTGCGGCACTGCTCGACGACGTTGAGCTCGACCAGACGGTCGTATCGCTTCTTCTCATCCTTGATGGCATCAAGCTCCTTCTCGTGGAGCCTGTAGACGTCGCGAATGTTTCGCAGCCAGGGGTTGAGCAGGCCCATGTCCTTGGGAGTCATGGCGGCCTTGACACCTCCGCAGCTGTAGTGGCCGCAGACGACAATGTGCTTGACCTTGAGGTGGCGCACGGCATAGTTGATGACGCTCATGACGTTGAGGTCGGTGCTGATGACCAGGTTGGCAATGTTGCGGTGGACAAAGGCCTCGCCAGCCTGGAGGCCGGTGATTGCCTCGGCGGGGATTCGAGAATCGCTGCATCCGATCCAGAGATACTCGGGCGACTGGCCAGCAGCCAGGTTGGTGAAGAACTCGGGGTCCTCCTTGAGCCTTTGATCGGCCCACTGCTTGTTGTTCTCAAAGAGACGCTGGTGGTTTTCACGCAGGTAGCGCTCAACGTCGTTGTCGTTTTCAGCCATGCCGGGCAGACGAGCAGGAATCTTTGCGTTGGGGGCACCAGAGCCAGAACCAGAAGCACCAGTGGAAGAGGAAGACGAGACGTTTCGGCTGCCTCCAGTGGCAGGGCGGCGAGCCGGCTTAAAGCTCACGGAGGGCCGGTAACCAGGATTAGGACGGGAGGCGGCCAAGCGCAGATGCTGGCCTCCGACTCGAGAGGGAATCATGTCGTGCCTGGGGGCTGAGAAAGATGGCGAGACGAGGGCAGGGGGGTTTTGGGGGCCTGGTCGGAAGGGGTCGGACGAGTCCGCGGGCTTGGGAGAGACGCCTCTGTGACGAGAGTGTTTGTATGTACCGGTACCAGCGCTTTGCCGGAAGAGTACGAGCGAGCAACAGCCGCGCGAGGAGCTGGAGGAGCGATACCTAGTAATAGATAGCGAAGGCAAGGTACAGGGGTCCTAGGGCCGGTGAGGTGTTTGTTTGTGACGGGGAACGGATGGTCAGGCTGCAGGTAATCTGTCAGATTTGCTGCAGGCGCATCTAGCAGAGGTCGAGATGGCAGACCAGAACGGATGACAGAGGCAGAGGAGCCAGAGCCAAGAGCACGAGCGATGGCCTTGGTGCGGAAAAAAACAAGATGGAGGGGAAACGCTTTGGGGTTTTGGGCTGCCGTCGGTGCTTTATCTGATGGCCGATCCGCTGGAGAATTGGGGGCCACAGCGGGCTCCCGACGCTGTGGGAGGGGGATCTAGCGGGTGGTTTTTAGGCTCTGCTGCCTTGAGCCGTTGGGGGAGGCCCTTATCGCAGATTCGGCTATCAGAATCACAGATCCGCGAATAAGCGGCATTGAGATCTGGGCCGGTTTCGGTCAGCAGCGCAGATCGTATGGGGACGGGCGGCCGATTTCCAGGCTAAAGACTCGATCTTTGGCTTCTACTGGGTAGTGCTCGAAGCTGCTTGGTGTCATTACGATTGCTAAAGGGCCAGTTCGGCAGGGAAATTTGTTGAATGCGCTAGACTCAACTCAACAGCGCTGTCAAGCTCAACCTTGATCTGCATCCCGCGCACAAAAACGAGATATCCGAGTAACTAGCCAAAACTCCACATGCACGAGACGTCATCGCTAGTGCCGAGTACAACTACAACCCTCCAGTTTGACGTTGCACGTTGATGTTTGACTGTTCCCGAGATAGAACCGCGGCTCAATCACAGCTCGGCATGGATTTTTCTCGGCAATACGCGATGCTGCATCCAAGAGACGAAGAAGAGAGAATCGTCAAGCTGCACTGCACCGCGCCGCATCCCCTGTCTCAACCCAAGAATGTTGAGTCTGACCAAGCACGTAGAAGTGAAAGAAAGTCAATTTCTGCAGAGTATATTCATCTCACCTGCTCCAGATTTCCCAGCAAGTCTCCATTTCCGAAAGTGGTCTACTGCAATAGCATCTATCAGAAAATCACATTGACAAGGTGTAATACCTGAGCCACGGACTTTGAGGGCTTGTCATCGGCCATGGTGGTATCGGCCTCGAAGTCGGCGTCAGTGTCCTCGTCGATGCTTTGTTTTCCTCACTCTAGGCAAACAAACTTCTCCTGATTAAAGCGATAACAAAACTTCATTCAATTCACAGCTCCAGCTACCATGATTACATCCAATTACTGATTGCCTCCAGTTACCTAGAGCTCGGGTAGTTGCCGCGCCAACTCCAAGATACACCAGGGCAATCATGATGCGCTTTCTCTTCAATGTTGATGCTACCGACAGGCAGGTGCCCTAGATAAACCGAATATCAGACCCAAGATACGATAGATTGATGCCATAAATTTCTCGTCTTTCAAACTCTGTTTCCTTCTTCTTGGCAGTCTACCTAATGTTATGCTCGACAATACGAATTTTACAACGCGGCTGATCAAACGAGTTTCTCTTCCAACAATCACTAATTACAGAAGCCACCAGTATCACTCATTTCCATTTCCAACAAGTCCCAGTACTTCAACAGATCTAGGACAATTCCGAGGGTGACAGCGCTCCACACGTCAAATTATCATTGTCCAAACCAGAGACACCAATCATTACCGAGCTCCCGTCATCTGTCACTACCTCCGTGCCTTTGTAGTATAAAAAAGCATAACCCGACGACAATGAGTGGTGAGTTTCTTCAGCAAAGATTGCACCACGATTCCACCAACAACTGACTCTGTAAACTATCCATAGCTGAGAAGATCAAAGTACTGGAGGGTCTAGTGGCCAATTTACAAGTGCATATCGCGCAGCAACAGAAACAAATCATTCAAATGCAGCGTCAGCTCCATTTCGACACGGAAATTCGGCAAATCCTGGTGCAGCAGATGCAGCAGATGCAGCGAACGCAGAGCCAGCAAAGCCAGCAGATGCAGCAGATGCAGCGAACGCAGATGCAGCAAGCGCAGAGCCAGCAGACGCAGCAAGTGCCGATATAGCAATTCCCGAGGCCGCAGATGCAGACTCTGTATATGCCGCAAGCGCAGGTGCCGCAAGCGCAGAGGCAGCTAAGGGAGATAATACAGCTCCACGAGAGTCAGGAACCACTCCCTTTATATCAATCTATGCAGCGGCAACCTACCGAGAATGTCACCAACGAGGGCCGGTGCTCTATATGTGGTGGTGTCGGCCATCACGCCAGAGGTTGTCCTGAAATGTCAAGGATGCGCTAATACTATACTCAGAGGCATTGGTTTCTTCTTACGGCACCTATAATCGATGATGAACAGGTCTTGCAAAGTAGCTGTGGCTACCCCTGTTCTTTAAAGCGAATATTCAGCGAGAGATGGCTGTCAATAGCGGTACATGTAGCTAGAGATGCTTGTCAATAGCAGTACTTTTACGATTGGTATCAAGGAAATACACGTCAGGCACTAAGCCATGACCCTATCGAACCAGATATAATCATCCAGCTCCTCCTCAAACATAATCCCAACCTTCATAGCAACATCATTCTCAAACCGAAACTCGGCTCTCATCGCCGTCCCAACACCCCCCACCACCTCTCTCATGACGGCAACATACTTGGTCTGCTCGCACACGTGCTGCAGCTTCACCGTAAAGACATACGACCGATCCGAGCAATCGATAAACAGCTGCTCATCCCTGACCTCAACCACGACGCCCCGCCACCCAGGGTTCCAATACTCGCCCGTGTACGCGCTCAGAGGCATCTTTTGCGGCTCCGACTCCTTGATGCCGGGGCACAGCTTCTGCCGCTCTGCTTCCACCTCTTCGGCCTCGGTCTCGGCGTCTTCGTTGGCGTTGGTGTCGTATTCGTCGTACTTTTTGCCTGTGTTCTTCTCGTACATGACCTTGTCCCAGCTGAGCCTCTGGTCTTGGGGTAAACCCAGTAGTTGGTCGATGAGTTCTTGCATGAGGACCTCGGCGACGAAGCTTGCGTCGTCAGAGTTTCCAAACATTGCGCCGCCGAAATTGAGGTCGGGCATGAAGAAGTGGATGGTGGAGGAGCCGGCGATGCCTCCGTGGTGAGCGACGACCAAGTAGCCTCGGTAATGGTGTACTTCCCAGCCAGCCGCGTACAACAACGGAGACGTAAAGGGGAGTAGCTTGTCATAGTTTTGGCTTATAATGGAGCGTGGTCTGATGATTCCCTTGTACACGTCCTCTGTAAACGGGCCCTCCTTGTTCATAATGGCCCGGACATACTTGACGTAGTCGTCGACGCTGGTGATGATTGAACCCGCCCCTTGAGCCTCTGGTGCATCGGGGATGACAAACGTCGAATACTTGTTAGCCTTTGCATCCCACCAGTATCCAGGACTGATGCGGTCTCCCAGCCCCTTGGCACGCGCCCGCTCCGGCTGCAAGTTGCTCGAATTCATACCCAGAGGCTGGAAGAACCGCTGCTCAAGAAAGTCGGCGAAGCTGATGCCAGTCTTTTGCTCTACGAGATAGGTGGCCACGGTAAACATCATGTTGCAGTACATGAACTTGGCCCTAATAGGAGCCGCAGTGGCCAGATTCCTCAAGTTTCGCGTGATAGACTGCGCACTGTCTGTGTTCTTCGCCCTAGGGCCAAGATATGAATTATCATTGCTATAGGAACCGTGTTAGTACCGCATCAGCAAAAAGGCGGGCAACTGTGCTCACGGCGCCAATCCGCTCCTATGACTCAGTATGTCATCAACAGTAACGCCTTCATACCCCTCTCCAGGCATGACAAACTCGCCCGGCAGCAATTTCGCCATCTCGGCATCATACTCGACGTCGGGAAACTTGTCGTCGGCAACGAGCAGCGCAACCGACGCCGCGGTGAGAGACTTTGACGCCGAAGCAATGTCAAACAAGGTATCGGTGGTCATTGGCCTCTCTGGCTCAAGGGAAGCCATGCCAAATGCCTTGGAGGCGGTGACATCTTTGTGGACGAGGGCGATGGCGAGGCCGGGGACGTGGAATTTCTTGATGAGCTGCTCTGCGCGGGTTGAAAAGGCGGGAGAGTTGAATAGATCCATGGTTGCTTGTTATTGAGGTTTTATTCCCGGTTTGTGTTGATGCCGTGTAAGAATACGACGTTTAAGTGATTGAAATACCAAAAAAAAAAAAGACTGATTTACGGTTAATATTTGAAAACAAGTCTGGCCTATAGCTACATAATATGCATCTCGAAAGTCTCCAAGTGAGGAGTTGCAGATCATCGCTCGGCATCGTACCACACTTTGTCCAGCGAATCGGAGAAACCCCCATTTAGGAAACACGCCGTCCCATCGTAAACATCTAATCGATCCTACAAAACGGGGTTGCTCAACTATAAACGCACGGCGAATTGACTCATCATATGTGTCAAACATGGCCGAAGGAATTGGAGTGGGATTTTGGGGGGCTTGCGCCAAACCAAGAGGGGCAAACCGCGCCTCCAAGGTGGACAAGATCTTACATGCAGCTCAATCTAATCGATTCATTTCCTGCAAGTGTCCATGAATACTCGATTGGATCACCATTGTGAAAGAGAAAAATTAAAGTCAAATAATTGTCATTACCAGCGCGCTATGAGACCGTATGAGCCACGATAGCTCCATTAAACCATCATCGCTGTACCCGATATACATACCTTAGGTAGGGTATATATATATACACACACACACATTCATGACATACATACTCCAAAACAAGTGAAAAGCAAAAACAAAAAAAAACCAACAAAGTAAAAGCAGGTGGTGTAGCCGTCCATTTCCATCCCGTTTCCCAAACCCATGTCCCCAGCCCTTCCTTTTAGGCCGTGACGTTTCGTTCCGAGCCGAGATCCGGCTTTCCCAGCCATCAAGCGTCCATTACCATATACTAACTACTGACAAAAGGGTATATAATGCCTACTCAAACAAAAGAAATAAACAAGAGGCGACAGGGACGCGATAGAACAGTGCAAGCAGCGTTTTTCTTATGCTCCCTGACGTTGACTGTGGTAACAAAGGGACTCCATCAGAAGCCTCTAGCTGTAATCTCATCGCCATGAGATTGACCAAACATCCCACAAAGATAGATAGGGCAGAGTCTGGCCATGATCACTGAATCAGGGCGTTGCATGTCGCAGCAGCGCATCAAAGAAGAGCGCGCAAACTGCACACGCGAATAGTCTAGAGCTGACTGCAAATAACAAAAATAGGTAAATCGGCACTTGCGAAACCTTTGTTCCCGGTATTCAAAGCGCCGAGGACTCCATATTTGCGCTCTTGGGTAGCCGATGCCCGATTGGGCGGGAAATGGTGTAGCGGACCGGGCGGCTGACTGGAGTTGATGCAGCCACATGACTTCGACCCACGACGTCAAAAACATGTTCATGGGATTCGATGACTCCAAGAATAACAAGCGACTTGCGACGATGATGACTTTTGATCATGAGAAATAAGGCTTGTGCTAGAGTCATCATGCTTGAGATGAAGAGCTGCTACGGCCATGACGAAGAGAGACGAGCTGCCGTCATGCTCTTACGCTCTATGCGGGCCGTCGCCATAGGTAGAGGTGCCATAGACCGACGATGCGCCAGGCGGTTGCTGAGAAGTGAGGTTCGCATAACCGCTGTCGGTATAGGCCGCGGGCGCGGTATCCCATCGAGGGGGCGTTGCGGCCGCAGCGTGGTGGCTGATCGGCGTGTGTAGGCCAGTGCTGCCATAGGGACTGGCTGCCACTCCTCTGTCATAAGCCGACACGGCGGGCAGCTGTGCTGTGCTGGTGTTGATACGCATGGAAGGCGGCTGCTGAGGGCTGTGGTGGTTGCGAAGCGTGGGACTGAGACCTCGAGCCGTGCTTGTGGAGTAGACCGAAGAAGGCGGCCAAGAGGACAGCTGTGAGCGAGGCGATGGGATCGCTTCGTGAGCAGCCGAGCCGTAGGCAGAGTGCAGCGGGTACTGGCTGTGAGGGTCTGCATGCGCTGAAGAGAGGCCGTGTTGTGACCCGATGCCGTGGTGACTGGGCGGCGTGGGCAATGTGGCGTATGACGAGGCGCTCGTGGTAGCAGGGGGGAGAATGCTGCTGGGGCTGGCGCTGTATTTGCCAATAATCTTCTTGAGTGCTGGCTCGAGGGCCGTCCAGGGAAACACCTTGACATCCTTCTCGATGTTTCGGGGCTTTGGGTGAGGAAAAGCCATAATGATCTTGAAGAACTCTTCGCTGTCTGCCTTGGCCTTGGAGACGGTGGATGGGTGGAATCCCTCCAGATTGCGGCGGATGCGATTCTTTTCCTCGACGCTGAACCGGTTCGGCGCAGCTACAAGCTGCTCAAGCAGATGGATGGTGTCGACGGAGGTGACGTAGCATTCCGACTTCTCTGCCCACCAGATGCACGAGATGCAGATGCTGTTGGTGGGTCTCTCGTTGACGGAGACGGGCTTGAAGCTCACGTTGAGGACTGCTCCGTTTTGCGTCTTTTTGAACATGACGATCCGGCGACGGTTCTCCCACTCGTTGTGGTTCCAGTCTCTCGCCATCTCGCTGAGCTTGCCGCGAATGTTCAGAACCGCCTTGGGGGTGTAGAGAGACATGGAATGGTAGGGGCCATTTCCACCGCCGTTGGTGATGGTGCTAGTGCGCACTAGCTGAGGCGTTCCGCTGCTCCCTGATGACGGGATGGGAAGGTGGTGGTGTCCGGTAGATCTCCCGGACATGGTAATGGGATCATACGTGGACGAACTCCTCCCCACCGTCGCCAGCGTGCTCCCATACGCACCATGGTGAGCACGCCGGTGGTGGTGATGGTAGTGCGGAGGGTCGGTAAAGCTAGACGTTCGGTATGTGGTGATCATGTCTGTATTGCCTTGGGCAAATGTGTTGCCGTATTGGCCTTGCGCCGGCGGATACTCATACGTATTTGTAGCCGCTGCAGACGGTACCTCAGTCTTCGGTGAGGGACTCGCCTGATCCACCTCGGCAGCAGGTGTCGTGGTGTCATCTTTGGGCAACCTGTCTGCCCGCGTGATGTCATCCCCAGACCCTTCCAGGTAGTGAAAGGTCCCTATGCGCGAGATCTCCCCTACTCCTGCAGGGGAGTCGAAAACAAGTGACAGAGACACGCTGCTGTTACCACCTGACGGCGGTGCGTCAACACTGCAAGAGTAAACGAAGCCATTATTATCCTGAGTATCGCGTATGAGATTCACAGCATATTTTGCGTCTCCAAACGTGACCAGTGGCTGTGTAGAAGGTAGGCTAAAGAGGTCATCTTGCGACGAGATCTTTAGGCTGACAGTAGTTCCGCCAACTCCAGACGTGGGATGGAAAGAGACCACTATGGGTCCTGTCGACATGTAATGAGCTACGGCGTTGTTATTTGCAAACGACTGCTGGTTCATCTGTGCATATTTGTCCGTCTGTGAGGTTGAGAATGGCTGAGTGGGATACGGTTCGAAAGCGGCCGCATCCTGGTATCGCGTGGCATCGTAGCCTAAGGCCATCTTAGCAAACTCCCTCTTCTACTTCGCCGACGCTGAAGACTCACCATTCAAGGAAGGTAGCTGAGCTTTGCTGTAGGCCATGTTGAAGTCGCTCGGTGGGGAGTCCCGGTTTGGATCCCCCCTTTGTGCTGCCTGAACAGCTTCCTCGTATCTGAGAGTCAGGGTTTCTGGCGATCCAAACTCGTCGTCGACGTCGACAATGATAGGTTTGTTTGGTAGAAAGCCCGGCTTCAAAGTATATCTTTGTCAGCTTCTTCGTCAAGGAACCAAGGTTTCAACTCGACTTGGCCTGCCTCTGGCCATGTACAAAACAAGAGTAGCGCAAAAAGAATTGAATCAAAAGACTCTGAATCTTCTTTTTCTCGTGGTGTATTCCCAAGAGGACTGATATTGGAACAAAGTCTAGGATGCGACTCACCTCAAAGAGTCTGTAGGATGGAGACTGGAACTTGGCAGTAGACATGAAGATGTTGGAAGATGGAACAAAAGCGGTGGAGGGGGGACTGATTAAGGGAAAAGTAAAGTATGCAGGCCCTCTCTGTCTTAGCTAAGAGGCCCTGGATGACAGTAATGTTTTAAACTAGGTCTTTGACGAGGTTTTATCCCGCGAGGATCATGGAGCCAGGATGGGGGCTCCCTTCCTTCGCGTAGCTTGGATTCGGAGATTTGATATGCGACAACCCCAGAGACTAAGTTGAAGAAGGCCTATGCTTTTGGACTCGCAGTGACCCGTGAACTGCTGATGCCTTGTAAGTGACTTGTTGTTTTTTCTTGTTCCCTGCCAAGGGGTGGGTTGTAAGTGAGACACTCACTAGGTCCGAAGGAATCTTACTGGGGAGCCAGGAGGTGCGAGCAATGGCGGAGAAGTGTTCCGATCCTACACAGAAACACTTGCATTCCAAAGAGATAGCAATCCGGTATGCTGCGAGGGAGAGGCTGCTTTCCCTCTTCCGCCGTACGCCTGTAAATACAAACGGAGTCCGACGAGTGAGTGGTTGCCTATCGGCGTTTAGGGAGCAGTCAAGGGCGGAGGAAGAGCATAAAGCTTCTAATATCGACAAGAACAGAACCCTGTTGAGAACGAAGAGCTGATGTCAACCCCAGAGCTTTACAAAACGTGACTGCCGGCGTGGAAGCTTCTGAGCTAGTAGTGTACGACGAAGAATATCTCGTCATGAGGTTTCACTACAGACCGAATCAAACAAGTTAGCATTCTTCGTATCCCAGTGCTAAGTCAGTATCTGGTATTGGCGATCAACATAAGCTGGGACATGCATAGCGATGCGCCAATGCAAGGGAGAGTGACGCCGAAATTGGCCATCGGAACGAACAGACATACAAGCGGTAACGTGTGAGTTGATGGAGCCTGAGCACCTCTGCGTGTGTCTAGTAGCAGTGGAGTTATTGTGGCAAGATTCGCTGGTGCGCACGGGAGCTGTTCGCCATCAAGGAGATGGATATCAGTAGTGTTCGATAGCAGAACTCAGAGCGGCAGCCTAGTCGTTGCGGTGATGGTACCAATCCGAAAGAGAAAGAGAGTGAGGTGTGGGCATAAACACAGCCGAGCC